GTCCTGTGGACCGGTTGGACCAACCGGCCAGTTGGTCCTGTGGACCGGTTGGACCAACCGGCCAGTTGGTCCTGTGGACCGGTTGGACCAACCGGCCAGTTGGTCCTGTGGACCGGTTGGACCAACCGGCCAGTTGGTCCTGTGGACCGGTTGGACCAACCGGCCAGTTGGTCCTGTGGACCGGTTGGTACCAACCGGCCAGTTGGTCCTGTGGACCGGTTGGACCAACCGGCCAGTTGGTCCTGTGGACCGGTTGGACCAACCGGCCAGTTGGTCCTGTGGACCGGTTGGACCAACCGGCCAGTTGGTCCTGTGGACCGGTTGGACCAACCGGCCAGTTGGTCCTGTGGACCGGTTGGACCAACCGGCCAGTTGGTCCTGTGGACCGGTTGGACCAACCGGCCAGTTGGTCCTGTGGACCGGTTGGACCAACCGGCCAGTTGGTCCTGTGGACCGGTTGGACCAACCGGCCAGTTGGTCCTGTGGACCGGTTGGACCAACCGGCCAGTTGGTCCTGTGGACCGGTTGGACCAACCGGCCAGTTGGTCCTGTGGACCGGTTGGACCAACCGGCCAGTTGGTCCTGTGGACCGGTTGGACCAACCGGCCAGTTGGTCCTGTGGACCGGTTGGACCAACCGGCCAGTTGGTCCTGTGGACCGGTTGGACCAACCGGCCAGTTGGTCCTGTGGACCGGTTGGACCAACCGGCCAGTTGGTCCTGTGGACCGGTTGGACCAACCGGCCAGTTGGTCCTGTGGACCGGTTGGACCAACCGGCCAGTTGGTCCTGTGGACCGGTTGGACCAACCGGCCAGTTGGTCCTGTGGACCGGTTGGACCAACCGGCCAGTTGGTCCTGTGGACCGGTTGGACCAACCGGCCAGTTGGTCCTGTGGACCGGTTGGACCAACCGGCCAGTTGGTCATGTGGACCGGTTGGACCAACCGGCCAGTTGGTCCTGTGGACCGGTTGGACCAACCGGCCAGTTGGTCCTGTGGACCGGTTGGACCAACCGGCCAGTTGGTCCTGTGGACCGGTTGGACCAACCGGCCAGTTGGTCCTGTGGACCGGTTGGACCAACCGGCCAGTTGGTCCTGTGGACCGGTTGGACCAACCGGCCAGTTGGTCCTGTGGACCGGTTGGACCAACCGGCCAGTTGGTCATGTGGACCGGTTGGACCAACCGGCCAGTTGGTCCTGTGGACCGGTTGGACCAACCGGCCAGTTGGTCCTGTGGACCGGTTGGACCAACCGGCCAGTTGGTCCTGTGGACCGGTTGGACCAACCGGCCAGTTGGTCCTGTGGACCGGTTGGACCAACCGGCCAGTTGGTCATGTGGACCGGTTGGACCAACCGGCCAGTTGGTCCTGTGGACCGGTTGGACCAACCGGCCAGTTGGTCCTGTGGACCGGTTGGTACCAACCGGCCAGTTGGTCCTGTGGACCGGTTGGACCAACCGGCCAGTTGGTCCTGTGGACCGGTTGGACCAACCGGCCAGTTGGTCCTGTGGACCGGTTGGACCAACCGGCCAGTTGGTCCTGTGGACCGGTTGGACCAACCGGCCAGTTGGTCCTGTGGACCGGTTGGACCAACCGGCCAGTTGGTCCTGTGGACCGGTTGGACCAACCGGCCAGTTGGTCCTGTGGACCGGTTGGACCAACCGGCCAGTTGGTCCTGTGGACCGGTTGGACCAACCGGCCAGTTGGTCCTGTGGACCGGTTGGTCCAACCGGCCAGTTGGTCCTGTGGACCGGTTGGACCAACCGGCCAGTTGGTCCTGTGGACCGGTTGGACCAACCGGCCATGTTGGTCCTGTGGACCGGTTGGACCAACCGGCCAGTTGGTCCTGTGGACCGGTTGGACCAACCGGCCAGTTGGTCCTGTGGACCGGTTGGACCAACCGGCCAGTTGGTCCTGTGGACCGGTTGGACCAACCGGCCAGTTGGTCCTGTGGACCGGTTGGACCAACCGGCCAGTTGGTCCTGTGGACCGGTTGGACCAACCGGCCAGTTGGTCCTGTGGACCGGTTGGACCAACCGGCCAGTTGGTCATGTGGACCGGTTGGACCAACCGGCCAGTTGGTCCTGTGGACCGGTTGGACCAACCGGCCAGTTGGTCCTGTGGACCGGTTGGACCAACCGGCCAGTTGGTCCTGTGGACCGGTTGGACCAACCGGCCAGTTGGTCCTGTGGACCGGTTGGACCAACCGGCCAGTTGGTCCTGTGGACCGGTTGGACCAACCGGCCAGTTGGTCCTGTGGACCGGTTGGACCAACCGGCCAGTTGGTCCTGTGGACCGGTTGGACCAACCGGCCAGTTGGTCCTGTGGACCGGTTGGACCAACCGGCCAGTTGGTCATGTGGACCGGTTGGACCAACCGGCCAGTTGGTCATGTGGACCGGTTGGACCAACCGGCCAGTTGGTCCTGTGGACCGGTTGGACCAACCGGCCAGTTGGTCCTGTGGACCGGTTGGACCAACCGGCCAGTTGGTCCTGTGGACCGGTTGGACCAACCGGCCAGTTGGTCCTGTGGACCGGTTGGACCAACCGGCCAGTTGGTCATGTGGACCGGTTGGACCAACCGGCCAGTTGGTCCTGTGGACCGGTTGGACCAACCGGCCAGTTGGTCCTGTGGACCGGTTGGACCAACCGGCCAGTTGGTCATGTGGACCGGTTGGACCAACCGGCCAGTTGGTCCTGTGGACCGGTTGGACCAACCGGCCAGTTGGTCCTGTGGACCGGTTGGACCAACCGGCCAGTTGGTCCTGTGGACCGGTTGGACCAACCGGCCAGTTGGTCCTGTGGACCGGTTGGACCAACCGGCCAGTTGGTCCTGTGGACCGGTTGGACCAACCGGCCAGTTGGTCCTGTGGACCGGTTGGACCAACCGGCCAGTTGGTCCTGTGGACCGGTTGGACCAACCGGCCAGTTGGTCCTGTGGACCGGTTGGACCAACCGGCCAGTTGGTCATGTGGACCGGTTGGACCAACCGGCCAGTTGGTCATGTGGACCGGTTGGACCAACCGGCCAGTTGGTCCTGTGGACCGGTTGGACCAACCGGCCAGTTGGTCCTGTGGACCGGTTGGACCAACCGGCCAGTTGGTCCTGTGGACCGGTTGGACCAACCGGCCAGTTGGTCATGTGGACCGGTTGGACCAACCGGCCAGTTGGTCCTGTGGACCGGTTGGACCAACCGGCCAGTTGGTCCTGTGGACCGGTTGGACCAACCGGCCAGTTGGTCCTGTGGACCGGTTGGACCAACCGGCCAGTTGGTCCTGTGGACCGGTTGGACCAACCGGCCAGTTGGTCATGTGGACCGGTTGGACCAACCGGCCAGTTGGTCATGTGGACCGGTTGGACCAACCGGCCAGTTGGTCCTGTGGACCGGTTGGACCAACCGGCCAGTTGGTCCTGTGGACCGGTTGGACCAACCGGCCAGTTGGTCCTGTGGACCGGTTGGACCAACCGGCCAGTTGGTCCTGTGGACCGGTTGGACCAACCGGCCAGTTGGTCCTGTGGACCGGTTGGACCAACCGGCCAGTTGGTCCTGTGGACCGGTTGGACCAACCGGCCAGTTGGTCCTGTGGACCGGTTGGACCAACCGGCCAGTTGGTCCTGTGGACCGGTTGGACCAACCGGCCAGTTGGTCATGTGGACCGGTTGGACCAACCGGCCAGTTGGTCCTGTGGACCGGTTGGACCAACCGGCCAGTTGGTCCTGTGGACCGGTTGGACCAACCGGCCAGTTGGTCCTGTGGACCGGTTGGACCAACCGGCCAGTTGGTCCTGTGGACCGGTTGGACCAACCGGCCAGTTGGTCCTGTGGACCGGTTGGACCAACCGGCCAGTTGGTCCTGTGGACCGGTTGGACCAACCGGCCAGTTGGTCCTGTGGACCGGTTGGACCAACCGGCCAGTTGGTCCTGTGGACCGGTTGGACCAACCGGCCAGTTGGTCATGTGGACCGGTTGGTACCAACCGGCCAGTTGGTCCTGTGGACCGGTTGGACCAACCGGCCAGTTGGTCCTGTGGACCGGTTGGACCAACCGGCCAGTTGGTCCTGTGGACCGGTTGGACCAACCGGCCAGTTGGTCCTGTGGACCGGTTGGACCAACCGGCCAGTTGGTCCTGTGGACCGGTTGGACCAACCGGCCAGTTGGTCCTGTGGACCGGTTGGACCAACCGGCCAGTTGGTCCTGTGGACCGGTTGGACCAACCGGCCAGTTGGTCCTGTGGACCGGTTGGACCAACCGGCCAGTTGGTCCTGTGGACCGGTTGGACCAACCGGCCAGTTGGTCCTGTGGACCGGTTGGACCAACCGGCCAGTTGGTCCTGTGGACCGGTTGGACCAACCGGCCAGTTGGTCATGTGGACCGGTTGGACCAACCGGCCAGTTGGTCCTGTGGACCGGTTGGACCAACCGGCCAGTTGGTCATGTGGACCGGTTGGACCAACCGGCCAGTTGGTCATGTGGACCGGTTGGACCAACCGGCCAGTTGGTCCTGTGGACCGGTTGGACCAACCGGCCAGTTGGTCCTGTGGACCGGTTGGACCAACCGGCCAGTTGGTCCTGTGGACCGGTTGGACCAACCGGCCAGTTGGTCATGTGGACCGGTTGGACCAACCGGCCAGTTGGTCCTGTGGACCGGTTGGACCAACCGGCCAGTTGGTCCTGTGGACCGGTTGGACCAACCGGCCAGTTGGTCCTGTGGACCGGTTGGACCAACCGGCCAGTTGGTCCTGTGGACCGGTTGGACCAACCGGCCAGTTGGTCCTGTGGACCGGTTGGACCAACCGGCCAGTTGGTCATGTGGACCGGTTGGACCAACCGGCCAGTTGGTCCTGTGGACCGGTTGGACCAACCGGCCAGTTGGTCCTGTGGACCGGTTGGACCAACCGGCCAGTTGGTCCTGTGGACCGGTTGGACCAACCGGCCAGTTGGTCATGTGGACCGGTTGGTACCAACCGGCCAGTTGGTCCTGTGGACCGGTTGGACCAACCGGCCAGTTGGTCCTGTGGACCGGTTGGACCAACCGGCCAGTTGGTCCTGTGGACCGGTTGGACCAACCGGCCAGTTGGTCCTGTGGACCGGTTGGACCAACCGGCCAGTTGGTCCTGTGGACCGGTTGGACCAACCGGCCAGTTGGTCATGTGGACCGGTTGGTCCAACCGGCCAGTTGGTCCTGTGGACCGGTTGGACCAACCGGCCAGTTGGTCATGTGGACCGGTTGGACCAACCGGCCAGTTGGTCCTGTGGACCGGTTGGACCAACCGGCCAGTTGGTCCTGTGGACCGGTTGGACCAACCGGCCAGTTGGTCCTGTGGACCGGTTGGACCAACCGGCCAGTTGGTCCTGTGGACCGGTTGGACCAACCGGCCAGTTGGTCATGTGGACCGGTTGGACCAACCGGCCAGTTGGTCCTGTGGACCGGTTGGACCAACCGGCCAGTTGGTCCTGTGGACCGGTTGGACCAACCGGCCAGTTGGTCCTGTGGACCGGTTGGACCAACCGGCCAGTTGGTCCTGTGGACCGGTTGGACCAACCGGCCAGTTGGTCATGTGGACCGGTTGGACCAACCGGCCAGTTGGTCCTGTGGACCGGTTGGACCAACCGGCCAGTTGGTCATGTGGACCGGTTGGACCAACCGGCCAGTTGGTCCTGTGGACCGGTTGGACCAACCGGCCAGTTGGTCCTGTGGACCGGTTGGACCAACCGGCCAGTTGGTCCTGTGGACCGGTTGGACCAACCGGCCAGTTGGTCCTGTGGACCGGTTGGACCAACCGGCCAGTTGGTCCTGTGGACCGGTTGGACCAACCGGCCAGTTGGTCCTGTGGACCGGTTGGACCAACCGGCCAGTTGGTCCTGTGGACCGGTTGGACCAACCGGCCAGTTGGTCCTGTGGACCGGTTGGACCAACCGGCCAGTTGGTCCTGTGGACCGGTTGGACCAACCGGCCAGTTGGTCCTGTGGACCGGTTGGACCAACCGGCCAGTTGGTCATGTGGACCGGTTGGACCAACCGGCCAGTTGGTCATGTGGACCGGTTGGACCAACCGGCCAGTTGGTCCTGTGGACCGGTTGGACCAACCGGCCAGTTGGTCATGTGGACCGGTTGGACCAACCGGCCAGTTGGTCCTGTGGACCGGTTGGACCAACCGGCCAGTTGGTCCTGTGGACCGGTTGGACCAACCGGCCAGTTGGTCCTGTGGACCGGTTGGACCAACCGGCCAGTTGGTCATGTGGACCGGTTGGACCAACCGGCCAGTTGGTCCTGTGGACCGGTTGGACCAACCGGCCAGTTGGTCATGTGGACCGGTTGGACCAACCGGCCAGTTGGTCCTGTGGACCGGTTGGACCAACCGGCCAGTTGGTCCTGTGGACCGGTTGGACCAACCGGCCAGTTGGTCCTGTGGACCGGTTGGACCAACCGGCCAGTTGGTCCTGTGGACCGGTTGGACCAACCGGCCAGTTGGTCCTGTGGACCGGTTGGACCAACCGGCCAGTTGGTCCTGTGGACCGGTTGGACCAACCGGCCAGTTGGTCCTGTGGACCGGTTGGACCAACCGGCCAGTTGGTCCTGTGGACCGGTTGGACCAACCGGCCAGTTGGTCCTGTGGACCGGTTGGACCAACCGGCCAGTTGGTCCTGTGGACCGGTTGGACCAACCGGCCAGTTGGTCATGTGGACCGGTTGGACCAACCGGCCAGTTGGTCCTGTGGACCGGTTGGACCAACCGGCCAGTTGGTCATGTGGACCGGTTGGACCAACCGGCCAGTTGGTCCTGTGGACCGGTTGGACCAACCGGCCAGTTGGTCCTGTGGACCGGTTGGACCAACCGGCCAGTTGGTCATGTGGACCGGTTGGACCAACCGGCCAGTTGGTCATGTGGACCGGTTGGACCAACCGGCCAGTTGGTCCTGTGGACCGGTTGGACCAACCGGCCAGTTGGTCATGTGGACCGGTTGGACCAACCGGCCAGTTGGTCCTGTGGACCGGTTGGACCAACCGGCCAGTTGGTCATGTGGACCGGTTGGACCAACCGGCCAGTTGGTCATGTGGACCGGTTGGACCAACCGGCCAGTTGGTCCTGTGGACCGGTTGGACCAACCGGCCAGTTGGTCCTGTGGACCGGTTGGACCAACCGGCCAGTTGGTCCTGTGGACCGGTTGGACCAACCGGCCAGTTGGTCCTGTGGACCGGTTGGACCAACCGGCCAGTTGGTCCTGTGGACCGGTTGGACCAACCGGCCAGTTGGTCCTGTGGACCGGTTGGACCAACCGGCCAGTTGGTCATGTGGACCGGTTGGACCAACCGGCCAGTTGGTCCTGTGGACCGGTTGGACCAACCGGCCAGTTGGTCCTGTGGACCGGTTGGACCAACCGGCCAGTTGGTCCTGTGGACCGGTTGGACCAACCGGCCAGTTGGTCCTGTGGACCGGTTGGACCAACCGGCCAGTTGGTCCTGTGGACCGGTTGGACCAACCGGCCAGTTGGTCCTGTGGACCGGTTGGACCAACCGGCCAGTTGGTCCTGTGGACCGGTTGGACCAACCGGCCAGTTGGTCCTGTGGACCGGTTGGACCAACCGGCCAGTTGGTCCTGTGGACCGGTTGGACCAACCGGCCAGTTGGTCCTGTGGACCGGTTGGACCAACCGGCCAGTTGGTCCTGTGGACCGGTTTGGACCAACCGGCCAGTTGGTCATGTGGACCGGTTGGACCAACCGGCCAGTTGGTCATGTGGACCGGTTGGACCAACCGGCCAGTTGGTCATGTGGACCGGTTGGACCAACCGGCCAGTTGGTCCTGTGGACCGGTTGGACCAACCGGCCAGTTGGTCCTGTGGACCGGTTGGACCAACCGGCCAGTTGGTCATGTGGACCGGTTGGACCAACCGGCCAGTTGGTCCTGTGGACCGGTTGGACCAACCGGCCAGTTGGTCCTGTGGACCGGTTGGACCAACCGGCCAGTTGGTCATGTGGACCGGTTGGACCAACCGGCCAGTTGGTCATGTGGACCGGTTGGACCAACCGGCCAGTTGGTCCTGTGGACCGGTTGGACCAACCGGCCAGTTGGTCCTGTGGACCGGTTGGACCAACCGGCCAGTTGGTCATGTGGACCGGTTGGACCAACCGGCCAGTTGGTCCTGTGGACCGGTTGGACCAACCGGCCAGTTGGTCCTGTGGACCGGTTGGACCAACCGGCCAGTTGGTCCTGTGGACCGGTTGGACCAACCGGCCAGTTGGTCATGTGGACCGGTTGGACCAACCGGCCAGTTGGTCCTGTGGACCGGTTGGACCAACCGGCCAGTTGGTCCTGTGGACCGGTTGGACCAACCGGCCAGTTGGTCCTGTGGACCGGTTGGACCAACCGGCCAGTTGGTCATGTGGACCGGTTGGACCAACCGGCCAGTTGGTCATGTGGACCGGTTGGTACCAACCGGCCAGTTGGTCATGTGGACCGGTTGGACCAACCGGCCAGTTGGTCCTGTGGACCGGTTGGACCAACCGGCCAGTTGGTCCTGTGGACCGGTTGGACCAACCGGCCAGTTGGTCATGTGGACCGGTTGGACCAACCGGCCAGTTGGTCCTGTGGACCGGTTGGACCAACCGGCCAGTTGGTCATGTGGACCGGTTGGACCAACCGGCCAGTTGGTCATGTGGACCGGTTGGACCAACCGGCCAGTTGGTCCTGTGGACCGGTTGGACCAACCGGCCAGTTGGTCATGTGGACCGGTTGGACCAACCGGCCAGTTGGTCATGTGGACCGGTTGGACCAACCGGCCAGTTGGTCATGTGGACCGGTTGGACCAACCGGCCAGTTGGTCCTGTGGACCGGTTGGACCAACCGGCCAGTTGGTCCTGTGGACCGGTTGGACCAACCGGCCAGTTGGTCATGTGGACCGGTTGGACCAACCGGCCAGTTGGTCCTGTGGACCGGTTGGACCAACCGGCCAGTTGGTCATGTGGACCGGTTGGACCAACCGGCCAGTTGGTCATGTGGACCGGTTGGACCAACCGGCCAGTTGGTCCTGTGGACCGGTTGGACCAACCGGCCAGTTGGTCCTGTGGACCGGTTGGACCAACCGGCCAGTTGGTCATGTGGACCGGTTGGACCAACCGGCCAGTTGGTCATGTGGACCGGTTGGACCAACCGGCCAGTTGGTCCTGTGGACCGGTTGGACCAACCGGCCAGTTGGTCATGTGGACCGGTTGGACCAACCGGCCAGTTGGTCCTGTGGACCGGTTGGACCAACCGGCCAGTTGGTCCTGTGGACCGGTTGGACCAACCGGCCAGTTGGTCCTGTGGACCGGTTGGACCAACCGGCCAGTTGGTCATGTGGACCGGTTGGACCAACCGGCCAGTTGGTCCTGTGGACCGGTTGGACCAACCGGCCAGTTGGTCCTGTGGACCGGTTGGACCAACCGGCCAGTTGGTCCTGTGGACCGGTTGGTCCAACCGGCCAGTTGGTCCTGTGGACCGGTTGGACCAACCGGCCAGTTGGTCCTGTGGACCGGTTGGTACCAACCGGCCAGTTGGTCATGTGGACCGGTTGGACCAACCGGCCAGTTGGTCCTGTGGACCGGTTGGACCAACCGGCCAGTTGGTCCTGTGGACCGGTTGGACCAACCGGCCAGTTGGTCCTGTGGACCGGTTGGACCAACCGGCCAGTTGGTCCTGTGGACCGGTTGGACCAACCGGCCAGTTGGTCCTGTGGACCGGTTGGACCAACCGGCCAGTTGGTCATGTGGACCGGTTGGACCAACCGGCCAGTTGGTCCTGTGGACCGGTTGGACCAACCGGCCAGTTGGTCCTGTGGACCGGTTGGACCAACCGGCCAGTTGGTCCTGTGGACCGGTTGGACCAACCGGCCAGTTGGTCCTGTGGACCGGTTGGACCAACCGGCCAGTTGGTCCTGTGGACCGGTTGGACCAACCGGCCAGTTGGTCATGTGGACCGGTTGGACCAACCGGCCAGTTGGTCCTGTGGACCGGTTGGACCAACCGGCCAGTTGGTCCTGTGGACCGGTTGGACCAACCGGCCAGTTGGTCCTGTGGACCGGTTGGACCAACCGGCCAGTTGGTCCTGTGGACCGGTTGGACCAACCGGCCAGTTGGTCCTGTGGACCGGTTGGACCAACCGGCCAGTTGGTCCTGTGGACCGGTTGGACCAACCGGCCAGTTGGTCCTGTGGACCGGTTGGACCAACCGGCCAGTTGGTCATGTGGACCGGTTGGACCAACCGGCCAGTTGGTCCTGTGGACCGGTTGGACAACCGGCCAGTTGGTCCTGTGGACCGGTTGGACCAACCGGCCAGTTGGTCATGTGGACCGGTTGGACCAACCGGCCAGTTGGTCCTGTGGACCGGTTGGACCAACCGGCCAGTTGGTCCTGTGGACCGGTTGGACCAACCGGCCAGTTGGTCCTGTGGACCGGTTGGACCAACCGGCCAGTTGGTCATGTGGACCGGTTGGACCAACCGGCCAGTTGGTCCTGTGGACCGGTTGGACCAACCGGCCAGTTGGTCATGTGGACCGGTTGGACCAACCGGCCAGTTGGTCCTGTGGACCGGTTGGACCAACCGGCCAGTTGGTCCTGTGGACCGGTTGGACCAACCGGCCAGTTGGTCATGTGGACCGGTTGGTACCAACCGGCCAGTTGGTCATGTGGACCGGTTGGACCAACCGGCCAGTTGGTCATGTGGACCGGTTGGTCCAACCGGCCAGTTGGTCCTGTGGACCGGTTGGACCAACCGGCCAGTTGGTCCTGTGGACCGGTTGGACCAACCGGCCAGTTGGTCCTGTGGACCGGTTGGACCAACCGGCCAGTTGGTCATGTGGACCGGTTGGACCAACCGGCCAGTTGGTCCTGTGGACCGGTTGGACCAACCGGCCAGTTGGTCATGTGGACCGGTTGGACCAACCGGCCAGTTGGTCATGTGGACCGGTTGGACCAACCGGCCAGTTGGTCATGTGGACCGGTTGGACCAACCGGCCAGTTGGTCCTGTGGACCGGTTGGTACCAACCGGCCAGTTGGTCATGTGGACCGGTTGGACCAACCGGCCAGTTGGTCCTGTGGACCGGTTGGACCAACCGGCCAGTTGGTCATGTGGACCGGTTGGACCAACCGGCCAGTTGGTCCTGTGGACCGGTTGGGACCAACCGGCCAGTTGGTCCTGTGGACCGGTTGGACCAACCGGCCAGTTGGTCCTGTGGACCGGTTGGACCAACCGGCCAGTTGGTCCTGTGGACCGGTTGGACCAACCGGCCAGTTGGTCCTGTGGACCGGTTGGACCAACCGGCCAGTTGGTCATGTGGACCGGTTGGACCAACCGGCCAGTTGGTCATGTGGACCGGTTGGACCAACCGGCCAGTTGGTCCTGTGGACCGGTTGGACCAACCGGCCAGTTGGTCATGTGGACCGGTTGGACCAACCGGCCAGTTGGTCATGTGGACCGACCCCCCCCCGGTTGGACCAACCGGCCAGTTGGTCATGTGGACCGGTTGGACCAACCGGCCAGTTGGTCCTGTGGACCGGTTGGACCAACCGGCCAGTTGGTCATGTGGACCGGTTGGACCAACCGGCCAGTTGGTCCTGTGGACCGGTTGGACCAACCGGCCAGTTGGTCCTGTGGACCGGTTGGACCAACCGGCCAGTTGGTCATGTGGACCGGTTGGACCAACCGGCCAGTTGGTCCTGTGGACCGGTTGGACCAACCGGCCAGTTGGTCCTGTGGACCGGTTGGACCAACCGGCCAGTTGGTCCTGTGGACCGGTTGGACCAACCGGCCAGTTGGTCCTGTGGACCGGTTGGACCAACCGGCCAGTTGGTCCTGTGGACCGGTTGGACCAACCGGCCAGTTGGTCCTGTGGACCGGTTGGACCAACCGGCCAGGTTGGTCATGTGGACCGGTTGGTCCAACCGGCCAGTTGGTCATGTGGACCGGTTGGACCAACCGGCCAGTTGGTCCTGTGGACCGGTTGGACCAACCGGCCAGTTGGTCCTGTGGACCGGTTGGACCAACCGGCCAGTTGGTCCTGTGGACCGGTTGGACCAACCGGCCAGTTGGTCCTGTGGACCGGTTGGACCAACCGGCCAGTTGGTCCTGTGGACCGGTTGGACCAACCGGCCAGTTGGTCATGTGGACCGGTTGGTACCAACCGGCCAGTTGGTCCTGTGGACCGGTTGGACCAACCGGCCAGTTGGTCCTGTGGACCGGTTGGACCAACCGGCCAGTTGGTCCTGTGGACCGGTTGGACCAACCGGCCAGTTGGTCCTGTGGACCGGTTGGACCAACCGGCCAGTTGGTCATGTGGACCGGTTGGACCAACCGGCCAGTTGGTCCTGTGGACCGGTTGGACCAACCGGCCAGTTGGTCATGTGGACCGGTTGGACCAACCGGCCAGTTGGTCCTGTGGACCGGTTGGACCAACCGGCCAGTTGGTCCTGTGGACCGGTTGGACCAACCGGCCAGTTGGTCCTGTGGACCGGTTGGACCAACCGGCCAGTTGGTCCTGTGGACCGGTTGGACCAACCGGCCAGTTGGTCCTGTGGACCGGTTGGACCAACCGGCCAGTTGGTCCTGTGGACCGGTTGGACCAACCGGCCAGTTGGTCCTGTGGACCGGTTGGACCAACCGGCCAGTTGGTCATGTGGACCGGTTGGACCAACCGGCCAGTTGGTCCTGTGGACCGGTTGGACCAACCGGCCAGTTGGTCCTGTGGACCGGTTGGACCAACCGGCCAGTTGGTCCTGTGGACCGGTTGGTACCAACCGGCCAGTTGGTCCTGTGGACCGGTTGGACCAACCGGCCAGTTGGTCCTGTGGACCGGTTGGACCAACCGGCCAGTTGGTCCTGTGGACCGGTTGGTACCAACCGGCCAGTTGGTCCTGTGGACCGGTTGGACCAACCGGCCAGTTGGTCCTGTGGACCGGTTGGACCAACCGGCCAGTTGGTCCTGTGGACCGGTTGGACCAACCGGCCAGTTGGTCCTGTGGACCGGTTGGACCAACCGGCCAGTTGGTCCTGTGGACCGGTTGGACCAACCGGCCAGTTGGTCCTGTGGACCGGTTGGACCAACCGGCCAGTTGGTCATGTGGACCGGTTGGACCAACCGGCCAGTTGGTCCTGTGGACCGGTTGGTACCAACCGGCCAGTTGGTCCTGTGGACCGGTTGGTCCAACCGGCCAGTTGGTCCTGTGGACCGGTTGGACCAACCGGCCAGTTGGTCCTGTGGACCGGTTGGACCAACCGGCCAGTTGGTCATGTGGACCGGTTGGACCAACCGGCCAGTTGGTCCTGTGGACCGGTTGGACCAACCGGCCAGTTGGTCCTGTGGACCGGTTGGACCAACCGGCCAGTTGGTCCTGTGGACCGGTTGGACCAACGGCCAGTTGGTCATGTGGACCGGTTGGACCAACCGGCCAGTTGGTCATGTGGACCGGTTGGACCAACCGGCCAGTTGGTCCTGTGGACCGGTTGGACCAACCGGCCAGTTGGTCATGTGGACCGGTTGGACCAACCGGCCAGTTGGTCCTGTGGACCGGTTGGACCAACCGGCCAGTTGGTCCTGTGGACCGGTTGGACCAACCGGCCAGTTGGTCCTGTGGACCGGTTGGACCAACCGGCCAGTTGGTCCTGTGGACCGGTTGGACCAACCGGCCAGTTGGTCCTGTGGACCGGTTGGACCAACCGGCCAGTTGGTCCATGTGGACCGGTTGGACCAACCGGCCAGTTGGTCCATGTGGACCGGTTGGACCAACCGGCCAGTTGGTCATGTGGACCGGTTGGACCAACCGGCCAGTTGGTCCTGTGGACCGGTTGGACCAACCGGCCAGTTGGTCCTGTGGACCGGTTGGACCAACCGGCCAGTTGGTCATGTGGACCGGTTGGACCAACCGGCCAGTTGGTCCTGTGGACCGGTTGGACCAACCGGCCAGTTGGTCCTGTGGACCGGTTGGACCAACCGGCCAGTTGGTCATGTGGACCGGTTGGACCAACCGGCCAGTTGGTCCTGTGGACCGGTTGGACCAACCGGCCAGTTGGTCATGTGGACCGGTTGGACCAACCGGCCAGTTGGTCATGTGGACCGGTTGGTACCAACCGGCCAGTTGGTCATGTGGACCGGTTGGACCAACCGGCCAGTTGGTCCTGTGGACCGGTTGGACCAACCGGCCAGTTGGTCCTGTGGACCGGTTGGACCAACCGGCCAGTTGGTCCTGTGGACCGGTTGGACCAACCGGCCAGTTGGTCCTGTGGACCGGTTGGACCAACCGGCCAGTTGGTCCTGTGGACCGGTTGGTACCAACCGGCCAGTTGGTCCTGTGGACCGGTTGGACCAACCGGCCAGTTGGTCCTGTGGACCGGTTGGACCAACCGGCCAGTTGGTCCTGTGGACCGGTTGGACCAACCGGCCAGTTGGTCCTGTGGACCGGTTGGACCAACCGGCCAGTTGGTCCTGTGGACCGGTTGGACCAACCGGCCAGTTGGTCATGTGGACCGGTTGGTACCAACCGGCCAGTTGGTCCTGTGGACCGGTTGGACCAACCGGCCAGTTGGTCCTGTGGACCGGTTGGACCAACCGGCCAGTTGGTCCTGTGGACCGGTTGGACCAACCGGCCAGTTGGTCCTGTGGACCGGTTGGACCAACCGGCCAGTTGGTCATGTGGACCGGTTGGACCAACCGGCCAGTTGGTCCTGTGGACCGGTTGGACCAACCGGCCAGTTGGTCCTGTGGACCGGTTGGACCAACCGGCCAGTTGGTCATGTGGACCGGTTGGACCAACCGGCCAGTTGGTCCTGTGGACCGGTTGGACCAACCGGCCAGTTGGTCCTGTGGACCGGTTGGACCAACCGGCCAGTTGGTCCTGTGGACCGGTTGGACCAACCGGCCAGTTGGTCCTGTGGACCGGTTGGACCAACCGGCCAGTTGGTCCTGTGGACCGGTTGGACCAACCGGCCAGTTGGTCCTGTGGACCGGTTGGACCAACCGGCCAGTTGGTCATGTGGACCGGTTGGACCAACCGGCCAGTTGGTCCTGTGGACCGGTTGGACCAACCGGCCAGTTGGTCATGTGGACCGGTTGGACCAACCGGCCAGTTGGTCCTGTGGACCGGTTGGACCAACCGGCCAGTTGGTCCTGTGGACCGGTTGGACCAACCGGCCAGTTGGTCCTGTGGACCGGTTGGACCAACCGGCCAGTTGGTCATGTGGACCGGTTGGACCAACCGGCCAGTTGGTCCTGTGGACCGGTTGGACCAACCGGCCAGTTGGTCATGTGGACCGGTTGGACCAACCGGCCAGTTGGTCCTGTGGACCGGTTGGACCAACCGGCCAGTTGGTCCTGTGGACCGGTTGGACCAACCGGCCAGTTGGTCCTGTGGACCGGTTGGACCAACCGGCCAGTTGGTCCTGTGGACCGGTTGGACCAACCGGCCAGTTGGTCCTGTGGACCGGTTGGACCAACCGGCCAGTTGGTCCTGTGGACCGGTTGGACCAACCGGCCAGTTGGTCCTGTGGACCGGTTGGACCAACCGGCCAGTTGGTCCTGTGGACCGGTTGGACCAACCGGCCAGTTGGTCCTGTGGACCGGTTGGACCAACCGGCCAGTTGGTCCTGTGGACCGGTTGGACCAACCGGCCAGTTGGTCCTGTGGACCGGTTGGACCAACCGGCCAGTTGGTCCTGTGGACCGGTTGGACCAACCGGCCAGTTGGTCCTGTGGACCGGTTGGACCAACCGGCCAGTTGGTCCTGTGGACCGGTTGGACCAACCGGCCAGTTGGTCCTGTGGACCGGTTGGACCAACCGGCCAGTTGGTCCTGTGGACCGGTTGGACCAACCGGCCAGTTGGTCCTGTGGACCGGTTGGACCAACCGGCCAGTTGGTCATGTGGACCGGTTGGACCAACCGGCCAGTTGGTCCTGTGGACCGGTTGGACCAACCGGCCAGTTGGTCATGTGGACCGGTTGGACCAACCGGCCAGTTGGTCATGTGGACCGGTTGGACCAACCGGCCAGTTGGTCCTGTGGACCGGTTGGACCAACCGGCCAGTTGGTCCTGTGGACCGGTTGGTACCAACCGGCCAGTTGGTCCTGTGGACCGGTTGGACCAACCGGCCAGTTGGTCATGTGGACCGGTTGGACCAACCGGCCAGTTGGTCCTGTGGACCGGTTGGACCAACCGGCCAGTTGGTCCTGTGGACCGGTTGGACCAACCGGCCAGTGGTCATGTGGACCGGTTGGACCAACCGGCCAGTTGGTCATGTGGACCGGTTGGTCCAACCGGCCAGTTGGTCCTGTGGACCGGTTGGACCAACCGGCCAGTTGGTCCTGTGGACCGGTTGGACCAACCGGCCAGTTGGTCCTGTGGACCGGTTGGACCAACCGGCCAGTTGGTCCTGTGGACCGGTTGGACCAACCGGCCAGTTGGTCCTGTGGACCGGTTGGACCAACCGGCCAGTTGGTCCTGTGGACCGGTTGGTCCAACCGGCCAGTTGGTCCTGTGGACCGGTTGGACCAACCGGCCAGTTGGTCCTGTGGACCGGTTGGACCAACCGGCCAGTTGGTCCTGTGGACCGGTTGGACCAACCGGCCAGTTGGTCCTGTGGACCGGTTGGACCAACCGGCCAGTTGGTCATGTGGACCGGTTGGACCAACCGGCCAGTTGGTCCTGTGGACCGGTTGGACCAACCGGCCAGTTGGTCATGTGGACCGGTTGGACCAACCGGCCAGTTGGTCCTGTGGACCGGTTGGACCAACCGGCCAGTTGGTCCTGTGGACCGGTTGGACCAACCGGCCAGTTGGTCCTGTGGACCGGTTGGACCAACCGGCCAGTTGGTCATGTGGACCGGTTGGATCCAACCGGCCAGTTGGTCCTGTGGACCGGTTGGACCAACCGGCCAGTTGGTCATGTGGACCGTTGGACCAACCGGCCAGTTGGTCCTGTGGACCGGTTGGACCAACCGGCCAGTTGGTCATGTGGACCGGTTGGACCAACCGGCCAGTTGGTCATGTGGACCGGTTGGACCAACCGGCCAGTTGGTCCTGTGGACCGGTTGGACCAACCGGCCAGTTGGTCATGTGGACCGGTTGGACCAACCGGCCAGTTGGTCCTGTGGACCGGTTGGACCAACCGGCCAGTTGGTCCTGTGGACCGGTTGGACCAACCGGCCAGTTGGTCCTGTGGACCGGTTGGACCAACCGGCCAGTTGGTCATGTGGACCGGTTGGACCAACCGGCCAGTTGGTCATGTGGACCGGTTGGACCAACCGGCCAGTTGGTCCTGTGGACCGGTTGGACCAACCGGCCAGTTGGTCATGTGGACCGGTTGGACCAACCGGCCAGTTGGTCCTGTGGACCGGTTGGACCAACCGGCCAGTTGGTCATGTGGACCGGTTGGACCAACCGGCCAGTTGGTCCTGTGGACCGGTTGGACCAACCGGCCAGTTGGTCATGTGGACCGGTTGGTCCAACCGGCCAGTTGGTCCTGTGGACCGGTTGGACCAACCGGCCAGTTGGTCCTGTGGACCGGTTGGACCAACCGGCCAGTTGGTCCTGTGGACCGGTTGGACCAACCGGCCAGTTGGTCCTGTGGACCGGTTGGACCAACCGGCCAGTTGGTCATGTGGACCGGTTGGACCAACCGGCCAGTTGGTCCTGTGGACCGGTTGGACCAACCGGCCAGTTGGTCATGTGGACCGGTTGGACCAACCGGCCAGTTGGTCCTGTGGACCGGTTGGACCAACCGGCCAGTTGGTCATGTGGACCGGTTGGACCAACCGGCCAGTTGGTCATGTGGACCGGTTGGACCAACCGGCCAGTTGGTCCTGTGGACCGGTTGGACCAACCGGCCAGTTGGTCCTGTGGACCGGTTGGACCAACCGGCCAGTTGGTCCTGTGGACCGGTTGGACCAACCGGCCAGTTGGTCCTGTGGACCGGTTGGACCAACCGGCCAGTTGGTCATGTGGACCGGTTGGACCAACCGGCCAGTTGGTCCTGTGGACCGGTTGGACCAACCGGCCAGTTGGTCATGTGGACCGGTTGGTACCAACCGGCCAGTTGGTCCTGTGGACCGGTTGGACCAACCGGCCAGTTGGTCCTGTGGACCGGTTGGACCAACCGGCCAGTTGGTCCTGTGGACCGGTTGGACCAACCGGCCAGTTGGTCATGTGGACCGGTTGGACCAACCGGCCAGTTGGTCCTGTGGACCGGTTGGACCAACCGGCCAGTTGGTCCTGTGGACCGGTTGGACCAACCGGCCAGTTGGTCATGTGGACCGGTTGGACCAACCGGCCAGTTGGTCCTGTGGACCGGTTGGACCAACCGGCCAGTTGGTCCTGTGGACCGGTTGGACCAACCGGCCAGTTGGTCCTGTGGACCGGTTGGACCAACCGGCCAGTTGGTCATGTGGACCGGTTGGACCAACCGGCCAGTTGGTCCTGTGGACCGGTTGGACCAACCGGCCAGTTGGTCCTGTGGACCGGTTGGACCAACCGGCCAGTTGGTCATGTGGACCGGTTGGGCCAACCGGCCAGTTGGTCCTGTGGACCGGTTGGACCAACCGGCCAGTTGGTCCTGTGGACCGGTTGGACCAACCGGCCAGTTGGTCATGTGGACCGGTTGGTACCAACCGGCCAGTTGGTCATGTGGACCGGTTGGACCAACCGGCCAGTTGGTCCTGTGGACCGGTTGGACCAACCGGCCAGTTGGTCCTGTGGACCGGTTGGACCAACCGGCCAGTTGGTCATGTGGACCGGTTGGACCAACCGGCCAGTTGGTCCTGTGGACCGGTTGGACCAACCGGCCAGTTGGTCCTGTGGACCGGTTGGACCAACCGGCCAGTTGGTCCTGTGGACCGGTTTGGACCAACCGGCCAGTTGGTCATGTGGACCGGTTGGCCAACCGGCCAGTTGGTCCTGTGGACCGGTTGGACCAACCGGCCAGTTGGTCATGTGGACCGGTTGGACCAACCGGCCAGTTGGTCCTGTGGACCGGTTGGACCAACCGGCCAGTTGGTCATGTGGACCGGTTGGACCAACCGGCCAGTTGGTCCTGTGGACCGGTTGGACCAACCGGCCAGTTGGTCCTGTGGACCGGTTTGGACCAACCGGCCAGTTGGTCATGTGGACCGGTTGGACCAACCGGCCAGTTGGTCCTGTGGACCGGTTGGACCAACCGGCCAGTTGGTCCTGTGGACCGGTTGGACCAACCGGCCAGTTGGTCCTGTGGACCGGTTGGACCAACCGGCCAGTTGGTCATGTGGACCGGTTGGACCAACCGGCCAGTTGGTCATGTGGACCGGTTGGACCAACCGGCCAGTTGGTCCTGTGGACCGGTTGGACCAACCGGCCAGTTGGTCATGTGGACCGGTTGGACCAACCGGCCAGTTGGTCCTGTGGACCGGTTGGTACCAACCGGCCAGTTGGTCCTGTGGACCGGTTGGACCAACCGGCCAGTTGGTCCTGTGGACCGGTTGGACCAAACCGGCCAGTTGGTCATGTGGACCGGTTGGACCAACCGGCCAGTTGGTCCTGTGGACCGGTTGGACCAACCGGCCAGTCCTGTGGACCGGTTGGACCAACCGGCCAGTTGGTCATGTGGACCGGTTGGACCAACCGGCCAGTTGGTCATGTGGACCGGTTGGATCCAACCGGCCAGTTGGTCATGTGGACCGGTTGGACCAACCGGCCAGTTGGTCCTGTGGACCGGTTGGACCAACCGGCCAGTTGGTCCTGTGGACCGGTTGGACCAACCGGCCAGTTGGTCATGTGGACCGGTTGGACCAACCGGCCAGTTGGTCCTGTGGACCGGTTGGACCAACCGGCCAGTTGGTCATGTGGACCGGTTGGACCAACCGGCCAGTTGGTCCTGTGGACCGGTTGGACCAACCGGCCAGTTGGTCCTGTGGACCGGTTGGACCAACCGGCCAGTTGGTCATGTGGACCGGTTGGACCAACCGGCCAGTTGGTCCTGTGGACCGGTTGGACCAACCGGCCAGTTGGTCCTGTGGACCGGTTGGACCAACCGGCCAGTTGGTCCTGTGGACCGGTTGGACCAACCGGCCAGTTGGTCCTGTGGACCGGTTGGACCAACCGGCCAGTTGGTCCTGTGGACCGGTTGGACCAACCGGCCAGTTTGGTCATGTGGACCGGTTGGACCAACCGGCCAGTTGGTCCTGTGGACCGGTTGGACCAACCGGCCAGTTGGTCCTGTGGACCGGTTGGACCAACCGGCCAGTTGGTCATGTGGACCGGTTGGACCAACCGGCCAGTTGGTCCTGTGGACCGGTTGGACCAACCGGCCAGTTGGTCCATGTGGACCGGTTGGACCAACCGGCCAGTTGGTCATGTGGACCGGTTGGACCAACCGGCCAGTTGGTCCTGTGGACCGGTTGGACCAACCGGCCATGTTGGTCCTGTGGACCGGTTGGACCAACCGGCCAGTTGGTCATGTGGACCGGTTGGTCCAACCGGCCAGTTGGTCCTGTGGACCGGTTGGACCAACCGGCCAGTTGGTCCTGTGGACCGGTTGGACCAACCGGCCAGTTGGTCATGTGGACCGGTTGGACCAACCGGCCAGTTGGTCATGTGGACCGGTTGGACCAACCGGCCAGTTGGTCCTGTGGACCGGTTGGACCAACCGGCCAGTTGGTCCTGTGGACCGGTTGGACCAACCGGCCAGTTGGTCATGTGGACCGGTTGGACCAACCGGCCAGTTGGTCCTGTGGACCGGTTGGACCAACCGGCCAGTTGGTCATGTGGACCGGTTGGACCAACCGGCCAGTTGGTCCTGTGGACCGGTTGGACCAACCGGCCAGTTGGTCATGTGGACCGGTTGGACCAACCGGCCAGTTGGTCATGTGGACCGGTTGGACCAACCGGCCAGTTGGTCATGTGGACCGGTTGGACCAACCGGCCAGTTGGTCCTGTGGACCGGTTGGACCAACCGGCCAGTTGGTCCTGTGGACCGGTTGGACCAACCGGCCAGTTGGTCATGTGGACCGGTTTGGACCAACCGGCCAGTTGGTCCTGTGGACCGGTTGGACCAACCGGCCAGTTGGTCCTGTGGACCGGTTGGACCAACCGCCAGTTGGTCCTGTGGACCGGTTGGACCAACCGGCCAGTTGGTCCTGTGGACCGGTTGGACCAACCGGCCAGTTGGTCATGTGGACCGGTTGGTCCAACCGGCCAGTTGGTCATGTGGACCGGTTGGACCAACCGGCCAGTTGGTCCTGTGGACCGGTTGGACCAACCGGCCAGTTGGTCCTGTGGACCGGTTGGACCAACCGGCCAGTTGGTCATGTGGACCGGTTGGACCAACCGGCCAGTTGGTCCTGTGGACCGGTTGGACCAACCGGCCAGTTGGTCCTGTGGACCGGTTGGACCAACCGGCCAGTTGGTCCTGTGGACCGGTTGGACCAACCGGCCAGTTGGTCCTGTGGACCGGTTGGACCAACCGGCCAGTTGGTCATGTGGACCGGTTGGACCAACCGGCCAGTTGGTCCTGTGGACCGGTTGGACCAACCGGCCAGTTGGTCATGTGGACCGGTTGGACCAACCGGCCAGTTGGTCCTGTGGACCGGTTGGACCAACCGGCCAGTTGGTCCTGTGGACCGGTTGGACCAACCGGCCAGTTGGTCATGTGGACCGGTTGGACCAACCGGCCAGTTGGTCCTGTGGACCGGTTGGACCAACCGGCCAGTTGGTCCTGTGGACCGGTTGGACCAACCGGCCAGTTGGTCCTGTGGACCGGTTGGACCAACCGGCCAGTTGGTCCTGTGGACCGGTTGGACCAACCGGCCAGTTGGTCCTGTGGACCGGTTGGACCAACCGGCCAGTTGGTCCTGTGGACCGGTTGGATCCAACCGGCCAGTTGGTCCTGTGGACCGGTTGGACCAACCGGCCAGTTGGTCATGTGGACCGGTTGGACCAACCGGCCAGTTGGTCATGTGGACCGGTTGGACCAACCGGCCAGTTGGTCCTGTGGACCGGTTGGACCAACCGGCCAGTTGGTCATGTGGACCGGTTGGACCAACCGGCCAGTTGGTCCTGTGGACCGGTTGGACCAACCGGCCAGTTGGTCCTGTGGACCGGTTGGACCAACCGGCCAGTTGGTCCTGTGGACCGGTTGGACCAACCGGCCAGTTGGTCCTGTGGACCGGTTGGACCAACCGGCCAGTTGGTCCTGTGGACCGGTTGGACCAACCGGCCAGTTGGTCCTGTGGACCGGTTGGACCAACCGGCCAGTGGTCCTGTGGACCGGTTGGACCAACCGGCCAGTTGGTCATGTGGACCGGTTGGACCAACCGGCCAGTTGGTCCTGTGGACCGGTTGGACCAACCGGCCAGTTGGTCCTGTGGACCGGTTGGACCAACCGGCCAGTTGGTCATGTGGACCGGTTGGACCAACCGGCCAGTTGGTCCTGTGGACCGGTTGGACCAACCGGCCAGTTGGTCCTGTGGACCGGTTGGACCAACCGGCCAGTTGGTCATGTGGACCGGTTGGACCAACCGGCCAGTTGGTCCTGTGGACCGGTTGGACCAACCGGCCAGTTGGTCATGTGGACCGGTTGGACCAACCGGCCAGTTGGTCATGTGGACCGGTTGGACCAACCGGCCAGTTGGTCATGTGGACCGGTTGGACCAACCGGCCAGTTGGTCCTGTGGACCGGTTGGCCAACCGGCCAGTTGGTCCTGTGGACCGGTTGGACCAACCGGCCAGTTGGTCCTGTGGACCGGTTGGACCAACCGGCCAGTTGGTCCATGTGGACCGGTTGGACCAACCGGCCAGTTGGTCATGTGGACCGGTTGGACCAACCGGCCAGTTGGTCCTGTGGACCGGTTGGTCCAACCGGCCAGTTGGTCATGTGGGACCGGTTGGTCCAACCGGCCAGTTGGTCATGTGGACCGGTTGGACCAACCGGCCAGTTGGTCCTGTGGACCGGTTGGACCAACCGGCCAGTTGGTCCTGTGGACCGGTTGGACCAACCGGCCAGTTGGTCATGTGGACCGGTTGGACCAACCGGCCAGTTGGTCCTGTGGGACCGGTTGGACCAACCGGCCAGTTGGTCATGTGGACCGGTTGGTCCAACCGGCCAGTTGGTCATGTGGACCGGTTGGACCAACCGGCCAGTTGGTCCTGTGGACCGGTTGGTCCAACCGGCCAGTTGGTCCTGTGGACCGGTTGGACCAACCGGCCAGTTGGTCATGTGGACCGGTTGGACCAACCGGCCAGTTGGTCCTGTGGACCGGTTGGACCAACCGGCCAGTTGGTCCTGTGGACCGGTTTGGACCAACCGGCCAGTTGGTCATGTGGACCGGTTGGACCAACCGGCCAGTTGGTCCTGTGGACCGGTTGGACCAACCGGCCAGTTGGTCCTGTGGACCGGTTGGACCAACCGGCCAGTTGGTCCTGTGGACCGGTTGGTCCAACCGGCCAGTTGGTCATGTGGACCGGTTGGACCAACCGGCCAGTTGGTCATGTGGACCGGTTGGACCAACCGGCCAGTTGGTCATGTGGACCGGTTGGTCCAACCGGCCAGTTGGTCCTGTGGACCGGTTGGACCAACCGGCCAGTTGGTCCTGTGGACCGGTTGGACCAACCGGCCAGTTGGTCCCATGTGGACCGGTTGGTCCAACCGGCCAGTTGGTCATGTGGACCGGTTGGACCAACCGGCAGTTGGTCCTGTGGACCGGTTGGACCACCGGCCAGTTGGTCCTGTGGACCGGTTGGACCAACCGGCCAGTTGGTCCTGTGGACCGGTTGGACCAACCGGCCAGTTGGTCCTGTGGACCGGTTGGACCAACCGGCCAGTTGGTCCTGTGGACCGGTTGGACCAACCGGCCAGTTGGTCCATGTGGACCGGTTGGTACCAACCGGCCAGTTGGTCATGTGGACCGGTTGGACCAACCGGCCAGTTGGTCATGTGGACCGGTTGGACCAACCGGCCAGTTGGTCCTGTGGACCGGTTGGACCAACCGGCCAGTTGGTCCTGTGGACCGGTTGGACCAACCGGCCAGTTGGTCCTGTGGACCGGTTGGACCAACCGGCCAGTTGGTCATGTGGACCGGTTGGACCAACCGGCCAGTTGGTCATGTGGACCGGTTGGACCAACCGGCCAGTTGGTCATGTGGACCGGTTGGACCAACCGGCCAGTTGGTCCTGTGGACCGGTTGGACCAACCGGCCAGTTGGTCCTGTGGACCGGTTGGACCAACCGGCCAGTTGGTCATGTGGACCGGTTGGACCAACCGGCCAGTTGGTCATGTGGACCGGTTGGACCAACCGGCCAGTTGGTCCTGTGGACCGGTTGGACCAACCGGCCAGTTGGTCATGTGGACCGGTTGGACCAACCGGCCAGTTGGTCATGTGGACCGGTTGGACCAACCGGCCAGTTGGTCCTGTGGACCGGTTGGACCAACCGGCCAGTTGGTCCTGTGGACCGGTTGGACCAACCGGCCAGTTGGTCCTGTGGACCGGTTGGACCAACCGGCCAGTTGGTCCTGTGGACCGGTTGGACCAACCGGCCAGTTGGTCCTGTGGACCGGTTGGACCAACCGGCCAGTTGGTCCTGTGGACCGGTTGGACCAACCGGCCAGTTGGTCCTGTGGACCGGTTGGACCAACCGGCCAGTTGGTCATGTGGACCGGTTGGACCAACCGGCCAGTTGGTCCTGTGGACCGGTTGGACCAACCGGCCAGTTGGTCCTGTGGACCGGTTGGACCAACCGGCCAGTTGGTCATGTGGACCGGTTGGACCAACCGGCCAGTTGGTCCTGTGGACCGGTTGGACCAACCGGCCAGTTGGTCCTGTGGACCGGTTGGACCAACCGGCCAGTTGGTCATGTGGACCGGTTGGACCAACCGGCCAGTTGGTCCTGTGGACCGGTTGGACCAACCGGCCAGTTGGTCATGTGGACCGGTTGGACCAACCGGCCAGTTGGTCCTGTGGACCGGTTGGCCAACCGGCCAGTTGGTCCTGTGGACCGGTTGGACCAACCGGCCAGTTGGTCCTGTGGACCGGTTGGACCAACCGGCCAGTTGGTCCTGTGGACCGGTTGGACCAACCGGCCAGTTGGTCCTGTGGACCGGTTGGACCAACCGGCCAGTTGGTCATGTGGACCGGTTGGACCAACCGGCCAGTTGGTCCTGTGGACCGGTTGGACCAACCGGCCAGTTGGTCCTGTGGACCGGTTGGTCCAACCGGCCAGTTGGTCCTGTGGACCGGTTGGACCAACCGGCCAGTTGGTCATGTGGACCGGTTGGACCAACCGGCCAGTTGGTCATGTGGACCGGTTGGACCAACCGGCCAGTTGGTCATGTGGACCGGTTGGACCAACCGGCCAGTTGGTCCTGTGGACCGGTTGGACCAACCGGCCAGTTGGTCCTGTGGACCGGTTGGTACCAACCGGCCAGTTGGTCATGTGGACCGGTTGGACCAACCGGCCAGTTGGTCATGTGGACCGGTTGGACCAACCGGCCAGTTGGTCATGTGGACCGGTTGGACCAACCGGCCAGTTGGTCCTGTGGACCGGTTGGACCAACCGGCCAGTTGGTCCTGTGGACCGGTTGGACCAACCGGCCAGTTGGTCCTGTGGACCGGTTGGACCAACCGGCCAGTTGGTCCTGTGGACCGGTTGGACCAACCGGCCAGTTGGTCATGTGGACCGGTTGGACCAACCGGCCAGTTGGTCCTGTGGACCGGTTGGACCAACCGGCCAGTTGGTCCTGTGGACCGGTTGGACCAACCGGCCAGTTGGTCCTGTGGACCGGTTGGTCCAACCGGCCAGTTGGTCATGTGGACCGGTTGGACCAACCGGCCAGTTGGTCATGTGGACCGGTTGGACCAACCGGCCAGTTGGTCCTGTGGACCGGTTGGACCAACCGGCCAGTTGGTCCTGTGGACCGGTTGGACCAACCGGCCAGTTGGTCATGTGGACCGGTTGGACCAACCGGCCAGTTGGTCCTGTGGACCGGTTTGGACCAACCGGCCAGTTGGTCATGTGGACCGGTTGGACCAACCGGCCAGTTGGTCCTGTGGACCGGTTGGACCAACCGGCCAGTTGGTCATGTGGACCGGTTGGACCAACCGGCCAGTTGGTCCTGTGGACCGGTTGGTACCAACCGGCCAGTTGGTCCTGTGGACCGGTTGGACCAACCGGCCAGTTGGTCCTGTGGACCGGTTGGATCCAACCGGCCAGTTGGTCCTGTGGACCGGTTGGACCAACCGGCCAGTTGGTCCTGTGGACCGGTTGGACCAACCGGCCAGTTGGTCCTGTGGACCGGTTGGTCCAACCGGCCAGTTGGTCCTGTGGACCGGTTGGACCAACCGGCCAGTTGGTCCTGTGGACCGGTTGGACCAACCGGCCAGTTGGTCATGTGGACCGGTTGGTCCAACCGGCCAGTTGGTCCTGTGGACCGGTTGGACCAACCGGCCAGTTGGTCATGTGGACCGGTTGGACCAACCGGCCAGTTGGTCATGTGGACCGGTTGGACCAACCGGCCAGTTGGTCATGTGGACCGGTTGGACCAACCGGCCAGTTGGTCCTGTGGACCGGTTGGACCAACCGGCCAGTTGGTCCTGTGGACCGGTTGGACCAACCGGCCAGTTGGTCATGTGGACCGGTTGGACCAACCGGCCAGTTGGTCCTGTGGACCGGTTGGACCAACCGGCCAGTTGGTCCTGTGGACCGGTTGGACCAACCGGCCAGTTGGTCATGTGGACCGGTTGGACCAACCGGCCAGTTGGTCATGTGGACCGGTTGGACCAACCGGCCAGTTGGTCCTGTGGACCGGTTGGACCAACCGGCCAGTTGGTCCTGTGGACCGGTTGGACCAACCGGCCAGTTGGTCCTGTGGACCGGTTGGACCAACCGGCCAGTTGGTCCTGTGGACCGGTTGGACCAACCGCCAGTTGGTCATGTGGACCGGTTGGACCAACCGGCCAGTTGGTCCTGTGGACCGGTTGGACCAACCGGCCAGTTGGTCCTGTGGACCGGTTGGACCAACCGGCCAGTTGGTCATGTGGACCGGTTGGACCAACCGGCCAGTTGGTCCATGTGGACCGGTTGGACCAACCGGCCAGTTGGTCATGTGGACCGGTTGGACCAACCGGCCAGTTGGTCATGTGGACCGGTTGGACCAACCGGCCAGTTGGTCCTGTGGACCGGTTGGACCAACCGGCCAGTTGGTCCTGTGGACCGGTTGGTACCAACCGGCCAGTTGGTCATGTGGACCGGTTGGACCAACCGGCCAGTTGGTCATGTGGACCGGTTGGACCAACCGGCCAGTTGGTCCTGTGGACCGGTTGGACCAACCGGCCAGTTGGTCCTGTGGACCGGTTGGACCAACCGGCCAGTTGGTCCTGTGGACCGGTTGGACCAACCGGCCAGTTGGTCATGTGGACCGGTTGGTCCAACCGGCCAGTTGGTCATGTGGACCGGTTGGACCAACCGGCCAGTTGGTCCTGTGGACCGGTTGGACCAACCGGCCAGTTGGTCAGTTGGTCATGTGGACCGGTTGGACCAACCGGCCAGTTGGTCCTGTGGACCGGTTGGACCAACCGGCCAGTTGGTCATGTGGACCGGTTGGTCCAACCGGCCAGTTTGGTCATGTGGACCGGTTGGACCAACCGGCCAGTTGGTCCTGTGGACCGGTTGGTACCAACCGGCCAGTTGGTCCTGTGGACCGGTTGGACCAACCGGCCAGTTTGGTCCTGTGGACCGGTTGGACCAACCGGCCAGTTGGTCCTGTGGACCGGTTGGACCAACCGGCCAGTTGGTCATGTGGACCGGTTGGACCAACCGGCCAGTTGGTCCTGTGGACCGGTTGGTCCAACCGGCCAGTTGGTCCTGTGGACCGGTTGGACCAACCGGCCAGTTGGTCCTGTGGACCGGTTGGACCAACCGGCCAGTTGGTCATGTGGACCGGTTGGACCAACCGGCCAGTTGGTCCTGTGGACCGGTTGGTCCAACCGGCCAGTTGGTCCTGTGGACCGGTTGGACCAACCGGCCAGTTGGTCATGTGGACCGGTTGGACCAACCGGCCAGTTGGTCCTGTGGACCGGTTGGACCAACCGGCCAGTTGGTCCTGTGGACCGGTTGGACCAACCGGCCAGTTGGTCCTGTGGACCGGTTGGACCAACCGGCCAGTTGGTCCTGTGGACCGGTTGGACCAACCGGCCAGTTGTCCTGTGGACCGGTTGGATCCAACCGGCCAGTTGGTCCCTGTGGACCGGTTGGACCAACCGGCCAGTTGGTCCTGTGGACCGGTTGGACCAACCGGCCAGTTGGTCATGTGGACCGGTTGGTCCAACCGGCCAGTTGGTCCTGTGGACCGGTTGGACCAACCGGCCAGTTGGTCCTGTGGACCGGTTGGACCAACCGGCCAGTTGGTCCTGTGGACCGGTTGGACCAACCGGCCAGTTGGTCCTGTGGACCGGTTGGTACCAACCGGCCAGTTGGTCATGTGGACCGGTTGGACCAACCGGCCAGTTGGTTCCTGTGGACCGGTTGGACCAACCGGCCAGTAGTGGTCCTGTGGACCGGTTGGACCAACCGGCCAGTTGGTCCTGTGGACCGGTTGGACCAACCGGCCAGTTGGTCCTGTGGACCGGTTGGACCAACCGGCCAGTTGGTCATGTGGACCGGTGGACAACCGGCCAGTTGGTCATGTGGACCGGTTGGACCAACCGGCCAGTTGGTCCTGTGGACCGGTTGGACAACCGGCCAGTTGGTCATGTGGACCGGTTGGACCAACCAGGCCAGTTGGTCCTGTGGACCGGTTGGACCAACCGGCCAGTTGGTCCTGTGGACCGTGTTGGTATCCAACCGGCCAGTTGGTCCTGTGGACCGGTTTGGACCCAACCGGCCAGTTGGTCCTGTGGACCGGTTGGTCCAACCGGCCATTGGTCATGTGGACCGGTTGGTCCAACCGGCCAGCTTGGTCCTGTGGACCGGTTGGACCAACCGGCCAGTTGGTCCTGTGGACCGGTTGGTCCAACCGGCCAGTTGGTCCTGTTGGACCGGTTGGAACCAACCGGCCAGTTGGTCCTGTGGACCGGTTGGACCAACCGGCCAGTTGGTCCTGTGGACCCGTTGGACCAACCGGCCAGTTGGTCATGTGGACCGGTTGGACCAACCGGCCAGTTGGTCCTGTGGACCGGGTTGGTCCAACCGGCCAGTTGGTCCTGTGGACCGGTTGACCAACCGGCCAGTTGGTCATGTGGACCGGTTGGACCAACCGGCCAGTTGGCATGTGGAGCCGGTTGGGACCAACCGGCCAGTTGGTCCTGGGACCGGTTTGGACCAACCCGGCCAGTTGGTCCTGTGGACCGGTTGGACCAACGCCAGTTGGTCATGTGGACCGGTTGGACCAACCGGCCAGTTGGTCCTGTGGACCGGTTGGCCAACCGGCCAGTTGGTCCTGGGACCAAACCGGCCAGTTGGTCCTGTGGACCGGTTGGACCAACCGGCCAGTTGGTCATGTGGACCGGTTGGACCAACCGGCCAGTTGGTCCTGTGGACCGGTTGGACCAACCGGCCAGTTGGTCCTGTGGACCGGTTGGACCAACCGGCCAGTTGGTCATGTGGACCGGTTGGACCAACCGGCCAGTTGGTCCTGTGGACCGGTTGGACCAACCGGCCAGTTGGTCCATGTGGACCGGTTGGACCAACCGGCCAGTTGGTCCTGTGGACCGGTTGGACCAACCGGCCAGTTGGTCATGTGGACCGGTTGGACCAACCGGCCAGTTGGTCCTGTGGACCGGTTGGACCAACCGGCCAGTTGGTCCTGTGGACCGGTTGGACCAACCGGCCAGTTGGTCATGTGGACCGGTTGGTACCAACCGGCCAGTTGGTCCTGTGGACCGGTTGGACCAACCGGCCAGTTGGTCCTGTGGACCGGTTGGACCAACCGGCCAGTTGGTCATGTGGACCGGTTGGACCAACCGGCCAGTTGGTCATGTGGACCGGTTGGACCAACCGGCCAGTTGGTCCTGTGGACCGGTTGGACCAACCGGCCAGTTGGTCCTGTGGACCGGTTGGACCAACCGGCCAGTTGGTCATGTGGACCGGTTTGGACCAACCGGCCAGTTGGTCCTGTTGACCGGTTTGGACCAACCGGCCAGTTGGTCCTGTGGACCGGTTGGACCAACCGGCCAGTTGGTCCTTGGGACCGGTTGGACCAACGCGCCAGTTGGTCATGTGGACCGGTTGGTCCAATCCGGCCAGTTGGTCATGTGGACCGGTTTGGACCAAACCGGCCAGTTGGTCCTGTGGACCGGTTTGGACCAACGGCCAGTTGGTCCTGTGGACCGGTTGGACCAACCGGCCAGTTGGTCCTGTGGACCGGTTGACCAACCGGCCAGTTGGTCCTGTGGACCGGTTGGTCCAACCGGCCAGTTGGTCCATGTGGACCGGTTGGGACCAACCGGCAGTTGGTCATGTGGAACCGGTTGGGACAACCGGCCAGTTGGTCCTGTGGACCGGTTGGACCCAACCGGCCAGTTGGTCCTGTGGACCGGTTGACCAACCGGCCAGTTTGGTCATGATGGACCGGTTGGACCAACCGGCCAGTTGGTCATGTGGACCGGTTGGACCAACGGCCAGTTGGTCCTGTGGACCGGTTGGTCCAACCGGCCAGTTGGTCCTGTGGACCGGTTGGACCAACCGGCCAGTTGGTCCTTTTGGTTTCCTGTGGACCGGTTTGGACCAACCGGCCAGTTGGTCCTGTGGACCGGTTTGGACCAACCGGCCAGTTGGTCCTGTGGACCGGTTGGACCAACCGGCCTAGTTGGTCCATGTTGGACCGGTTGGACCAACCGGCCAGTTGGTCCTGTGGACCGGTTTGGACAACCGGCCAGTTGGTCCTGTGGACCGGTTGGACCAACCGGCCAGTTGGTCCTGTGGACCGGTTGGACCAACCGGCCAGTTGGTCCTGTGGACCGGTTGGACCAACCGGCCAGTTGGGTCATGTGGACCGGTTGGACCAACCGGCCAGTTGGTCATGTGGACCGGTTGGACCAACCGGCCAGTTTGGTCATGTGGACCGGTTGGACCAACCGGCCAGTTGGTCCTGTGGACCGGTTGGACCAACCGGCCAGTTGGTCATGTGGACCGGTTGGACCAACCGGCCGTTGGTCCTGTGGACCGGTTGACCAAACCGGCCAGTTGGTCATGTGGACCGGTTGGACCAACCGGCCAGTTGGTCCTGTGGACCGGTTGGACCAACCGGCCAGTTGGTCATGTGGACCAGTTGGTCCTGTGGACCGGTTGGACCACCGGCCAGTTGGTCCTGTGGACCGGTTGGACCAACCCGGCCAGTTGGTCCTGTGGACCGGTTGGACCAACCGGCCAGTTGGTCCTGTGGACCGTTTGGACCAACCGGCCAGTTGGTCATGTGGACCGGTTGGACCAACCGGCCAGTTGGTCCTGTGGACCGGTTGGACCAACCGGCCAGTTGGTCCTGTGGACCGGTTGGACCAACCGGCCAGTTGGTCATGTGGACCGGTTGGACCAACCGGCCAGTTGGTCCTGTGGACCGGTTGGACCACCGGCCAGTTGGTCCTGTGGACGGTTGGACCAACCGGCCAGTTGGTCCTGTGGACCGGTTGGACCAACCGGCCAGTTGGTCCTGTGGACCGGTTGGACCAACCGGCCAGTTGGTCCTGTGGACCGGTTGGACCAACCGGCCAGTTGGTCATGTGGACCGGTTGGACCAACCGGCCAGTTGGTCCTGTGGACCGGTTGGACCAACCGGCCAGTTGGTCATGTGGACCGGTTGGACCAACCGGCCAGTTGGTCCTGTGGACCGGTTGGACCAACCGGCCAGTTGGTCATGTGGACCGGTTGGACCAACCGGCCCAGTTGGTCCTGTGGACCGGTTGGACCAACCGGCCAGTTGGTCCTGTGGACCGGTTGGGACCAACCGGCCAGTTGGTCATGTGGACCGGTTGGACCAAACCGGCCCAGTTGGGTCATGTGGACCGGTTGGACCAACCGGCCAGTTGGTCCTGTGGACCGGTTGGACCAACCGGCCAGTTGGTCCTGTGGACCGGTTGGACCAACCGGCCAGTTTGGTCATGTGGACCGGTTGGTACCAACCGGCCCAGTTGGTCCTGTGGACCGGTTGGACCCAACCGGCCAGTTGGTCCTGTGGACCGGTTGGACCAACCGGCCAGTTGGTCCTGTGGACCGGTTGGACCAACCGGCCAGTTGGTCCTGTGGACCGGTTGGACCAAACCGGCCAGTTGTGCCTGGTGGACCGGTTGGATCCAACCGGCAGTTGGTCCTGTGGACCGGTTTGGACCAACCGGCCAGTTGGTCCTGTGGACCGGTGGACCAACCGGCCAGTTGGTCATGTGGACCGGTTGGTACCAACCGGCCAGGTGGTCCTGTGGACCGGTTGGACCAACCGGCCAGTTGGTCCTGTGGACCGGTTGGACCAACCGGCCAGTTGGTCATGTGGACCGGTTGGACCAACCGGCCAGTTGGTCCTGTGGACGTTTGGACCAACCGGCCAGTTGGTCCCTGTGGACCGGTTGGACCAACCGGCCAGTTGGTCATTGTGGACCGGTTGGTACCAACCGGCCAGTTGGTCATGTGGACCGGTTGGATCCAACCGGCCAGTTGGTCATGTGGACCGGTTGGACCAACCGGCCAGTTGGTCCTGTGGACCGGTTGGACCAACCGGCCAGTGGTCCTGTGGACCGGTTGGACCAACCGGCCAGTTGGTCATGTGGACCGGTTGTACCAACCGGCCAGTTGGTCCTGTGGACCGGTTGGACCAACCGGCCAGTTGGTCATGTGGACCGGTTGGACCAACCGGCCAGTTGGTCCTGTGGACCGGTTGGTACCAACCGGCCAGTTGGTCCTGTGGACCCGGTTTGGACCAACCGGCCAGTTGGTCCTGTGGACCGGTTGGACCAACCGGCCAGTTGGTCCTGTGGACCGGTTGGGTCCAACCGGCCAGTTGGTCCTGTGGACCTGTTGGACCAACCGGCCAGTTGGTCATGTGGACCGGTTGGACCAACCGGCCAGTTGGTCCTGTGGACCGGTTGGTACCAACCGGCCAGTTGGTCATGTGGACCGGTTGGACCAACCGGCCAGTTGGTCCTGTGGACCGTTGGACCAACCGGCCGTGTCTGTGGACCGGTCGGACCAACCGCCAGTTGGGTCATGTGGACCGGTTGGACCAACCGGCCAGTTGGTCATGTGGACCGGTTGGACCAACCGGCCAGTTGGTCATGTGGACCGGTTGGACCAACCGGCCAGTTGGTCCTGTGGGACCGGTTGGACCAACCGGCCAGTTGGTCATGTGGACCGGTTGGCCAACCGGCCAGTTGGTCATGTGGACCGGTTGGACAACCGGCCAGTTGGTCCTTGGACCGGTTGGACCAACCGGCCAGTTGGTCCTGTGGACCGGTTGGACCAACCGGCCAGTTGGTCCTGTGGACCGGTTGGACCAACCGGCCAGTTGGTCCTGTGGACCGTTGGACCAACCGGCCAGTTGGTCCTGTGGACCGGTTGGTCCAACCGGCCAGTTGTCATGGGGACCGGTTGGACCAACCGGCCAGTTTGGTCATGTGGACCGGTTGGACCAACCGGCCAGTTGGTCCTGTGGACCGGTTGGACCAACCGGCCAGTTGGTCCTGATGGACCTGTTGGGGACCAATCCGGCCAGTTGGGTCCTGTGGACCGGTTGGACCAACCGGCCAGTTGGTCCTGTGGACCGGTTGGACCAACCGGCCAGTTGGTCCTGTGGACCGGTTGGACCAACCGGCCAGTTGGTCCTGTGGACCGGTTGGACCAACCGGCCAGTTGGTCCTGTGGACCGGTTGGACCAACCGGCCAGTTGGTCCTGTGGACCGGTTGGACCAACCGGCCAGTTGGTCCTGTGGACCGGTTGGACCAACCGGCCAGTTGGTCCTGTGGACCGGTTGGACCAACCGGCCAGTTGGTCCTGTGGACCGGTTGGACCAACCGGCCAGTTGGTCCTGTGGACCGGTTGGACCAACCGGCCAGTTGGTCCTGTGGACCGGTTGGACCAACCGGCCAGTTGGTCCTGTGGACCGGTTGGACCAACCGGCCAGTTGGTCCTGTGGACCGGTTGGACCAACCGGCCAGTTGGTCCTGTGGACCGGTTGGACCAACCGGCCAGTTGGTCCTGTGGACCGGTTGGACCAACCGGCCAGTTGGTCCTGTGGACCGGTTGGACCAACCGGCCAGTTGGTCCTGTGGACCGTTGGACCAACCGGCCAGTTGGTCCTGTGGACCGGTTGGACCAACGGCCAGTTGGTCCTGTGGACCGGTTGGACCAACCGGCCAGTTGGTCCTGTGGACCGTGTTGGTCCAACCGGCCAAGTTGTCCATGTGGACCGGTTGGACCAACCGGCCAGTTGGTCCTGTGGACCGGTTGGACCAACCGGCCAGTTGGTCCTGTGGACCGGTTGGACCAACCGGCCAGTTGGTCCTGTGGACCGGTTGGACCAACCGGCCAGTTGGTCATGTGGACCGGTTGGACCAACCGGCCAGTTGGTCCTGTGGACCGGTTGGACCAACCGGCCAGTTGGTCCTGTGGACCGGTTGGACCAAACCGGCCAGTTGTCCTGTGGACCGGTTGACCAAGCCGGCCAGTTGGTCCTGTGACCGGTTGTCCAACCGGCCAGTTGGTCACTGTGGACCGGTTGGACCAACCGGCCAGTTGGTCCTGTGGACCGGTTGGACCAACCGGCCAGTTGGTCCTGTGGACCGGTTGGACCAACCGGCCAGTTGGTCCTGTGGACCGGTTGGACCCAATCCGGCCAGTTGGTCATGTGGACCGGTTGGACCAACCGGCCAGTTGGTCCTGTGGACCGGTTGGACCAACCGGCCAGTTGGTCCTGTGGACCGGTTGGACCAACCGGCCAGTTGGTCCTGTGGACCGGTTGGACCAACCGGCCAGTTGGTCCTGTGGACCGGTTGGACCAACCGGCCAGTTGGTCCTGTGGACCGGTTGGACCAACCGGCCAGTTGGTCCTGTGGACCGGTTGGACCAACCGGCCAGTTGGTCCTGTGGACCGGTTGGACCAACCGGCCAGTTGGTCCTGTGGACCGGTTGGACCAACCGGCCAGTTGGTCCTGTGGACCGGTTGGACCAACCGGCCAGTTGGTCCTGTGGACCGGTTGGACCAACCGGCCAGTTGGTCCTGTGGACCGGTTGGACCAACCGGCCAGTTGGTCCTGTGGACCGGTTGGACCAACCGGCCAGTTGGTCCTGTGGACCGGTTGGACCAACCGGCCAGTTGGTCCTGTGGACCGGTTGGACCAACCGGCCAGTTGGTCCTGTGGACCGGTTGGACCAACCGGCCAGTTGGTCCTGTGGACCGGTTGGACCAACCGGCCAGTTGGTCCTGTGGACCGGTTGGACCAACCGGCCAGTTGGTCCTGTGGACCGGTTGGACCAACCGGCCAGTTGGTCCTGTGGACCGGTTGGACCAACCGGCCAGTTGGTCCTGTGGACCGGTTGGACCAACCGGCCAGTTGGTCCTGTGGACCGGTTGGACCAACCGGCCAGTTGGTCCTGTGGACCGGTTGGACCAACCGGCCAGTTGGTCCTGTGGACCGGTTGGACCAACCGGCCAGTTGGTCCTGTGGACCGGTTGGACCAACCGGCCAGTTGGTCCTGTGGACCGGTTGGACCAACCGGCCAGTTGGTCCTGTGGACCGGTTGGACCAACCGGCCAGTTGGTCCTGTGGACCGGTTGGACCAACCGGCCAGTTGGTCCTGTGGACCGGTTGGACCAACCGGCCAGTTGGTCCTGTGGACCGGTTGGACCAACCGGCCAGTTGGTCCTGTGGACCGGTTGGACCAACCGGCCAGTTGGTCCTGTGGACCGGTTGGACCAACCGGCCAGTTGGTCCTGTGGACCGGTTGGACCAACCGGCCAGTTGGTCCTGTGGACCGGTTGGACCAACCGGCCAGTTGGTCCTGTGGACCGGTTGGACCAACCGGCCAGTTGGTCCTGTGGACCGGTTGGACCAACCGGCCAGTTGGTCCTGTGGACCGGTTGGACCAACCGGCCAGTTGGTCCTGTGGACCGGTTGGACCAACCGGCCAGTTGGTCCTGTGGACCGGTTGGACCAACCGGCCAGTTGGTCCTGTGGACCGGTTGGACCAACCGGCCAGTTGGTCCTGTGGACCGGTTGGACCAACCGGCCAGTTGGTCCTGTGGACCGGTTGGACCAACCGGCCAGTTGGTCCTGTGGACCGGTTGGACCAACCGGCCAGTTGGTCCTGTGGACCGGTTGGACCAACCGGCCAGTTGGTCCTGTGGACCGGTTGGACCAACCGGCCAGTTGGTCCTGTGGACCGGTTGGACCAACCGGCCAGTTGGTCCTGTGGACCGGTTGGACCAACCGGCCAGTTGGTCCTGTGGACCGGTTGGACCAACCGGCCAGTTGGTCCTGTGGACCGGTTGGACCAACCGGCCAGTTGGTCCTGTGGACCGGTTGGACCAACCGGCCAGTTGGTCCTGTGGACCGGTTGGACCAACCGGCCAGTTGGTCCTGTGGACCGGTTGGACCAACCGGCCAGTTGGTCCTGTGGACCGGTTGGACCAACCGGCCAGTTGGTCCTGTGGACCGGTTGGACCAACCGGCCAGTTGGTCCTGTGGACCGGTTGGACCAACCGGCCAGTTGGTCCTGTGGACCGGTTGGACCAACCGGCCAGTTGGTCCTGTGGACCGGTTGGACCAACCGGCCAGTTGGTCCTGTGGACCGGTTGGACCAACCGGCCAGTTGGTCCTGTGGACCGGTTGGACCAACCGCCAGTTGGTCCTGTGGACCGGTTGGACCAACCGGCCAGTTGGTCCTGTGGACCGGTTGGACCAACCGGCCTGTTGGTCCTGTGGACCGGTTAGGACCAACAGGCCAGTTGGGTCATGTGGACCGTTGGACCAACCGGCCAGTTGGTCCTGTGGACCGGTTTGGACCAACCGGCCAGTTGGTCCTGTGGACCGGTTGGACCAACCGGCCAGTTGGTCCTGTGGACCGGTTGGACCAACCGGCCGTTGGTCCTGTGGACCGGTTGGACCAACCGGCCAGTTGGTCATGTGGACCGGTTGGACCAAGCCGGCCTAGTTTGGTCCTGTGGACCGGTTGGACCAACCGGCCAGTTGGTCCTGTGGACCGGTTGGACCAACCGGCCAGTTGGTCCTGTGGACCGGTTGACCAACCGGCCATTGGTCCTGTGGACCGGTTGGACCAACCGGCCAGTTGGTCCTGTGGACCGGTTGGACCAACCGGCCAGTTGGTCCTGTGGACCGGTTGGACCAACCGGCCAGTTGGTCCTGTGGACCGGTTGGACCAACCGGCCAGTTGGTCCTGTGGACCGGTTGGACCAACCGGCCAGTTGGTCCTGTGGACCGGTTGGACCAACCGGCCTGTTGGTCCTGTGGACCGGTTGGACCAACCGCCAGTTGGTCCTGTGGACCGGTTGGACCAACCGGCCATGTTGTCCTGTGGACCGGTTGGACCAAGCCGCCAGTTGGTCCTGTGGGACCGGTTTGGACCAACGGCCAGTTGGTACTGTGGACCGGTTGGACCAACCGGCCAGTTGGGTCCTGTTGGACCGGTTGGACCAACCGGCCAGTTGGTCCTGTGGACCGGTTGGTACCAACCGGCCAGTTGGTCCTGTGGACCGGTTGGACCAACCGGCCAGTTGGTCCTGTGGATCCGGTTGGACAAACCGGACCTAGTTGGTCCTGTGGACCGGTTGGACCAACCGGCCAGGTTGGTCATGTGGACCGGTTGGACCAACCGGCCAGTTGGTCCTGTGGACCCGGTTGGTCCAACCGGCCAGTTGGTCCTGTGGACCGGTGGACCAACCGGCCTAGTTGGTCCTGTGGACCGGTTGGCCAACCGGCCTGTTTGGTCCTGTGGACCGGTTGGACCAACCGGCCAGTTGGTCCTGTGGACCGGTTGGACCAACCAGGCCTGTTTGGTCCTGTGGACCGGTTGGACCAACCGGCCGTGTTGGTCCTGTGGACCGGTTGGACCAACCGGCCAGTTGGTCATGTGGACCGGTTGGACCAACCGGCCAGTTGGTCATGTGGACCGGTTGGACCAACCGGCCAGTTGGTCCTGTGGACCGGTTGGACCAACCGGCCAGTTGGTCCTGTGGACCGGTTGGACCAACCGGCCAGTTGGTCATGTGGACCGGTTGGACCAACCGGCCAGTTGGTCCTGTGGACCGGTTGGACCAACCGGCCAGTTGGTCCATGTGGACCGGTTTGGACCAACCGGCCAGTTGGTCCTGTGGACCGGTTGGACCAACCGGCCAGTTGGTCCTGTGGACCGGTTGGACCAACCGGCCAGTTGGTCCTGTGGACCGGTTGGACCAACCGGCCAGTTGGTCCTGTGGACCGGTTGGACCAACCGGCCAGTTGGTCATGTGGACCGGTTGGACCAACCGGCCAGTTGGTCCTGTGGACCGGTTGGACCAACCGGCCAGTTGGTCCTGTGGACCGGTTGGACCAACCGGCCAGTTGGTCCTGTGGACCGGTTGGTCCAACCGGCCAGTTGGTCCTGTGGACCGGTTGGACCAACCGGCCAGTTGGTCCTGTGGACCGGTTGGACCAACCGGCCAGTTGGTCCTGTGGACCGGTTGGACCAACCGGCCAGTTGGTCCTGTGGACCGGTTGGTCCAACCGGCCAGTTGGTCATGTGGACCGGTTGGACCAACCGGCCAGTTGGTCCTGTGGACCGGTTGGACCAACCGGCCAGTTGGTCCTGTGGACCGGTTGGACCAACCGGCCAGTTGGTCCTGTGGACCGGTTGGACCAACCGGCCCAGTTGGTCCTGTGGACCGGTTGGACCAACCGGCCAGTTGGTCCTGTGGACCGGTTGGACCAACCGGCCAGTTGGTCCTGTGGACCGGTTGGACCAACCGGCCAGTTGGTCCTGTGGACCGGTTGGACCAACCGGCCAGTTGGTCATGTGGACCGGTTGGACCAACCGGCCAGTTGGTCCTGTGGACCGGTTGGACCAACCGGCCAGTTGGTCATGTGGACCGGTTGGACCAACCGGCCAGTTGGTCCTGTGGACCGGTTGGACCAACCGGCCAGTTGGTCATGTGGACCGGTTGGACCAACCGGCCAGTTGGTCATGTGGACCGGTTGGACCAACCGGCCAGTTGGTCCTGTGGACCGGTTGGACCAACCGGCCAGTTGGTCCTGTGGACCGGTTGGACCAACCGGCCAGTTGGTCCTGTGGACCGGTTGGTCCAACCGGCCAGTTGGTCCTGTGGACCGGTTGGACCAACCGGCCAGTTGGTCCTGTGGACCGGTTGGACCAACCGGCCAGTTGGTCCTGTGGACCGGTTGGACCAACCGGCCAGTTGGTCATGTGGACCGGTTGGTACCAACCGGCCAGTTGGTCCTGTGGACCGGTTGGACCAACCGGCCAGTTGGTCATGTGGACCGGTTGGACCAACCGGCCAGTTGGTCCTGTGGACCGGTTGGACCAACCGGCCAGTTGGTCCTGTGGACCGGTTGGACCAACCGGCCAGTTGGTCCTGTGGACCGGTTGGACCAACCGGCCAGTTGGTCCTGTGGACCGGTTGGACCAACCGGCCAGTTGGTCCTGTGGACCGGTTGGACCAACCGGCCAGTTGGTCATGTGGACCGGTTGGACCAACCGGCCAGTTGGTCCTGTGGACCGGTTGGACCAACCGGCCAGTTGGTCCTGTGGACCGGTTGGACCAACCGGCCAGTTGGTCCTGTGGACCGGTTGGACCAACCGGCCAGTTGGTCCTGTGGACCGGTTGGACCAACCGCCAGTTGGTCATGTGGACCGGTTGGACCAACCGGCCAGTTGGTCCTGTGGACCGGTTGGACCAACCGGCCAGTTGGTCCTGTGGACCGGTTGGACCAACCGGCCAGTTGGTCCTGTGGACCGGTTGGACCAACCGGCCAGTTGGTCCTGTGGACCGGTTGGTCCAACCGGCCCAGTTGGTCCTGTGGACCGGTTGGACCAACCGGCCAGTTGGTCCTGTGGAACCGGTTGGACCAACCGGCCAGTTGGTCATGTGGACCGGTTGGTACCAACCGGCCAGTTGGTCCTGTGGACCGGTTGGACCAACCGGCCAGTTGGTCCTGTGGACCGGTTGGACCAACCGGCCATGTTGGTCATGTGGACCGGTTGGACCAACCGGCCAGTTGGTCATGTGGACCGGTTGGTCCAACCGGCCAGTTGGTCCTGTGGACCGGTTGACCAACCGGCCAGTTGGTCCTGTGGACCGGTTGGACCAACCGGCCAGTTGGTCCTGTGGACCGGTTGGACCAACCGGCCAGTTGGTCCTGTGGACCGGTTGGACCAACCGGCCATGTTGGTCCTGTGGACCGGTTTGGACCAACCGGCCAGTTGGTCCTGTGGACCGGTTGGACCAACCGGCCAGTTGGTCCTGTGGACCGGTTGGACCAACCGGCCAGTTGGTCATGTGGACCGGTTGGACCAACCGGCCAGTTGGTCCTGTGGACCGGTTGGACCAACCGGCCAGTTGGTCCTGTGGACCGGTTGGACCAACCGGCCAGTTGGTCCTGTGGACCGGTTGGACCAACCGGCCAGTTGGTCCTGTGGACCGGTTGGTCCAACCGGCCAGTTGGTCCTGTGGACCGGTTGGACCAACCGGCCAGTTGGTCCTGTGGACCGGTTGGACCAACCGGCCAGTTGGTCATGTGGACCGGTTGGACCAACCGGCCAGTTGGTCCTGTGGACCGGTTGGACCAACCGGCCAGTTGGTCCTGTGGACCGGTTGGACCAACCGGCCAGTTGGTCCTGTGGACCGGTTGGACCAACCGGCCAGTTGGTCCTGTGGACCGGTTGGACCAACCGGCCAGTTGGTCCTGTGGACCGGTTGGTACCAACCGGCCAGTTGGTCCTGTGGACCGGTTGGACCAACCGGCCAGTTGGTCATGTGGACCGGTTGGACCAACCGGCCAGTTGGTCCTGTGGACCGGTTGGACCAACCGGCCAGTTGGTCATGTGGACCGGTTGGACCAACCGGCCAGTTGGTCCTGTGGACCGGTTGGACCAACCGGCCAGTTGGTCCTGTGGACCGGTTGGACCAACCGGCCAGTTGGTCATGTGGACCGGGTTGGACCAACCGGCCAGTTGGTCCTGTGGACCGGTTGGACCAACCGGCCAGTTGGTCATGTGGACCGGTTGGACCAACCGGCCAGTTGGTCCTGTGGACCGGTTGGACCAACCGGCCAGTTGGTCCTGTGGACCGGTTGGACCAACCGGCCAGTTGGTCCTGTGGACCGGTTGGACCAACCGGCCAGTTGGTCCTGTGGACCGGTTGGACCAACCGGCCAGTTGGTCCTGTGGACCGGTTGGACCAACCGGCCAGTTGGTCCTGTGGACCGGTTGGACCAACCGGCCAGTTGGTCATGTGGACCGGTTGGACCAACCGGCCAGTTGGTCATGTGGACCGGTTGGACCAACCGGCCAGTTGGTCCTGTGGACCGGTTGGACCAACCGGCCAGTTGGTCCTGTGGACCGGTTGGACCAACCGGCCAGTTGGTCCTGTGGACCGGTTGGACCAACCGGCCAGTTGGTCCTGTGGACCGGTTGGACCAACCGGCCAGTTGGTCATGTGGACCGGTTGGACCAACCGGCCAGTTGGTCCTGTGGACCGGTTGGACCAACCGGCCAGTTGGTCCTGTGGACCGGTTGGACCAACCGGCCAGTTGGTCCTGTGGACCGGTTGGACCAACCGGCCAGTTGGTCCTGTGGACCGGTTGGACCAACCGGCCAGTTGGTCCTGTGGACCGGTTGGACCAACCGGCCAGTTGGTCATGTGGACCGGTTGGACCAACCGGCCAGTTGGTCCTGTGGACCGGTTGGACCAACCGGCCAGTTGGTCCTGTGGACCGGTTGGACCAACCGGCCAGTTGGTCCTGTGGACCGGTTGGACCAACCGGCCAGTTGGTCATGTGGACCGGTTGGACCAACCGGCCAGTTGGTCCTGTGGACCGGTTGGACCAACCGGCCAGTTGGTCCTGTGGACCGGTTGGACCAACCGGCCAGTTGGTCCTGTGGACCGGTTGGACCAACCGGCCAGTTGGTCATGTGGACCGGTTGGACCAACCGGCCAGTTGGTCCTGTGGACCGGTTGGACCAACCGGCCAGTTGGTCCTGTGGACCGGTTGGACCAACCGGCCAGTTGGTCCTGTGGACCGGTTGGACCAACCGGCCAGTTGGTCCTGTGGACCGGTTGGACCAACCGGCCAGTTGGTCCTGTGGACCGGTTGGACCAACCGGCCAGTTGGTCCTGTGGACCGGTTGGACCAACCGGCCAGTTGGTCCTGTGGACCGGTTGGACCAACCGGCCAGTTGGTCCTGTGGACCGGTTGGACCAACCGGCCAGTTGGTCCTGTGGACCGGTTGGACCAACCGGCCAGTTGGTCCTGTGGACCGGTTGGACCAACCGGCCAGTTGGTCCTGTGGACCGGTTGGACCAACCGGCCAGTTGGTCCTGTGGACCGGTTGGACCAACCGGCCAGTTGGTCCTGTGGACCGGTTGGACCAACCGGCCAGTTGGTCCTGTGGACCGGTTGGTCCAACCGGCCAGTTGGTCCTGTGGACCGGTGTGGACCGGTTGGTCCAACCGGCCAGTTGGTCCTGTGGACCGGTTGGACCAACCGGCCAGTTGGTCCTGTGGACCGGTTGGACCAACCGGCCAGTTGGTCCTGTGGACCGGTTGGTCCAACCGGCCAGTTGGTCCTGTGGACCGGTTGGACCAACCGGCCAGTTGGTCATGTGGACCGGTTGGACCAACCGGCCAGTTGGTCCTGTGGACCGGTTGGACCAACCGGCCAGTTGGTCATGTGGACCGGTTGGACCAACCGGCCAGTTGGTCCTGTGGACCGGTTGGACCAACCGGCCAGTTGGTCATGTGGACCGGTTGGACCAACCGGCCAGTTGGTCATGTGGACCGGTTGGACCAACCGGCCAGTTGGTCATGTGGACCGGTTGGACCAACCGGCCAGTTGGTCCTGTGGACCGGTTGGACCAACCGGCCAGTTGGTCCTGTGGACCGGTTGGACCAACCGGCCAGTTGGTCCTGTGGACCGGTTGGACCAACCGGCCAGTTGGTCCTGTGGACCGGTTGGACCAACCGGCCAGTTGGTCCTGTGGACCGGTTGGACCAACCGGCCAGTTGGTCCTGTGGACCGGTTGGACCAACCGGCCAGTTGGTCCTGTGGACCGGTTGGACCAACCGGCCAGTTGGTCCTGTGGACCGGTTGGACCAACCGGCCAGTTGGTCCTGTGGACCGGTTGGACCAACCGGCCAGTTGGTCCTGTGGACCGGTTGGACCAACCGGCCAGTTGGTCCTGTGGACCGGTTGGACCAACCGGCCAGTTGGTCCTGTGGACCGGTTGGACCAACCGGCCAGTTGGTCCTGTGGACCGGTTGGACCAACCGGCCAGTTGGTCCTGTGGACCGGTTGGACCAACCGGCCAGTTGGTCCTGTGGACCGGTTGGACCAACCGGCCAGTTGGTCATGTGGACCGGTTGGACCAACCGGCCAGTTGGTCCTGTGGACCGGTTGGACCAACCGGCCAGTTGGTCATGTGGACCGGTTGGACCAACCGGCCAGTTGGTCCTGTGGACCGGTTGGACCAACCGGCCAGTTGGTCCTGTGGACCGGTTGGACCAACCGGCCAGTTGGTCCTGTGGACCGGTTGGACCAACCGGCCAGTTGGTCATGTGGACCGGTTGGACCAACCGGCCAGTTGGTCCTGTGGACCGGTTGGACCAACCGGCCAGTTGGTCCTGTGGACCGGTTGGACCAACCGGCCAGTTGGTCATGTGGACCGGTTGGACCAACCGGCCAGTTGGTCCTGTGGACCGGTTGGACCAACCGGCCAGTTGGTCCTGTGGACCGGTTGGACCAACCGGCCAGTTGGTCCTGTGGACCGGTTGGACCAACCGGCCAGTTGGTCCTGTGGACCGGTTGGACCAACCGGCCAGTTGGTCCTGTGGACCGGTTGGACCAACCGGCCAGTTGGTCCTGTGGACCGGTTGGACCAACCGGCCAGTTGGTCATGTGGACCGGTTGGTCCAACCGGCCAGTTGGTCCTGTGGACCGGTTGGACCAACCGGCCAGTTGGTCCTGTGGACCGGTTGGACCAACCGGCCAGTTGGTCCTGTGGACCGGTTGGACCAACCGGCCAGTTGGTCATGTGGACCGGTTGGACCAACCGGCCAGTTGGTCCTGTGGACCGGTTGGACCAACCGGCCAGTTGGTCCTGTGGACCGGTTGGACCAACCGGCCAGTTGGTCGGACCGGTTGGACAACCGGCCAGTGGTCCTGTGGACGGTTGGACCAACCGGCCAGTTGGTCCTGTGGACCGGTTGGACCAACCGGCCAGTTGGTCATGTGGACCGGTTGGACCAACCGGCCAGTTGGTCCTGTGGACCGGTTGGACCAACCGGCCAGTTGGTCCTGTGGACCGGTTGGACCAACCGGCCAGTTGGTCATGTGGACCGGTTGGACCAACCGGCCAGTTGGTCCTGTGGACCGGTTGGACCAACCGGCCAGTTGGTCCTGTGGACCGGTTGGACCAACCGGCCAGTTGGTCCTGTGGACCGGTTGGACCAACCGGCCAGTTGGTCCTGTGGACCGGTTGGACCAACCGGCCAGTTGGTCATGTGGACCGGTTGGACCAACCGGCCAGTTGGTCCTGTGGACCGGTTGGACCAACCGGCCAGTTGGTCCTGTGGACCGGTTGGACCAACCGGCCAGTTGGTCCTGTGGACCGGTTGGACCAACCGGCCAGTTGGTCCTGTGGACCGGTTGGACCAACCGGCCAGTTGGTCCTGTGGACCGGTTGGACCAACCGGCCAGTTGGTCATGTGGACCGGTTGGACCAACCGGCCAGTTGGTCCTGTGGACCGGTTGGACCAACCGGCCAGTTGGTCATGTGGACCGGTTGGACCAACCGGCCAGTTGGTCCTGTGGACCGGTTGGACCAACCGGCCAGTTGGTCCTGTGGACCGGTTGGACCAACCGGCCAGTTGGTCCTGTGGACCGGTTGGACCAACCGGCCAGTTGGTCATGTGGACCGGTTGGACCAACCGGCCAGTTGGTCCTGTGGACCGGTTGGACCAACCGGCCAGTTGGTCCTGTGGACCGGTTGGACCAACCGGCCAGTTGGTCCTGTGGACCGGTTGGACCAACCGGCCAGTTGGTCCTGTGGACCGGTTGGACCAACCGGCCAGTTGGTCCTGTGGACCGGTTGGACCAACCGGCCAGTTGGTCCTGTGGACCGGTTGGACCAACCGGCCAGTTGGTCCTGTGGACCGGTTGGACCAACCGGCCAGTTGGTCCTGTGGACCGGTTGGACCAACCGGCCAGTTGGTCCTGTGGACCGGTTGGACCAACCGGCCAGTTGGTCCTGTGGACCGGTTGGACCAACCGGCCAGTTGGTCCTGTGGACCGGTTGGACCAACCGGCCAGTTGGTCCTGTGGACCGGTTGGACCAACCGGCCAGTTGGTCCTGTGGACCGGTTGGACCAACCGGCCAGTTGGTCCTGTGGACCGGTTGGACCAACCGGCCAGTTGGTCCTGTGGACCGGTTGGACCAACCGGCCAGTTGGTCCTGTGGACCGGTTGGACCAACCGGCCAGTTGGTCCTGTGGACCGGTTGGACCAACCGGCCAGTTGGTCCTGTGGACCGGTTGGACCAACCGGCCAGTTGGTCCTGTGGACCGGTTGGACCAACCGGCCAGTTGGTCCTGTGGACCGGTTGGACCAACCGGCCAGTTGGTCCTGTGGACCGGTTGGACCAACCGGCCAGTTGGTCCATGTGGACCGGTTGGACCAACCGGCCAGTTGGTCATGTGGACCGGTTGGACCAACCGGCCAGTTGGTCATGTGGACCGGTTGGACCAACCGGCCAGTTGGTCCTGTGGACCGGTTGGACCAACCGGCCAGTTGGTCCTGTGGACCGGTTGGACCAACCGGCCAGTTGGTCCTGTGGACCGGTTGGACCAACCGGCCAGTTGGTCCTGTGGACCGGTTGGACCAACCGGCCAGTTGGTCCTGTGGACCGGTTGGACCAACCGGCCAGTTGGTCCTGTGGACCGGTTGGACCAACCGGCCAGTTGGTCCTGTGGACCGGTTGGACCAACCGGCCAGTTGGTCCTGTGGACCGGTTGGACCAACCGGCCAGTTGGTCCTGTGGACCGGTTGGACCAACCGGCCAGTTGGTCCTGTGGACCGGTTGGACCAACCGGCCAGTTGGTCATGTGGACCGGTTGGACCAACCGGCCAGTTGGTCCTGTGGACCGGTTGGACCAACCGGCCAGTTGGTCCTGTGGACCGGTTGGACCAACCGGCCAGTTGGTCCTGTGGACCGGTTGGACCAACCGGCCAGTTGGTCCTGTGGACCGGTTGGACCAACCGGCCAGTTGGTCCTGTGGACCGGTTGGACCAACCGGCCAGTTGGTCCTGTGGACCGGTTGGACCAACCGGCCAGTTGGTCATGTGGACCGGTTGGACCAACCGGCCAGTTGGTCCTGTGGACCGGTTGGACCAACCGGCCAGTTGGTCCTGTGGACCGGTTGGACCAACCGGCCAGTTGGTCCTGTGGACCGGTTGGACCAACCGGCCAGTTGGTCCTGTGGACCGGTTGGACCAACCGGCCAGTTGGTCCTGTGGACCGGTTGGACCAACCGGCCAGTTGGTCCTGTGGACCGGTTGGACCAACCGGCCAGTTGGTCATGTGGACCGGTTGGACCAACCGGCCAGTTGGTCATGTGGACCGGTTGGACCAACCGGCCAGTTGGTCCTGTGGACCGGTTGGACCAACCGGCCAGTTGGTCCTGTGGACCGGTTGGACCAACCGGCCAGTTGGTCATGTGGACCGGTTGGACCAACCGGCCAGTTGGTCCTGTGGACCGGTTGGACCAACCGGCCAGTTGGTCATGTGGACCGGTTGGACCAACCGGCCAGTTGGTCATGTGGACCGGTTGGACCAACCGGCCAGTTGGTCCTGTGGACCGGTTGGACCAACCGGCCAGTTGGTCCTGTGGACCGGTTGGTCCAACCGGCCAGTTGGTCCTGTGGACCGGTTGGACCAACCGGCCAGTTGGTCATGTGGACCGGTTGGACCAACCGGCCAGTTGGTCCTGTGGACCGGTTGGACCAACCGGCCAGTTGGTCCTGTGGACCGGTTGGACCAACCGGCCAGTTGGTCCTGTGGACCGGTTGGACCAACCGGCCAGTTGGTCCTGTGGACCGGTTGGACCAACCGGCCAGTTGGTCATGTGGACCGGTTGGACCAACCGGCCAGTTGGTCCTGTGGACCGGTTGGACCAACCGGCCAGTTGGTCCTGTGGACCGGTTGGACCAACCGGCCAGTTGGTCCTGTGGACCGGTTGGACCAACCGGCCAGTTGGTCATGTGGACCGGTTGGTCCAACCGGCCAGTTGGTCATGTGGACCGGTTGGACCAACCGGCCAGTTGGTCCTGTGGACCGGTTGGACCAACCGGCCAGTTGGTCCTGTGGACCGGTTGGACCAACCGGCCAGTTGGTCATGTGGACCGGTTGGACCAACCGGCCAGTTGGTCCTGTGGACCGGTTGGACCAACCGGCCAGTTGGTCATGTGGACCGGTTGGTCCAACCGGCCAGTTGGTCCTGTGGACCGGTTGGTCCAACCGGCCTAGTTGGTCCTGTGGACCGGTTGGACCAACCGGCCAGTTGGTCCTGTGGACCGGTTGGACCAACCGGCCAGTTGGTCTGTGGACCGGTTGGACCAACCGGCCAGTTGGTCCTGTGGACCGGTTGGACCAACCGGCCAGTTGGTCCTGTGGACCGGTTTGGACCAACCGGCCAGTTGGTCATGTGGACCGGTTGGACCAACCGGCCAGTTGGTCATGTGGACCGGTTGGTACCAACCGGCCAGTTTGGTCATGTGGACCGGTTGGACCAACCGGCCAGTTGGTCCTGTGGAGCCGGTTGGACCAACCGGCCTGTTGGTCCTGTGGACCGGTTGGACCAACCGGCCAGTTGGTCCTGTGGACCGGTTTGGACCAACCGGCCAGTTGGTCATGTGGACCGGTTGGACCAACCGGCCAGTTGGTCCTGTGGACCGGTTGGACCAACCGGCCAGTTGGTCATGTGGACCGGTTGGACCAACCGGCCAGTTGGTCCTGTGGACCGGTTGGTCCAACCGGCCAGTTGGTCCTGTGGACCGGTTGGACCGGTTGGACCAACCGGCCAGTTGGTCCTGTGGACCGGTTGGACCAACCGGCCAGTTGGTCATGTGGACCGGTTGGACCAACCGGCCAGTTGGTCATGTGGACCGGTTGGACCAACCGGCCAGTTGGTCATGTGGACCGGTTGGTCCAACCGGCCAGTTGGTCCTGTGGACCGGTTGGACCAACCGGCCAGTTGGTCCTGTGGACCGGTTGGACCAACCGGCCAGTTGGTCCTGTGGACCGGTTGGACCAACCGGCCAGTTGGTCATGTGGACCGGTTGGACCAACCGGCCAGTTGGTCCTGTGGACCGGTTGGACCAACCGGCCAGTTGGTCATGTGGACCGGTTGGTCCAACCGGCCAGTTGGTCATGTGGACCGGTTGGACCAACCGGCCAGTTGGTCCTGTGGACCGGTTGGACCAACCGGCCAGTTGGTCCTGTGGACCGGTTGGTACCAACCGGCCAGTTGGTCATGTGGACCGGTTGGACCAACCGGCCAGTTGGTCCTGTGGACCGGTTGGACCAACCGGCCAGTTGGTCCTGTGGACCGGTTGGACCAACCGGCCAGTTGGTCATGTGGACCGGTTGGACCAACCGGCCAGTTGGTCCTGTGGACCGGTTGGACCAACCGGCCAGTTGGTCATGTGGACCGGTTGGTCCAACCGGCCAGTTGGTCATGTGGACCGGTTGGTCCAACCGGCCAGTTGGTCCTGTGGACCGGTTGGACCAACCGGCCTGTTGGTCCTGTGGACCGGTTTGACCAACCGGCCAGTTGGTCATGTGGACCGGTTGGACCAACCGGCCAGTTGGTCATGTGGACCGGTTGGTCCAACCGGCCAGTTGGTCATGTGGACCGGTTGGTCCAACCGGCCAGTTGGTCCTGTGGACCGGTTGGACCAACCGGCCTGTTGGTCCTGTGGACCGGTTTGACCAACCGGCCAGTTGGTCATGTGGACCGGTTGGACCAACCGGCCAGTTGGTCCTGTGGACCGGTTGGACCAACCGGCCAGTTGGTCATGTGGACCGGTTGGTCCAACCGGCCAGTTGGTCATGTGGACCGGTTGGACCAACCGGCCAGTTGGTCCTGTGGACCGGTTGGACCAACCGGCCAGTTGGTCCTGTGGACCGGTTGGTCCAACCGGCCAGTTGGTCATGTGGACCGGTTGGACCAACCGGCCAGTTGGTCCTGTGGACCGGTTGGACCAACCGGCCAGTTGGTCCTGTGGACCGGTTGGACCAACCGGCCAGTTGGTCATGTGGACCGGTTGGACCAACCGGCCAGTTGGTCCTGTGGACCGGTTGGACCAACCGGCCAGTTGGTCATGTGGACCGGTTGGTCCAACCGGCCAGTTGGTCATGTGGACCGGTTGGACCAACCGGCCAGTTGGTCATGTGGACCGGTTGGTCCAACCGGCCAGTTGGTCATGTGGACCGGTTGGTCCAACCGGCCAGTTGGTCATGTGGACCGGTTGGACCAACCGGCCAGTTGGTCCTGTGGACCGGTTGGACCAACCGGCCAGTTGGTCCTGTGGACCGGTTTGACCAACCGGCCAGTTGGTCATGTGGACCGGTTGGACCAACCGGCCAGTTGGTCCTGTGGACCGGTTGGACCAACCGGCCAGTTGGTCATGTGGACCGGTTGGACCAACCGGCCAGTTGGTCCTGTGGACCGGTTGGTCCAACCGGCCAGTTGGTCCTGTGGACCGGTTGGTCCAACCGGCCAGTTGGTCCTGTGGACCGGTTGGACCAACCGGCCAGTTGGTCATGTGGACCGGTTGGACCAACCGGCCAGTTGGTCCTGTGGACCGGTTGGACCAACCGGCCAGTTGGTCATGTGGACCGGTTGGTCCAACCGGCCAGTTGGTCATGTGGACCGGTTGGACCAACCGGCCAGTTGGTCCTGTGGACCGGTTGGACCAACCGGCCAGTTGGTCCTGTGGACCGGTTGGACCAACCGGCCAGTTGGTCATGTGGACCGGTTGGACCAACCGGCCAGTTGGTCCTGTGGACCGGTTGGACCAACCGGCCCGTTGGTCATGTGGACCGGTTGGACCAACCGGCCAGTTGGTCATGTGGACCGGTTGGACCAACCGGCCAGTTGGTCCTGTGGACCGGTTGGACCAACCGGCCAGTTGGTCCTGTGGACCGGTTGGACCAACCGGCCTGTTGGTCATGTGGACCGGTTGGACCAACCGGCCAGTTGGTCCTGTGGACCGGTTGGACCAACCGGCCAGTTGGTCATGTGGACCGGTTGGTCCAACCGGCCAGTTGGTCATGTGGACCGGTTGGACCAACCGGCCAGTTGGTCCTGTGGACCGGTTGGACCAACCGGCCAGTTGGTCATGTGGACCGGTTGGTCCAACCGGCCAGTTGGTCATGTGGACCGGTTGGACCAACCGGCCAGTTGGTCCTGTGGACCGGTTGGACCAACCGGCCAGTTGGTCCTGTGGACCGGTTGGACCAACCGGCCAGTTGGTCCTGTGGACCGGTTGGACCAACCGGCCAGTTGGTCATGTGGACCGGTTGGTCCAACCGGCCAGTTGGTCATGTGGACCGGTTGGACCAACCGGCCAGTTGGTCCTGTGGACCGGTTGGACCAACCGGCCAGTTGGTCATGTGGACCGGTTGGTCCAACCGGCCAGTTGGTCATGTGGACCGGTTGGACCAACCGGCCAGTTGGTCCTGTGGACCGGTTGGACCAACCGGCCAGTTGGTCCTGTGGACCGGTTGGACCAACCGGCCAGTTGGTCATGTGGACCGGTTGGACCAACCGGCCAGTTGGTCCTGTGGACCGGTTGGACCAACCGGCCAGTTGGTCATGTGGACCGGTTGGTCCAACCGGCCAGTTGGTCATGTGGACCGGTTGGACCAACCGGCCAGTTGGTCATGTGGACCGGTTGGTCCAACCGGCCAGTTGGTCATGTGGATCGGTTGGTCCAACCGGCCAGTTGGTCATGTGGACCGGTTGGACCAACCGGCCAGTTGGTCCTGTGGACCGGTTGGACCAACCGGCCTGTTGGTCCTGTGGACCGGTTTGACCAACCGGCCAGTTGGTCATGTGGACCGGTTGGACCAACCGGCCAGTTGGTCCTGTGGACCGGTTGGACCAACCGGCCAGTTGGTCATGTGGACCGGTTGGACCAACCGGCCAGTTGGTCCTGTGGACCGGTTGGACCAACCGGCCAGTTGGTCCTGTGGACCGGTTGGTCCAACCGGCCAGTTGGTCCTGTGGACCGGTTGGACCAACCTGTTGTGCCAACACATTACAGTGGCACGGTCATCGCACTCCCATTCGGCCTACAAGCCTGCTCAGCTTCTGGAATTTTGTGGGGAGGTTGTTCAACACGTTTTCTTCAAACCCTCAAAATTTCAGAGTTTTTCAAGCAGTTACCAAGGCATGACAACATTTTATGTTTCAAGACTTATGGCATCCCGGAAGTGTGTGTTACTCCTTTTTGGTAACACCCGAGTTCACCATTTCGGCCGCTGACTCGTCTACCGAGATCTGATTGGTCTGAAATTTGGTCTGGCAGTCCTTTGCCCCGCTGTGCAAGTGGTCACCAAGTTTCAGAACGATCCAACATCTGAGCATTGCGTGACAGCTGCCGAAATTCACTGTTCCGTAGTCATGGTGCACTGTTGGCAGCATTTCCCTTGCCACCCTTTCATTGTTGTCATGCCAATGGTGCAGGGACAGAGAATGAGACAAGAAGTACAGGTGGTCAAGTGGGACTCTACAACCCTCCTTTTGAGAAGTGTGGTCTTCCTGGAAGCAACTTGCAAGAGGGTGCAAGTGGGAAGACAAGCTGATTCATGTTGGCTTGACTCACTATTGGTAGCCTTGAGTACAGCTCTGAACATCCAAGTGTGGTTGGCTTTGCTGACCTAGCTAGGACGTTTCCCATTCTTCTCTAGCCTTTCTCCCCTAGGACTCAACCTTCTCTGAGTTCCCAGGATGACCCAACCCCTTATGAGTCCCCTAGGCAATGTTGTACTCACCTCTTCCTTGCATCAATGAGAATACACGTTTTTTCAGCCGAGCTTACGTTTTCGTTCACTGCGTAGTGTACACACCTCTGATAATAGCAACTAATATACCGTTGGAAAGCAGACACCTAAGGCTAACCGCTGTTCAAGTTTCAGCCTCGTATGTTCTCGGAGCTGATCGTGACGGCGTTTTGAACAGAGGCGGTTTGAAGACGTCAGATTCTGCTTAGGCGGTTTCATGGGCATCCGCGACCCCTAAGTGGACTGCAGACTATAACAAGTGGTATCAGAGCTGTTCTACTCTGTTCGTGGGTGAAAATGGAGGCTGAAGGTTCTGCTCCAGCTGGTCCCAGTGGCAGTGGTGGCGTGAGAGGCGCTGGGGAAGCGGGAAGAGGCGTTGCAGGCGGATCTGCGCCAATGGCTTCAGTTTCAACATCAGCTAAGGATGATGTGAAGGCATTCAACCTGGAGAAGTTCTCTGGGGATGATTGGGCATCATGGAGCTTCAGGATGGAGCTCCTCTTCAACCATTATGGGCTGCTTGAAGTGATGGATGGAGAATTCAAGAGGCCTACGAGCGAAGGAGCGACCAAAGAATGGGATCGCCGGTCCAAGGATGGATTCTTCCTTCTCTCCCAATGCCTCTCATCCAACCAGCTGCACCACATCAAGCATCTCATCAAGGAAGCTGAGTGTGGTCCTAAGGCATGGAGGATATTGAAGGATGTCCATGCCCCCAGCAGCGAAGCAATGGTGGTGGTGCTCGAGCGACAACTCCATGCGGTGAAGATCAACGAGGGTGATGCCGTACAAGGAGCGTTCGATCAACTCCGGGACCTCTATGTGAAGCTCTCAGCTGCTGGTGTGGACTACCCTGAGAAAATCAAGTGCTACAAGGCTCTCTCCCTGCTGCCGGAGTCGTGGGGGCCCTTGGTGGTCAACCTTAATGGGATGAAGGACTCGTGGTCCCTTGAGTGGATTCGCGCACAAGTTCTTCAAGAGGAGTTTCGGAGGAAGGAGCTGACCGCCGCTGCCGGTGAAGGTGGAGGCTCTGCCTATGGCATGAAGGGCTTCAAGGGGCGTGGCAGCAAGAAAGGGAAGGCCAAGGAAGGCTCTGGAGGGGAGCAGCATTCGGGAGGGAAGCGTGGCAACAAGGGAGGCAAGCGGTGTGGCGGCAAGTGTTGGTATTGCCATGTGGAAGGGCACCCATGGTTCAAGTGCCACAAGCTACCTGACGGTTGGAGGCCTGGTCAGCCATCAATTGAGGGCTCCAAGGGTGTTCATGGAGCTATGGGAGAAGGCATGGGCAGTGAGGATGGCGAAGGAGGTGCTGGCGGATACGGCGGCATGTTCTACCATGTAGGGGAGGCGTGCCCCGAGGACATGGTTGTGCCGGCCAGCAAGATTGCTCTTCACCGCTCCTCCCATTGGGTCATCGACACGGGAGCCTTCATGACCATGACCAACCGAGAGGATCTACTGGATGAAGTTAGGCCATCAAAGGCAGCCACCGTCGTTTCAGCCACCGGCCAAGTTGTACCCGTGCGTGGCGAGGGGAGAGCTATGTTCATGGGTGCGGATGGGAGGCTTGTGGGGCTGAAGCGTGTTCTCCTTGTTCCTGGATTGTGTGCCAACCTCCTCTCTACCAAGGCCCTAAGTGAGGCAGGGATGAAGATGGAGATGTTGGGCACAAAGGTTTTCAAGGCAACTCTGGATGGGCGCGTATTGTGGGACCTCCGAGGCGGCAAGGACATGCACCGGTCCATGTGGGAGATACCGGTGCTGCCATGGAAGGAGGCGGCTGCGCGCTTGGCTGCTGGAGATGTGAGAGGAGGGCGTGTTAACCACGTGGACAATGGAGGGGGTGGTGATGACAGTGATGGTGGGCTCCTTGGGCATGGAGGGGCTGCGCTTCCAAGTGTAACTCCTAGCACGGGTGAGACGGATTGGCTCACCGCACACCGTCGCTTTGGCCACGTGGCGCTACCTCAGTTGCAGCAGCTGTTTAAGGAGGAAAGAGTCAAGGGGCTGAGGATAAAGGGGGAGCCCAAGGAGGTGGGATCTTGTGAGACTTGCTTGACCAGCAAGTTTTCACGGTTTCCCTTCCATTCGGTGGAGGGGAAGTCGAGTGACCCGGTGGAGCTCGTGCATGTGGATCTCGTGGGACCCATGAAGGTGAAGGGAGATGGTGGGGCCCTGTATTCTATGACCATGGTGGATGACAACACAAGGCTCACCTGGTCCTTTCCACTTGCAAAGAAGAGTGATGCTGCAAGGGTAATCATTGAAGAGTGGCTGCCCATGGTGGAGCGAGAGAGCGGCAAGCGGGTGAAGGCCATACGTAGTGACCGTGGTGGGGAGTTCTTGGGAGCGGAGTTCCGGAGCTGGCTGAAGCGGCATGGCATCAAGCAGCAGCTCACCACGGCCTACACCCCTCAATCCAATGGCGTGGCAGAGAGAGCGAACCGGACCATCTTGGAGGGCGGGAGAACGATTTTGGTAGACTCGGGTCTACCCTTACGGTTCTGGCCCCTCGCTATTCGCCATGCCACCGTCATCAAGAACCGAGTATTGACTCATGTGGGAGGGCAGCATTGGGTCCCTATGGAGAAATGGAGGGGCAAGAAGCCTCTGGTGGATATGCTTCGAGTCTTTGGGTGCATGGGACTCGTGCACGTCCCTAAGGAAAAGCGTGACAAGCTTCAAGCGGCGGCGGTGTGGGCTGTTCATTTGGGACTTGCACAAGGGAGCAAGGGGTGGCTCATGTGGGACCCAATAGCCAACACCATCTTCACCACCAGAGATGCCAAGTTCATGGAGGGGCTCATGTTCAAGGAGTGGTTGGAGCGAGGGAGGAGAAAGGTCACCATTCCGCTCGGAATAGAGGTGGGAACGAATGACCCACTCTTCATTCCCATCGAGTTGTCTTCGTCTTCAGAGGTAACGGAGGTGTCACATGACTTGGGAGGTGCTGAAGGGGAGGCAGTAGAGGTGGAGGGAGTGTTGCAGCAAGAGAAGGCCCCTGTAGCTGAGAGAGGTGATGCCGAGGAGGAGGTGCAGCAGCCTACACCATCCCCTACTCTTCCACCAAGGCGGACAACCCAAGGGAAGCGTGGTGCTGTCCGTGGTGGAGCTAAGGAGAGTGCAGCCAAGGAGAGGCCCAAGAGAGCTGCTCACCCAAGAGATTTCCTCAAGTATGAAAGGCTTGGGGGTCCCAAGGCATTGCTGGTCCAGGAGGAGGAAGATGATGAGGAGAAGGGAGCCGAGGGAGAGATGGAGCAGATTTGTTGCTTCGGTGTCAACTTACCTCATGAACCGGCTTCGATGGAGGAAGCACTTGCTGGAGATGATCGAGAGGCTTGGTTGGCTTCAAGGGAGGATGAGTTTAAGAGCCTCATGGAGAATGGAACGTGGACCCTCACCAATCTGCCCCCGGGAAGAAAGGCATTGGATTGCACGTGGATATTACGTGTGAAGACCGATGCGGAGGGGAAGTTGGAGAGGCGCAAAACAAGACTTGTGATCAAGGGTTTCCAGCAGAGGGAGGGGGTTGACTTTAAGGAGGTGTTTGCTCCTGTTGCCAAGGCTCCTACGCTCCGGGTGTTGCTGGCAGCAGCTGCCGTTTGTGGTTGGAAGGTGGAGCAAATGGATGTGAAGACGGCTTTCCTCTATGGCGTGGTAGATGAGGAGATTTACATGAAGCAGCCAGAGGGGTACGACGATGGGAGCGGACGTGTTTGCAGGCTCAACAAGGCCATCTATGGCCTCAAACAAGCTCCAAGGTGCTGGTATGCAAGGCTGGTGGAGGCGTTGGAGGCTCTTGGCTTCAAAGTTAGCGGGTGCGACGAGAGTCTCTTCATAACCGAGGGGGATGAGGAGAAAGTGTTTCTCCTTGTCTACGTCGATGACATTCTCCTCTTCTCTCCATCCCTGGAGAGGATCAAGGAGGTGCAAGGGAAGCTGAAGGAGACCTTTCAATGCAAGGCCCTTGGACCAGTGGGGTATTACCTTGGTCTTCACGTGGAGCGGGACGAGGTGAAGGGATGGTTGAGGCTTCACCAACACAAGTACCTTGCAGCCATGGGGGAGAGGTATGGGCTGGAGGAAGGGAGGAGTGTAAAGACTCCACTACCCTCAGGATTTCAGCTACACCTTGATGAAGAGGAGGGTGAGGTGTTGGAGCCCGAGTTGCAGCGTCGGTTCCAGTCAATGGTGGGGAGCTTGATGTATGCTTCGGTCAACACTCGCCCCGATATTTCATTCGCGGTTTCGCAGCTGGCTCGTGTGGTGTCTAGGCCCCTTCAAGAGCACCTTGATGCAGCAGAGAGGCTGGTGAGGTACTGCATGGCAACCTCAAGGGTGGGGCTGCAATATTCAGTGCATGGGCAGCTGAAGCAAAAGGGAGTGGAGGAGGTGAGCACGAAGACCGGTGCACCTGCAAGGCGTGGACACTTGTACCTCTCGTGCTTCACCGATGCTACCTGGGCAAGTGACATCAGTGATGCAACATCCCACGGTGGCTATGTATGCTGTGTTGGAGGGAGTCCAGTGAGCTGGAAGTCTAAGAAGCAAGGGGAGATAGCTCACTCATCAACGGAGAGCGAGTACATGGCGTTGTTTCATGGGGTGAAGGAGGTGGTTTGGATGAGGAGGTTGCTTGAGGAGTTGGGGCAGGAGCAAGAGGGACCTACACCTGTGTTTTGTGACAGCCAAGGAGCAATTGCAATGGCTCGCAATGCTGTGCTCCATGGGCTGAACAAGCACATGCATATCAAATGGCATTGGGTGAGGAAGGAGGTGAAGAAGGGCACGGTCTCCTTGCACTACATCAACACTACCAAGCAACCTGCAGATTTTTTGACGAAGCGGCTTGCAGAGCATCAGCATTGGACCTGCGCCACCTTGTGTGGCATGTCCTTCAACTAAGGGAGGCAGCTTCAGGGAGCAGCTAAGGGATGAATGAGAGCACGATGAGGGGGAGTTTGTTGTGCCAACACATTACAGTGGCACGGTCATCGCACTCCCATTCGGCCTACAAGCCTGCTCAGCTTCTGGAATTTTGTGGGGAGGTTGTTCAACACGTTTTCTTCAAACCCTCAAAATTTCAGAGTTTTTCAAGCAGTTACCAAGGCATGACAACATTTTATGTTTCAAGACTTATGGCATCCCGGAAGTGTGTGTTACTCCTTTTTGGTAACACCCGAGTTCACCATTTCCGCCGCTGACTCGTCTACCGAGATCTGATTGGTCTGAAATTCGGTCTGGCAGTCCTTTGCCCCGCTGTGCAAGTGGTCACCAAGTTTCAGAACGATCCAACATCTGAGCATTGCGTGACAGCTGCCGAAATTCACTGTTCCGTAGTCATGGTGCACTGTTGGCAGCATTTCCCTTGCCACCCTTTCATTGTTGTCATGCCAATGGTGCAGGGACAGAGAATGAGACAAGAAGTACAGGTGGTCAAGTGGGACTCTACAACCCTCCTTTTGAGAAGTGTGGTCTTCCTGGAAGCAACTTGCAAGAGGGTGCAAGTGGGAAGACAAGCTGACTCATGTTGGCTTGACTCACTATTGGTAGCCTTGAGTACAGCTCTGAACATCCAAGTGTGGTTGGCTTTGCTGACCTAGCTAGGACGTTTCCCATTCTTCTCTAGCCTTTCTCCCCTAGGACTCAACCTTCTCTGAGTTCCCAGGATGACCCAACCCCTTATGAGTCCCCTAGGCAATGTTGTACTCACCTCTTCCTTGCATCAATGAGAATACACGTTTTTTCAGCCGAGCTTACGTTTTCGTTCACTGCGTAGTGCACACACCTCTGATAATAGCAACTAATATACCGTTGGAAAGCAGACACCTAAGGCTAACCGCTGTTCAAGTTTCAGCCTCGTATGTTCTCGGAGCTGATCGTGACGGCGTTTTGAACAGAGGCGGTTTGAAGACGTCAGATTCTGCTTAGGCGGTTTCATGGGCATCCGCGACCCCTAAGTGGACTGCAGACTATAACACAACCGGCCAGTTGGTCCTGTGGACCGGTTGGACCAACCGGCCAGTTGGTCATGTGGACCGGTTGGTCCAACCAGCCAGTTGGTCCTGTGGACCGGTTGGACCAACCGGCCAGTTGGTCCTGTGGACCGGTTGGACCAACCGGCCAGTTGGTCCTGTGGACCGGTTGGACCAATCGGCCAGTTGGTCCTGTGGACCGGTTGGACCAACCCGCCAGTTGGTCATGTGGACCGGTTGGACCAACCGGCCAGTTGGTCATGTGGACCGGTTGGTCCAACCGGCCAGTTGGTCATGTGGACCGGTTGGACCAACCGGCCAGTTGGTCCTGTGGACCGGTTGGTCCAACCGGCCAGTTGGTCATGTGGACCGGTTGGACCAACCGGCCAGTTGGTCCTGTGGACCGGTTGGACCAACCGGCCAGTTGGTCATGTGGACCGGTTGGTCCAACCGGCCAGTTGGTCATGTGGACCGGTTGGTCCAACCGGCCAGTTGGTCATGTGGACCGGTTGGACCAACCGGCCAGTCCTGTGGACCGGTTGGACCAACCGGCCAGTTGGTCCTGTGGACCGGTTGGACCAACCGGCCAGTTGGTCATGTGGACCGGTTGGACCAACCGGCCAGTTGGTCATGTGGACCGGTTGGACCAACCGGCCAGTTGGTCATGTGGACCGGTTGGACCAACCGGCCAGTTGGTCCTGTGGACCGGTTGGACCAACCGGCCAGTTGGTCCTGTGGACCGGTTGGACCAACCGGCCAGTTGGTCCTGTGGACCGGTTGGACCAACCGGCCAGTTGGTCATGTGGACCGGTTGGACCAACCGGCCAGTTGGTCCTGTGGACCGGTTGGACCAACCGGCCAGTTGGTCCCTGTGGACCGGTTGGACCAACCGGCCAGTTGGTCCTGTGGACCGGTTGGATCCAACCGGCCAGTTAGGTCCTGTGGACCGGTTGGTCCAACCGGCCAGTTGGTCCTGTGGACCGGTTGGACCAACCGGCCAGTTGGTCCTGTGGACCGGTTGGACCAACCGGCCAGTTGGTCCTGTGGACCGGTTGGACCAACCGGCCAGTTGGTCATGTGGACCGGTTGGACCAACCGGCCAGTTGGTCCTGTGGACCGGTTGGACCAACCGGCCAGTTGGGCCTGTGGACCGGTTGGACCAACCGGCCAGTTGGTCCTGTGGACCGGTTGGACCAACCGGCCACTGTTGGTCCTGTGGACCGTTTGACCAACCGGCCAGTTGGTCATGTGACCGGTTGGAAACCAACCGGCCAATTGTCCTGTGGACCGGTTGGACCAACCGGCCATGTTGGTCATGTGGGACCGGTTGGGACCAACCGGCCAGTTGGTCCTGTGGACCGGTTGGACCAACCGGCCAGTTGGTCCTGTGGACCGGTTGGACCAACCGGCCAGTTGGTCCTTGTGGACCGGTTGGACCAACCGGCCAGTTGGTCCTGTGGACCGGTTGGCCAACGGCCAGTTGGTCCTGTGGACCGGTGGGACCAACCGGCCAGTTGGTCCTGTGGACCGGTTTGGACCAACCGGCCAGTTGGTCCTGTGGACCGGTTGGACCAACCGGCCAGTTGGTCCTGTGGACCGGTTGGACCAACCGGCCAGTTGGTCATGTGGGACCGGTTGGACCAACGGCCAGTTGGTCCTGTGGACCGGTTGGACCAACCGGCCAGTTGGTCCTGTGGACCGGTTGGTCCAACCGGCCAGTTGGTCCTGTGGACCGGTTGGACCAACCGGCCAGTTGGTCCTGTGGACCGGTTGAGCCAACCGGCCAGTTGGTCATGTGGACCGGTTGGACCAACCGGCCAGTTGGTCCTGTGGACCGGTTGGACCAACCGGCCAGTTGGTCCTGTGGACCGGTTGGACCAACCGGCCAGTTGGTCATGTGGACCGGTTGGACCAACCGGCCAGTTGGTCCTGTGGACCGGTTGGACCAACCGGCCAGTTGGTCCTGTGGACCGGTTGGACCAACCGGCCAGTTGGTCCTGTGGACCGGTTGGTCCAACCGGCCAGTTGGTCCTGTGGACCGGTTGGACCAACCGGCCAGTTGGTCCTGTGGACCGGTTGGACCAACCGGCCAGTTGGTCCTGTGGACCGGTTGGACCAACCGCCAGTTGGTCATGTGGACCGGTTGGACCAACCGGCCAGTTGGTCCTGTGGACCGGTTGGTCCAACCGGCCAGTTGGTCCTGTGGACCGGTTGGACCAACCGGCCAGTTGGTCCTGTGGACCGGTTGGACCAACCGGCCAGTTGGTCCTGTGGACCGGTTGGACCAACCGGCCAGTTGGTCATGTGGACCGGTTGGACCAACCGGCCAGTTGGTCCTGTGGACCGGTTGGTACCAACCGGCCAGTTGGTCCTGTGGACCGGTTGGACCAACCGGCCAGTTGGTCCTGTGGGACCGGTTTGGACCAACCGGCCAGTTGGTCCTGTGGACCGGTTGGACCAACCGGCCAGTTGGTCCTGTGGACCGGTTGGACCAACCGGCCAGTTGGTCCTGTGGACCGGTTGGACCAACCGGCCAGTTGGTCATGTGGACCGGTTGGTCCAACAGGCCAGTTGGTCCTGTGGACCGGTTGGTCCAACCGGCCAGTTGGTCCTGTGGACCGGTTGGACCAACCGGCCAGTTGGTCCTGTGGACCGGTTGGTCCAACCGGCCTAGTTGGTCCTGTGGACCGGTTGGACCAACCGGCCAGTTGGTCCTGTGGACCGGTTGGACCAACCGGCCAGTTGGTCCTGTGGACCGGTTGGTCCAACCGGCCAGTTGGTCATGTGGACCGGTTGGACCAACCGGCCAGTTGGTCCTGTGGACCGGTTGGACCAACCGGCCAGTTGGTCCTGTGGACCGGTTGGTCCAACCGGCCAGTTGGTCCTGTGGACCGGTTGGTACCAACCGGCCAGTTGGTCCTGTGGACCGGTTGGACCAAACCGGCCAGTTGGTCCTGTGGACCGGTTGGACCAACCGGCCAGTTGGTCCTGTGGACCGGTTGGACCAACCGGCCAGTTGGTCCTGTGGACCGGTTGGTCCAACCGGCCAGTTGGTCCTGTGGACCGGTTTGGACCAACCGGCCAGTTGGTCCTGTGGACCGGTTGGTCCAACCGGCCAGTTGGTCCTGTGGACCGGTTGGTACCAACCGGCCAGTTGGTCCTGTGGACCGGTTGGACCAACCGGCCAGTTGGTCCTGTGGACCGGTTGGACCAACCGGCCAGTTGGTCATGTGGACCGGTTGGACCAACCGGCCAGTTTGGTCCTGTGGACCGGTTGGACCAACCGGCCAGTTGGTCCTGTGGACCGGTTGGACCAACCGGCCAGTTGGTCCTGTGGACCGGTTGGTCCAACCGGCCAGTTGGTCCTGTGGACCGGTTGGACCAACCGGCCAGTTGGTCCTGTGGACCGGTTGGACCAACCGGCCAGTTGGTCCTGTGGACCGGTTGGTCCAACCGGCCAGTTGGTCCTGTGGACCGGTTGGACCAACCGGCCAGTTGGTCATGTGGACCGGTTGGTCCAACGGCCAGTTGGTCCTGTGGACCGGTTGGACCAACCGGCCAGTTGGTCCTGTGGACCGGTTGGACCAACCGGCCAGTTGGTCCTGTGGACCGGTTGGACCAACCGGCCAGTTGGTCCTGTGGACCGGTTGGACCAACCGGCCAGTTGGTCCTGTGGACCGGTTGGACCAACCGGCCAGTTGGTCCTGTGGACCGGTTGGACCAACCGGCCAGTTGGTCATGTGGACCGGTTGGACCAACCGGCCAGTTGGTCCTGTGGACCGGTTGGACCAACCGGCCAGTTGGTCCTGTGGACCGGTTGGACCAACCGGCCAGTTGGTCCTGTGGACCGGTTGGACCAACCGGCCAGTTGGTCCTGTGGACCGGTTGGACCAACCGGCCAGTTGGTCCTGTGGACCGGTTGGACCAACCGGCCAGTTGGTCCTGTGGACCGGTTGGACCAACCGGCCAGTTGGTCCTGTGGACCGGTTGGACCAACCGGCCAGTTGGTCCTGTGGACCGGTTGGACCAACCGGCCAGTTGGTCCTGTGGACCGGTTGGACCAACCGGCCAGTTGGTCCTGTGGACCGGTTGGTCCAACCGGCCAGTTGGTCCTGTGGACCGGTTGGACCAACCGGCCAGTTGGTCCTGTGGACCGGTTGGACCAACCGGCCAGTTGGTCCTGTGGACCGGTTGGGACCAACCGGCCAGTTGGTCATGTGGACCGGTTGGACCAACCGGCCAGTTGTTCATGTGGACCGGGCCAACGGCCAGTTGGTCCTGTGGACCGGTTGGACCAACCGGCCAGTTGGTCCTGTGGACCCGGTTGGTCCAACCGGCCAGTTGGTCATGTGGACCGGTTGGACCAACCGGCCAGTTGGTCCTGTGGACCGGTTGGACCAACCGGCCAGTTGGTCCTGTGGACCGGTTGGACCAACCGGCCAGTTGGTCATGTGGACCGGTTGGACCAACCGGCCAGTTGGTCCTGTGGACCGGTTGGACCAACCGGCCAGTTGGTCATGTGGACCGGTTGGACCAACCGGCCAGTTGGTCCTGTGGACCGGTTGGACCAACCGGCCAGTTGGTCCTGTGGACGGTTGGACCAACCGGCCAGGTTGGTCCTGTGGACCGGTTGGACCAACAGGCCAGTTTGGTCATGTGGACCGGTTGGACCAACCGGCCAGTTGGTCCTGTGGACCGGTTGGGACCAACCGGCCAGTTGCGTCATGTGGACCGGTTGGACCAACCGGCCAGTTGGTCATGTGGACCGGTTGGACCAACCGGCCAGTTGGTCCTGTGGACCGGTTGGACCAACCGGCCAGTTGGTCCTGTGGACCGGTTGGTACCAACCGGCCAGTTGGTTGGACCAACCGGCCAGTTGGTCATGTGGACCGGTTGGACCAACCGGCCAGTTGGTCCTGTGGACCGGTTGGACCAACCGGCCAGTTGGTCCTGTGGACCGGTTGGACCAACCGGCCAGTTGGTCATGTGGACCGGTTGGACCAACCGGCCAGTTGGTCCTGTGGACCGGTTGGACCAACCGGCCAGTTGGTCATGTGGACCGGTTGGTACCAACCGGCCAGTTGGTCATGTGGACCGGTTGGACCAACCGGCCAGTTGGTCATGTGGACCGGTTGGACCAACCGGCCAGTTGGTCCTGTGGACCGGTTGGACCAACCGGCCAGTTGGTCCTGTGGACCGGTTGGACCAACCGGCCAGTTGGTCATGTGGACCGGTTGGACCAACCGGCCAGTTGGTCATGTGGACCGGTTGGACCAACCGGCCAGTTGGTCCTGTGGACCGGTTGGACCAACCGGCCAGTTGGTCCTGGACCGTTGGACCAACCGGCCAGTGGCCTGTGGACCGGTTTGGACCAACCGGCCAGTTGGTCATGTGGACCGGTTGGACCAACCGGCCAGTTGGTCATGTGGACCGGTTGGACCAACCGGCCAGTTGGTCCTGTGGACCGGTTTGGACCAACCGGCCAGTTGGTCATGTGGACCGGTTGGTCCAACCGGCCAGTTGGTCCTGTGGACCGGTTGGACCAACCGGCCAGTTGGTCCTGTGGACCGGTTGGACCAACCGGCCAGTTGGTCATGTGGACCGGTTGGTCCAACCGGCCAGTTGGTCATGTGGACCGGTTGGACCAACCGGCCAGTTGGTCCTGTGGACCGGTTGGACCAACCGGCCAGTTGGTCATGTGGACCGGTTGGACCAACCGGCCAGTTGGTCCTGTGGACCGGTTGGACCAACCGGCCAGTTGGTCCTGTGGACCGGTTGGACCAACCGGCCAGTTGGTCATGTGGACCGGTTGGACCAACCGGCCAGTTGGTCCTGTGGACCGGTTGGACCAACCGGCCAGTTGGTCCTGTGGACCGGTTGGTCCAACCGGCCAGTTGGTCATGTGGACCGGTTGGACCAACCGGCCGAGTTGGGACGGGCAGTTGGTCCTGTGGACCGGTTGGACCAACCGGCCAGTTGGTCCTGTGGACCGGTTGGACCAACCGGCCAGTTGGTCCTGTGGACCGGTTGGACCAACCGGCCAGTTGGTCCTGTGGACCGGTTGGACCAACCGGCCAGTTGGTCCTGTGGACCGGTTGGACCAACCGGCCAGTTGGTCCTGTGGACCGGTTGGTACCAACCGGCCAGTTGGTCCATGTGGACCGGTTGGACCAACCGGCCAGTTGGTCCTGTGGACCGGTTGGACCAACCGGCCATGTTGGTCCTGTGGACCGGTTGGATCCAACCGGCCAGTTGGTCATTGTGGACCGGTTGGACTCAACCGGCCAGTTGGTCCTGTGGACCGGTTGGACAACCGGCCAGTTGTCCTGTGGACCGGTTGGATCCAACCGGGCCAGTTGGTCCTGTGGACCGGTTGGTCCAACCGGCCAGTTGGTCATGTGGACCGGTTGGAACCAACCGGCCAGTTGGTCCTGTGGACCGGTTGGTCCAACCAGGCCAGTTGGTCCTGTGGACCGGTTGGACCAACCGGCCAGTTGGTCCTGTGGACCGTTGGGACCAACCGGCCAGTTGGTCATAGTGGACCGGTTGGACCAACCGGCCAGTTGGTCCTGTGGACCGGTTGGACCAACCGGCCAGTTGGTCATGTGGACCGGTTGGACCAACCGGCCAGTTGGTCCTGTGGACCGGTTGGACCAACCGGCCAGTTGGTCCTGTGGACCGGTTGGACCAACCGGCCAGTTGGTCCTGTGGACCGGTTGGATCCAACCGGCCAGTTGGTCCTGTGGACCGGTTGGTCCAAACCGGCCAGTTGGTCCTGTGGACCGGTTGGACCAACCGGCCAGTTGGTCCTGTGGACCGGTTGGACCAACCGGCCAGTTGGTCCTGTGGACCGGTTGGTCCAACCGGCCAGTTGGTCCTGTGGACCGGTTGGACCAACCGGCCAGTTGGTCCTGTGGACCGGTTGGACCAACCGGCCAGTTGGTCCTGTGGACCGGTTGGACCAACCGGCCAGTTGGTCCTGTGACCGGTTGGACCAACCGGCCAGTTGGTCATGTGGACCGGTTGGTACCAACCGGCCAGTTGGTCCTGTGGACCGGTTGGTACCAACCGGCCAGTTGGTCCTGTGGACCGGTTGGACCAACCGGCCAGTTGGTCCTGTGGACCGGTTGGTCCAACCGGCCAGTTGGTCCTGTGGACCGGTTGGTCCAACCGGCCAGTTGGTCCTGTGGACCGGTTGGTCCAACCGGCCAGTTGGTCCTGTGGACCGGTTGGACCAACCGGCCAGTTGGTCCTGTGGACCGGTTGGACCAACCGGCCAGTTGGTCCTGTGGACCGGTTGGTCCAACCGGCCAGTTGGTCCTGTGGACCGGTTGGACCAACCGGCCAGTTGGTCCTGTGGACCGGTTGGTACCAACGGCCAGTTGGTCCTGTGGACCGGTTGGGTACCAACCGGCCAGTTGGTCATGTGGACCGGTTGGTCCAACGTCCAGTTGGTCCTGTGGGACCGGTTGGACCAACCGGCCAGTTTGGTCATGTGGACCGGTTGGTCCAACCCGGCCAGTTGGTCCTGTGGACCGGTTGGGACCAACCGGCCAGTTGGTCCTGTGGACCGGTTGGTCCAACCGGCCAGTTGGTCCTGCTGGGACCGGTTGGACCAACCGGCCAGTTGGTATGTGGACCGGTTGGTCCAACCGGCCAGTTGGTCCTGTGGACCGGTTGGTCTCCAACGGCCGTTTGGGTCATGTGGACCGGTTGGACCAACCGGCCAGTGGTCCTGTGGACCGGTTGGTCGCACACGGCCAGTTGGTCCTGTGGACCGGTTGGACCAACCGGCCAGTTGGTCCTGTGGACCGGTTGGTCAAACCGGCCAGTTGGTCCTGTGGACCGGTTGGACCAACCGGCCAGTTGGTCCTGTGGACCGGTTGGGACCAACCGGCCAGTTGGTCCTGTGGACCGGTTGGCCAACGGCCAGTTCGTCCTGTGGACCGGTTGGTCCAACCGGCCAGTTGGTCCTGTGGACGGTTGGACCAACCGGCCAATTGGTCCTGTGGACCGGTTGGTCCAACCGGCCAGTTGGTCCTGTGGACCGGTTGGACCAACCGGCCAGTTGGTCCTGTGGACCGGTTGGTCCAACCGGCCGTTGGTCCTGTGGACCGGTTGGTACCAACCGGCCAGTTTGTCCTGTGGACCGGTTGGACCAACCGGCCAGTGGTCCTGTGGACCGGTTTGGTCCAACCGGCCAGTTGGTCCTGTGGACCGGTTGGACCAACCGGCCAGTTGGTCATGTGGACCGGTTGGTCCAACCGGCCAGTTGGTCCTGTGGACCGGTTGGACCAACGGCAGTTGGTCCTGTGGACCGGTTGGTCAACCGGCCAAGTGGTCCTGTGGACCGGTTGGACCGGTTGTTGGGACCAACCGCCGTTGGTCCTGTGGACCGGTTTGGTCCAACCGGCCAGTTGGTCATGTGGACCGGTTGGACCAACCGGCCAGTTGGTCCTGTGGACCGGTTGGTCCAACCGGCCAGTTGGTCCTGTGGACCGGTTGGACCAACCGGCCAGTTGGTCCTGTGGACCGGTTGGTCCAACCGGCCAGTTGGTCCTGTGGACCGGTTGGACCAACCGGCAGTTGGTCCTGTGGACCGGTTGGACCAACCGGCCAGTTGGTCATGTGGACCGGTTGGTCCAACCGGCCAGTTGGTCATGTGGACCGGTTGGTACCAACCGGCCAGTTGGTCCTGTGGACCGGCCAGTTGGTCCTGTGGGACCGGTTGGTCCAACCGGCCAGTTGGTCCTGTGGACCGGTTGGACCAACCGGCCAGTTGGTCCTGTGGACCGGTTGGACCAACCGGCCAGTTGGTCATGTGGACCGGTTGGACCAACCGGCCAGTTGGTCCTGTGGACCGGTTGGACCAACCGGCCAGTTGGTCATGTGGACCGGTTGGTCCAACCGGCCAGTTGGTCCTGTGGACCGGTTGGACCAACCGGCCAGTTGGTCCTGTGGACCGGTTGGTCCAACCGGCCAGTTGGTCCTGTGGACCGGTTGGACCAACCGGCCAGTTGGTCCTGTGGACCGGTTGGTCCAACCGCGCCAGTTGGTCCTGTGGACCGGTTGGACCAACCGGCCAGTTGGTCCTGTGGACCGGTTGGACCAACCGGCCAGTTGGTCATGTGGACCGGTTGGTCCAACCGGCCAGTTGGTCCTGTGGACCGGTTGGACCAACCGGCCAGGTGGTCATGTGGACCGGTTGGTCCAACCGGCCAGTTGGTCCTGTGGACCGGTTGGGACCAACCGGCCAGTTGGTCATGTGGACCGGTTGGTCCAACCGGCCAGTTGGTCCTGTGGACCGGTTGGACAACCGGCCAGTTGGTCCTGTGGACCGGTTGGTACCAACCGGCCAGTTGGTCCATGTGGACCGGTTGGACCAACCGGCCAGTTGGTCCTGTGGACCGGTTGGACCAACCGGCCAGTTGGTCCTGTGGACCGGTTGGACCAACCGGCCAGTTGGTCCTGTGGACCGGTTGGACCAACCGGCCAGTTGGTCCTGTGGACCGGTTGGACCAACCGGCCAGTTGGTCCTGTGGACCGGTTGGACCAACCGGCCAGTTGGTCCTGTGGACCGGTTGGACCAACCGGCCAGTTGGTCCTGTGGACCGGTTGGACCAACCGGCCAGTTGGTCCTGTGGACCGGTTGGACCAACCGGCCAGTTGGTCCTGTGGACCGGTTGGACCAACCGGCCTGTTGGTCCTGTGGACCGGTTGGACCAACCGGCCAGTTGGTCCTGTGGACCGGTTGGACCAACCGGCCTGTTGGTCCTGTGGACCGGTTGGACCAACCGGCCAGTTGGTCCTGTGGACCGGTTGGACCAACCGGCCAGTTGGTCCTGTGGACCGGTTGGACCAACCGGCCAGTTGGTCCTGTGGACCGGTTGGACCAACCGGCCAGTTGGTCCTGTGGACCGGTTGGACCAACCGGCCAGTTGGTCCTGTGGACCGGTTGGACCAACCGGCCAGTTGGTCCTGTGGACCGGTTGGACCAACCGGCCAGTTGGTCCTGTGGACCGGTTGGACCAACCGGCCAGTTGGTCCTGTGGACCGGTTGGACCAACCGGCCAGTTGGTCCTGTGGACCGGTTGGACCAACCGGCCAGTTGGTCCTGTGGACCGGTTGGACCAACCGGCCAGTTGGTCCTGTGGACCGGTTGGACCAACCGGCCAGTTGGTCCTGTGGACCGGTTGGACCAACCGGCCAGTTGGTCCTGTGGACCGGTTGGACCAACCGGCCAGTTGGTCCTGTGGACCGGTTGGACCAACCGGCCAGTTGGTCCTGTGGACCGGTTGGACCAACCGGCCAGTTGGTCCTGTGGACCGGTTGGACCAACCGGCCAGTTGGTCCTGTGGACCGGTTGGACCAACCGGCCAGTTGGTCCTGTGGACCGGTTGGACCAACCGGCCAGTTGGTCCTGTGGACCGGTTGGTCCAACCGGCCAGTTGGTCCTGTGGACCGGTTGGACCAACCGGCCAGTTGGTCCTGTGGACCGGTTGGACCAACCGGCCAGTTGGTCCTGTGGACCGGTTGGACCAACCGGCCAGTTGGTCCTGTGGACCGGTTGGTCCAACCGGCCAGTTGGTCCTGTGGACCGGTTGGTCCAACCGGCCAGTTGGTCATGTGGACCGGTTGGACCAACCGGCCAGTTGGTCCTGTGGACCGGTTGGTCCCAACCGGCCAGTTGGTCCTGTGGACCGGTTGGTACCAACCGGCCAGTTGGTCCTGTGGACCGGGTGGTCCAACCGGCCAGTTGGTTCCTGTGGACCGGTTTGGACCAACCGGCCAGTTGGTCATGTGGACCGGTTGGACCAACCGGCCAGTTGGTCCTGTGGACGGTTGGATCCAACCGGCCATTGGTCCTGTGGACCGGTTTGGTACCAACCGGCCAGTTGGTCATGTGGACCGGTTGGTCCAACCGGCCAGTTGGTCCTGTGGAACCGGTTGGACCAACCGGCCAGTTGGTCCTGTGGACCGGTTGGACCAACCGGCCAGTTGGTCCTGTGGACCGGTTGGACCAACCGGCCAGTTGGTCCTGTGGACCGGTTGGACCAACCGGCCAGTTGGTCCTGTGGACCGGTTGGTCCAACCGGCCAGTTGGTCCTGTGGACCGGTTGGTCCAACCGGCCAGTTGGTCCTGTGGACCGGTTGGACCAACCGGCCAGTTGGTCCTGTGGACCGGTTGGTCCAACCGGCCAGTTGGTCCTGTGGACCGGTTGGACCAACCGGCCAGTTGGTCCTGTGGACCGGTTGGATCCAACCGGCCAGTTGGTCCTGTGGACCGGTTGGTCCAACCGGCCAAGTTGGTCCTGTGGACCGGTTGGACCAACCGGCCAGTTGGTCCTGTGGACCGGTTTGGTCCAACCGGCCAGTTGGTCCTGTGGACCGGTTGGACCAACCGGCCAGTTGGTCCTGTGGACCGGTTGGACCAACCGGCCAGTTGGTCCTGTGGACCGGTTGGACCAACCGGCCAGTTGGTCCATGTGGACCGGTTGGATCCAACCGGCCAGTTGGTCCTGTGGACCGGTTGGACCAACCGGCCAGTTGGTCCTGTGGACCGGTTGGGCCAACCGGCCAGTTGGTCCTGTGGACCGGTTGGACCAACCGGCCAGTTGGTCCTGTGGACCGGTTGGTCCAACCGGCCAGTTGGTCCTGTGGACCGGTTGGTCCAACCGGCCAGTTGGTCATGTGGACCGGTTGGCCAACCGGCCAGTTGGTCCTGTGGACCGGTTGGCTCCAACGGCCAGTTGGTCCTGTGGCCGGTTGGACCAACCGGCCAGTTGGTCCATGTGGACCGGTTGGACCAACCGGCCAGTTGGTCATGTGGACCGGTTGGACCAACCGGCCAGTTGGTCCTTTGGACCGGTTGGACCAACCGGCCAGTTGGTCATGTGGACCGGTTGGACCAACCGGCCAGTTGGTCATGTGGACCGGTTGGACCAACCGGCCAGTTGGTCATGTGGACCGGTTGGACCAACCGGCCAGTTGGTCCTGTGGACCGGTTGGACCAACCGGCCAGTTGGTCCTGTGGACAGGTTGGTCCAACCGGCCAGTTGGTCCTGTGGACCGGTTGTCCAACCGGCAGTTGGTCATGTGGACACGGTTGGTACCAACCGGCCAGTTGGTCCTGTGGACCGGTTGGACCAACCGGCCAGTTGGTCCTGTGGACCGGTTGGACCAACCGGCCAGTTGGTCCTGTGGACCGGTTGGTCCAACCGGCCAGTTGGTCCTGTGGACCGGTTGGGACCAACCGGCCAGTTGGTCTGTGGACGGTTGGACCAACCGGCCAAGTTGGTCCTGTGGACCGGTTGGGTCCAACCGGCCAGTTGGTCCTGTGGACCGGTTGGACCAACCGGCCAGTTGGTCCTGTGGACCGGTTGGTACCAACCGGCCAGTTGGTCCCTGTGGACCGGTTGGACCAACCGGCCAGTTGGTCCTGTGGACCGGTTGGACCAACCGGCCAGTTGGTCCTGTGGACCGGTTGGTCCAACCGGCCAGTTGGTCCTGTGGACCGGTTGGACCAACCGGCCAGTTGGTCCTGTGGACCGGTTGGTCCAACCGGCCAGTTGGTCCTGTGGACCGGTTGGACCAACCGGCCAGTTGGTCATGTGGACCGGTTGGTACCAACCGGCCAGTTGGTCCTGTGGACCGGTTGGACCAACCGGCCAGTTGGTCCTTGTGGACCGGTTGGACCAACGGCCAGTTGGTCTGTGGACCGGTTGAGTCCAACCGGCCAGTTGGTCATGTGGACCGGTTGGAACCAACCGGCCAGTTGGTCCTGTGGACCGGTTGGTCCAACCGGCCAGTTGTCCTGTGGACCGGTTGGACCAACCGGCCAGTTGGTCCTGTGGACCGGTTGGTCCAACCGGCCAGTTGGTCATGTGGACCGGTTGGACCAACCGGCCAGTTGGGTCCTGTGGACCGGTTGGACCAACCGGCCAGTTGGTCATGTGGACCGGTTGGTCCAACCGGCCAGTTGGTCATGTGGACCGGTTGGACCAACCGGCCAGTTGGTCCTGTGGACCGGTTGGACCAACCGGCCAGTTGGTCCTGTGGACCGGTTGGACCAACCGGCCAGTTGGTCCTGTGGACCGGTTGGACCAACCGGGCCAGTTGGTCCTGTGGACCGGTTGGTACAAACCGGCCAGTTGGTCCTGTGGACCGGTTGGACCAACCGGCCAGTTGGTCCTGTGGACCGGGTTGGTACCAACCGGCCAGTTGGTCCTGTGGACCGGTTGGACCAACCGGCCAGTTGGTCCTGTGGACCGGTTGGTCCAACCGGCCAGTTGGTCCTGTGGACCGGTTGGACCAACCGGCCAGGTTGGTCCTGTGGACCGGTTGGACCAACCGGCCAGTTGGTCCTGTGGACCGGTTGGACCAACCGGCCAGTTGGTCCTGTGGACCGGTTGGACCAACCGGCCAGTTGGTCCTGTGGACCGGTTGGACCAACCGGCCAGTTGGTCCTGTGGACCGGTTGGACCAACCGGCCTGTTGGTCCTGTGGACCGGTTGGACCAACCGGCCAGTTGGTCCTGTGGACCGGTTGGACCAACCGGCCAGTTGGTCCTGTGGACCGGTTGGACCAACCGGCCAGTTGGTCCTGTGGACCGGTTGGACCAACCGGCCAGTTGGTCCTGTGGACCGGTTGGACCAACCGGCCAGTTGGTCCTGTGGACCGGTTGGACCAACCGGCCAGTTGGTCCTGTGGACCGGTTGGACCAACCGGCCAGTTGGTCCTGTGGACCGGTTGGACCAACCGGCCTGTTGGTCCTGTGGACCGGTTGGACCAACCGGCCAGTTGGTCCTGTGGACCGGTTGGACCAACCGGCCAGTTGGTCCTGTGGACCGGTTGGACCAACCGGCCAGTTGGTCCTGTGGACCGGTTGGACCAACCGGCCAGTTGGTCCTGTGGACCGGTTGGACCAACCGGCCAGTTGGTCCTGTGGACCGGTTGGACCAACCGGCCAGTTGGTCCTGTGGACCGGTTGGACCAACCGGCCAGTTGGTCCTGTGGACCGGTTGGACCAACCGGCCTGTTGGTCCTGTGGACCGGTTGGACCAACCGGCCAGTTGGTCCTGTGGACCGGTTGGACCAACCGGCCAGTTGGTCCTGTGGACCGGTTGGACCAACCGGCCAGTTGGTCCTGTGGACCGGTTGGACCAACCGGCCAGTTGGTCCTGTGGACCGGTTGGACCAACCGGCCAGTTGGTCCTGTGGACCGGTTGGACCAACCGGCCAGTTGGTCCTGTGGACCGGTTGGACCAACCGGCCAGTTGGTCCTGTGGACCGGTTGGACCAACCGGCCAGTTGGTCCTGTGGACCGGTTGGACCAACCGGCCTGTTGGTCCTGTGGACCGGTTGGACCAACCGGCCAGTTGGTCCTGTGGACCGGTTGGACCAACCGGCCTGTTGGTCCTGTGGACCGGTTGGACCAACCGGCCAGTTGGTCCTGTGGACCGGTTGGACCAACCGGCCAGTTGGTCCTGTGGACCGGTTGGACCAACCGGCCAGTTGGTCCTGTGGACCGGTTGGACCAACCGGCCAGTTGGTCCTGTGGACCGGTTGGACCAACCGGCCAGTTGGTCCTGTGGACCGGTTGGACCAACCGGCCAGTTGGTCCTGTGGACCGGTTGGACCAACCGGCCAGTTGGTCCTGTGGACCGGTTGGACCAACCGGCCTGTTGGTCCTGTGGACCGGTTGGACCAACCGGCCAGTTGGTCCTGTGGACCGGTTGGACCAACCGGCCAGTTGGTCCTGTGGACCGGTTGGACCAACCGGCCAGTTGGTCCTGTGGACCGGTTGGACCAACCGGCCTGTTGGTCCTGTGGACCGGTTGGACCAACCGGCCAGTTGGTCCTGTGGACCGGTTGGACCAACCGGCCTGTTGGTCCTGTGGACCGGTTGGACCAACCGCCAGTTGGTCATGTGGACCGTGGACCAACCGGCCAGTTGTCCTGTGACCGGTTGCCAACCGGCCATGTTGGTCATGTGGACCGGTTGGTACCAACCGGCCAGGTTTGGTCCTGTGGACCGGTTGGACCACCGGCCTGTTGGTCCTGTGACCGTTGGACCAACCGGCCAGTTGGTCCTGTGGACCGGTTGGACCAACCGGCCAGTTGGTCCTGTGGACCGGTTGGACCAACCGGCCATGTTGGTCCTGTGGACCGGTTGGACCAACCGGCCTGTTGGTCCTGTGGACACGGTTGGGACCAACCGGCCAGTTGGTCCTGTGGGACCGGTTGGACCAACCGGCCAGTTGGTCCTGTGGGACCGGTTGGACCAACCGGCCAGTTTTGGGTCCTAGTGGACCGGTATGGACCAACCCGGCCTGTTGGTCCTGTGGACCGGTTGGACCAAACCGGCCATGTTGGGTCCTGTGGACCGGTTGGACCATAGCCCGGCCATGTTGGTCCTGTGGACCGGTGGACCAACCGGCCATGTTGGGCCGTGTGGAACCGGTTGGAACCAATCCGGCCAGTTGGTCCTGTGGACCGGTTGGACCAACCGGCCTGTTGGTCCTGTGGACCGGTTGGACCAACCGGCCAGTTGGTCCTGTGGACCGGTTGGACCAACCGGCCAGTTGGTCCTGTGGACCGGTTGGACCAACCGGCCTGTTGGTCCTGTGGACCGGTTGGACCAACCGGCCAGTTGGTCCTGTGGACCGGTTGGACCAACCGGCCTGTTGGTCCTGTGGACCGGTTGGACCAACCGGCCAGTTGGTCCTGTGGACCGGTTGGACCAACCGGCCAGTTGGTCCTGTGGACCGGTTGGACCAACCGGCCAGTTGGTCCTGTGGACCGGTTGGACCAACCGGCCTGTTGGTCCTGTGGACCGGTTGGACCAACCGGCCAGTTGGTCCTGTGGACCGGTTGGACCAACCGGCCAGTTGGTCCTGTGGACCGGTTGGACCAACCGGCCAGTTGGTCCTGTGGACCGGTTGGACCAACCGGCCAGTTGGTCCTGTGGACCGGTTGGACCAACCGGCCAGTTGGTCCTGTGGACCGGTTGGACCAACCGGCCAGTTGGTCCTGTGGACCGGTTGGACCAACCGGCCTGTTGGTCCTGTGGACCGGTTGGACCAACCGGCCTGTTGGTCCTGTGGACCGGTTGGACCAACCGGCCAGTTGGTCCTGTGGACCGGTTGGACCAACCGGCCTGTTGGTCCTGTGGACCGGTTGGACCAACCGGCCAGTTGGTCCTGTGGACCGGTTGGACCAACCGGCCAGTTGGTCCTGTGGACCGGTTGGACCAACCGGCCAGTTGGTCCTGTGGACCGGTTGGACCAACCGGCCTGTTGGTCCTGTGGACCGGTTGGACCAACCGGCCAGTTGGTCCTGTGGACCGGTTGGACCAACCGGCCAGTTGGTCCTGTGGACCGGTTGGACCAACCGGCCTGTTGGTCCTGTGGACCGGTTGGACCAACCGGCCAGTTGGTCCTGTGGACCGGTTGGACCAACCGGCCAGTTGGTCCTGTGGACCGGTTGGACCAACCGGCCAGTTGGTCCTGTGGACCGGTTGGACCAACCGGCCTGTTGGTCCTGTGGACCGGTTGGACCAACCGGCCAGTTGGTCCTGTGGACCGGTTGGACCAACCGGCCAGTTGGTCCTGTGGACCGGTTGGACCAACCGGCCTGTTGGTCCTGTGGACCGGTTGGACCAACCGGCCTGTTGGTCCTGTGGACCGGTTGGACCAACCGGCCTGTTGGTCCTGTGGACCGGTTGGACCAACCGGCCAGTTGGTCCTGTGGACCGGTTGGACCAACCGGCCTGTTGGTCCTGTGGACCGGTTGGACCAACCGGCCAGTTGGTCCTGTGGACCGGTTGGACCAACCGGCCTGTTGGTCCTGTGGACCGGTTGGACCAACCGGCCTGTTGGTCCTGTGGACCGGTTGGACCAACCGGCCAGTTGGTCCTGTGGACCGGTTGGACCAACCGGCCAGTTGGTCCTGTGGACCGGTTGGACCAACCGGCCAGTTGGTCCTGTGGACCGGTTGGACCAACCGGCCTGTTGGTCCTGTGGACCGGTTGGACCAACCGGCCAGTTGGTCCTGTGGACCGGTTGGACCAACCGGCCAGTTGGTCCTGTGGACCGGTTGGACCAACCGGCCAGTTGGTCCTGTGGACCGGTTGGACCAACCGGCCTGTTGGTCCTGTGGACCGGTTGGACCAACCGGCCAGTTGGTCCTGTGGACCGGTTGGACCAACCGGCCTGTTGGTCCTGTGGACCGGTTGGACCAACCGGCCTGTTGGTCCTGTGGACCGGTTGGACCAACCGGCCAGTTGGTCCTGTGGACCGGTTGGACCAACCGGCCAGTTGGTCCTGTGGACCGGTTGGACCAACCGGCCAGTTGGTCCTGTGGACCGGTTGGACCAACCGGCCTGTTGGTCCTGTGGACCGGTTGGACCAACCGGCCAGTTGGTCCTGTGGACCGGTTGGACCAACCGGCCAGTTGGTCCTGTGGACCGGTTGGACCAACCGGCCAGTTGGTCCTGTGGACCGGTTGGACCAACCGGCCAGTTGGTCCTGTGGACCGGTTGGACCAACCGGCCAGTTGGTCCTGTGGACCGGTTGGACCAACCGGCCAGTTGGTCCTGTGGACCGGTTGGACCAACCGGCCAGTTGGTCCTGTGGACCGGTTGGACCAACCGGCCAGTTGGTCCTGTGGACCGGTTGGACCAACCGGCCAGTTGGTCCTGTGGACCGGTTGGACCAACCGGCCAGTTGGTCCTGTGGACCGGTTGGACCAACCGGCCAGTTGGTCCTGTGGACCGGTTGGACCAACCGGCCAGTTGGTCCTGTGGACCGGTTGGACCAACCGGCCAGTTGGTCCTGTGGACCGGTTGGACCAACCGGCCTGTTGGTCCTGTGGACCGGTTGGACCAACCGGCCAGTTGGTCCTGTGGACCGGTTGGACCAACCGGCCAGTTGGTCCTGTGGACCGGTTGGACCAACCGGCCTGTTGGTCCTGTGGACCGGTTGGACCAACCGGCCATGTTGGTCCTGTGGACCGGTTGGACCAACCGGCCAGTTGGTCCTGTGGACCGGTTGGACCAACCGGCCAGTTGGTCCTGTGGACCGGTTGGACCAACCGGCCAGTTGGTCCTGTGGACCGGTTGGACCAACCGGCCAGTTGGTCCCTGTGGACCGGTTGGACCAACCGGCCTGTTGGTCCTGTGGACCGGTTTGGACCAACCGGCCAGTTGGTCATGTGGACCGGTTGGACCAACCGGCCAGTTGGTCCTGTGGACCGGTTGGACCAACCGGCCAGTTGGTCCTGTGGACCGGTTGGACCAACCGGCCAGTTGTCCTGTGGACCGGTTGGACCAACCGGCCAGTTGGTCCTGTGGACCGGTTGGTCCAACCGGCCAGTTGGTCCTGTGGACCGGTTGGACCAACCGGCCAGTTGGTCCGTGGACCGGTTGGACCAACCGGCCTAGTTGGTCCTGTGGAACGGTTGGACCAACCGGCCAGTTGGTCCATGTGGACAGGTTTGGACCAACCGGCCAGTTGGTCCTGTGGACCGGTTGGACCAACCGGCCAGTTGGTCCTGTGGACCGGTTGGACCAACCGGCCAGTTGGTCCTGTGGACCGGTTGGACCAACCGGCCAGTTGGTCCTGTGGACCGGTTGGACCACCGGCCAGTTGGTCCTGTGGACCGGTTGGACCAACCGGCCAGTTGGTCCTGTGGACCGGTTGGACCAACCGGCCGTTGGTCCTGTGACCGGTTGGACCAACCGGCCATGTTGGTCCTGTGGACCGGTTGGACCAACCGGCCAGTTGGTCCTGTGGACCGGTTGGACCAAACCGGCCATGTTGGTCCTGTGGACCGGTTGGACCAACCGGGCCAGTTGGTCATGTGGACCGGTTGGACCAACCGGCCTGTTGGTCCTGTGGACCGGTTGGACCAACCGGCCAGTTTGGTCCTGTGGACCGGTTGGACCAACCGGCCAGTTGGTCCTGTGGACCGGTTGGAACCAAACCGGCCTAGTTGGTCCTGTGGACCGGTTGGACCAACCGGCCTAGTTGGTCCTGTGGACCGGTTGGACCAACCGGCCATGTTGGTTCCTGTGGACCGGTTGGACCAACCGGCCAGTTGGTCCTGTGGACCGGTTGGACCAACCGGCCTGTTGGTCCTGTGGACCGGTTGGACCAACCGGCCAGTTGGTCCTGTGGACCGGTTGGACCAACCGGCCAGTTGGTCCTGTGGACCGGTTGGACCAACCGGCCAGTTGGTCCTGTGGACCGGTTGGACCAACCGGCCTGTTGGTCCTGTGGACCGGTTGGACCAACCGGCCAGTTGGTCCTGTGGACCGGTTGGACCAACCGGCCAGTTGGTCCTGTGGACCGGTTGGACCAACCGGCCAGTTGGTCCTGTGGACCGGTTGGACCAACCGGCCTGTTGGTCCTGTGGACCGGTTGGACCAACCGGCCTGTTGGTCCTGTGGACCGGTTGGACCAACCGGCCAGTTGGTCCTGTGGACCGGTTGGACCAACCGGCCAGTTGGTCCTGTGGACCGGTTGGACCAACCGGCCTGTTGGTCCTGTGGACCGGTTGGACCAACCGGCCTGTTGGTCCTGTGGACCGGTTGGACCAACCGGCCTGTTGGTCCTGTGGACCGGTTGGACCAACCGGCCAGTTGGTCCTGTGGACCGGTTGGACCAACCGGCCTGTTGGTCCTGTGGACCGGTTGGACCAACCGGCCAGTTGGTCCTGTGGACCGGTTGGACCAACCGGCCTGTTGGTCCTGTGGACCGGTTGGACCAACCGGCCTGTTGGTCCTGTGGACCGGTTGGACCAACCGGCCAGTTGGTCCTGTGGACCGGTTGGACCAACCGGCCTGTTGGTCCTGTGGACCGGTTGGACCAACCGGCCAGTTGGTCCTGTGGACCGGTTGGACCAACCGGCCAGTTGGTCCTGTGGACCGGTTGGACCAACCGGCCTGTTGGTCCTGTGGACCGGTTGGACCAACCGGCCAGTTGGTCCTGTGGACCGGTTGGACCAACCGGCCTGTTGGTCCTGTGGACCGGTTGGACCAACCGGCCAGTTGGTCCTGTGGACCGGTTGGACCAACCGGCCTGTTGGTCCTGTGGACCGGTTGGACCAACCGGCCAGTTGGTCCTGTGGACCGGTTGGACCAACCGGCCAGTTGGTCCTGTGGACCGGTTGGACCAACCGGCCAGTTGGTCCTGTGGACCGGTTGGACCAACCGGCCAGTTGGTCCTGTGGACCGGTTGGACCAACCGGCCAGTTGGTCCTGTGGACCGGTTGGACCAACCGGCCTGTTGGTCCTGTGGACCGGTTGGACCAACCGGCCAGTTGGTCCTGTGGACCGGTTGGACCAACCGGCCTGTTGGTCCTGTGGACCGGTTGGACCAACCGGCCAGTTGGTCCTGTGGACCGGTTGGACCAACCGGCCAGTTGGTCCTGTGGACCGGTTGGACCAACCGGCCTGTTGGTCCTGTGGACCGGTTGGACCAACCGGCCAGTTGGTCCTGTGGACCGGTTGGACCAACCGGCCAGTTGGTCCTGTGGACCGGTTGGACCAACCGGCCAGTTGGTCCTGTGGACCGGTTGGACCAACCGGCCTGTTGGTCCTGTGGACCGGTTGGACCAACCGGCCAGTTGGTCCTGTGGACCGGTTGGACCAACCGGCCTGTTGGTCCTGTGGACCGGTTGGACCAACCGGCCTGTTGGTCCTGTGGACCGGTTGGACCAACCGGCCAGTTGGTCCTGTGGACCGGTTGGACCAACCGGCCTGTTGGTCCTGTGGACCGGTTGGACCAACCGGCCTGTTGGTCCTGTGGACCGGTTGGACCAACCGGCCAGTTGGTCCTGTGGACCGGTTGGACCAACCGGCCAGTTGGTCCTGTGGACCGGTTGGACCAACCGGCCAGTTGGTCCTGTGGACCGGTTGGACCAACCGGCCAGTTGGTCCTGTGGACCGGTTGGACCAACCGGCCAGTTGGTCCTGTGGACCGGTTGGACCAACCGGCCAGTTGGTCCTGTGGACCGGTTGGACCAACCGGCCAGTTGGTCCTGTGGACCGGTTGGACCAACCGGCCAGTTGGTCCTGTGGACCGGTTGGACCAACCGGCCAGTTGGTCCTGTGGACCGGTTGGACCAACCGGCCTGTTGGTCCTGTGGACCGGTTGGACCAACCGGCCTGTTGGTCCTGTGGACCGGTTGGACCAACCGGCCTGTTGGTCCTGTGGACCGGTTGGACCAACCGGCCAGTTGGTCCTGTGGACCGGTTGGACCAACCGGCCTGTTGGTCCTGTGGACCGGTTGGACCAACCGGCCAGTTGGTCCTGTGGACCGGTTGGACCAACCGGCCAGTTGGTCCTGTGGACCGGTTGGACCAACCGGCCAGTTGGTCCTGTGGACCGGTTGGACCAACCGGCCTGTTGGTCCTGTGGACCGGTTGGACCAACCGGCCAGTTGGTCCTGTGGACCGGTTGGACCAACCGGCCAGTTGGTCCTGTGGACCGGTTGGACCAACCGGCCAGTTGGTCCTGTGGACCGGTTGGACCAACCGGCCAGTTGGTCCTGTGGACCGGTTGGACCAACCGGCCTGTTGGTCCTGTGGACCGGTTGGACCAACCGGCCTGTTGGTCCTGTGGACCGGTTGGACCAACCGGCCTGTTGGTCCTGTGGACCGGTTGGACCAACCGGCCAGTTGGTCCTGTGGACCGGTTGGACCAACCGGCCAGTTGGTCCTGTGGACCGGTTGGACCAACCGGCCAGTTGGTCCTGTGGACCGGTTGGACCAACCGGCCTGTTGGTCCTGTGGACCGGTTGGACCAACCGGCCAGTTGGTCCTGTGGACCGGTTGGACCAACCGGCCTGTTGGTCCTGTGGACCGGTTGGACCAACCGGCCAGTTGGTCCTGTGGACCGGTTGGACCAACCGGCCAGTTGGTCCTGTGGACCGGTTGGACCAACCGGCCAGTTGGTCCTGTGGACCGGTTGGACCAACCGGCCAGTTGGTCCTGTGGACCGGTTGGACCAACCGGCCAGTTGGTCCTGTGGACCGGTTGGACCAACCGGCCAGTTGGTCCTGTGGACCGGTTGGACCAACCGGCCAGTTGGTCCTGTGGACCGGTTGGACCAACCCGCCTGTTGGTCCTGTGGACCGGTTGGACCAACCGGCCAGTTGGTCCTGTGGACCGGTTGGACCAACCGGCCAGTTGGTCATGTGGACCGGTTGGACCAACCGGCCTAGTTGGTCCTGTGGACCGGTTGGACCAACCGGCCCTGTTGGTCCTGTGGACCGGTTGGACCAACCGGCCTGTTGGTCCCTGTGGACCGGTTGGACCAACCGGCCTGTTGGTCCTGTGGACCAGGTTGGGACCAACCGGCCTGTTGGTCCTGTGGACCGGTTGGACCAACCGGCCTGTTGGTCCTGGTGGACCGGTTGGACCAACCGGCCTGTTGGTCCTGTGGACCGGTTGGACCAACCGGCCAGTTGGTCCTGTGGACCGGTTGGACCAACCGGCCAGTTGGTCCTGTGGACCGGTTGGACCAACCGGCCAGTTGGTCCTGTGGACCGGTTGGACCAACCGGCCTGTTGGTCCTGTGGACCGGTTGGACCAACCGGCCAGTTGGTCCTGTGGACCGGTTGGACCAACCGGCCTGTTGGTCCTGTGGACCGGTTGGACCAACCGGCCAGTTGGTCCTGTGGACCGGTTGGACCAACCGGCCTGTTGGTCCTGTGGACCGGTTGGACCAACCGGCCTGTTGGTCCTGTGGACCGGTTGGACCAACCGGCCAGTTGGTCCTGTGGACCGGTTGGACCAACCGGCCAGTTGGTCCTGTGGACCGGTTGGACCAACCGGCCAGTTGGTCCTGTGGACCGGTTGGACCAACCGGCCAGTTGGTCCTGTGGACCGGTTGGACCAACCGGCCAGTTGGTCCTGTGGACCGGTTGGACCAACCGGCCTGTTGGTCCTGTGGACCGGTTGGACCAACCGGCCAGTTGGTCCTGTGGACCGGTTGGACCAACCGGCCAGTTGGTCCTGTGGACCGGTTGGACCAACCGGCCAGTTGGTCCTGTGGACCGGTTGGACCAACCGGCCAGTTGGTCCTGTGGACCGGTTGGACCAACCGGCCAGTTGGTCCTGTGGACCGGTTGGACCAACCGGCCAGTTGGTCCTGTGGACCGGTTGGACCAACCGGCCTGTTGGTCCTGTGGACCGGTTGGACCAACCGGCCAGTTGGTCCTGTGGACCGGTTGGACCAACCGGCCAGTTGGTCCTGTGGACCGGTTGGACCAACCGGCCTGTTGGTCCTGTGGACCGGTTGGACCAACCGGCCAGTTGGTCCTGTGGACCGGTTGGACCAACCGGCCTGTTGGTCCTGTGGACCGGTTGGACCAACCGGCCTGTTGGTCCTGTGGACCGGTTGGACCAACCGGCCAGTTGGTCCTGTGGACCGGTTGGACCAACCGGCCAGTTGGTCCTGTGGACCGGTTGGACCAACCGGCCAGTTGGTCCTGTGGACCGGTTGGACCAACCGGCCAGTTGGTCCTGTGGACCGGTTGGACCAACCGGCCAGTTGGTCCTGTGGACCGGTTGGACCAACCGGCCTGTTGGTCCTGTGGACCGGTTGGACCAACCGGCCAGTTGGTCCTGTGGACCGGTTGGACCAACCGGCCTGTTGGTCCTGTGGACCGGTTGGACCAACCGGCCAGTTGGTCCTGTGGACCGGTTGGACCAACCGGCCAGTTGGTCCTGTGGACCGGTTGGACCAACCGGCCAGTTGGTCCTGTGGACCGGTTGGACCAACCGGCCAGTTGGTCCTGTGGACCGGTTGGACCAACCGGCCAGTTGGTCCTGTGGACCGGTTGGACCAACCGGCCAGTTGGTCCTGTGGACCGGTTGGACCAACCGGCCAGTTGGTCCTGTGGACCGGTTGGACCAACCGGCCAGTTGGTCCTGTGGACCGGTTGGACCAACCGGCCAGTTGGTCCTGTGGACCGGTTGGACCAACCGGCCTGTTGGTCCTGTGGACCGGTTGGACCAACCGGCCAGTTGGTCCTGTGGACCGGTTGGACCAACCGGCCAGTTGGTCCTGTGGACCGGTTGGACCAACCGGCCAGTTGGTCCTGTGGACCGGTTGGACCAACCGGCCAGTTGGTCCTGTGGACCGGTTGGACCAACCGGCCAGTTGGTCCTGTGGACCGGTTGGACCAACCGGCCAGTTGGTCCTGTGGACCGGTTGGACCAACCGGCCAGTTGGTCCTGTGGACCGGTTGGACCAACCGGCCAGTTGGTCCTGTGGACCGGTTGGACCAACCGGCCTGTTGGTCCTGTGGACCGGTTGGACCAACCGGCCTGTTGGTCCTGTGGACCGGTTGGACCAACCGGCCAGTTGGTCCTGTGGACCGGTTGGACCAACCGGCCAGTTGGTCCTGTGGACCGGTTGGACCAACCGGCCAGTTGGTCCTGTGGACCGGTTGGACCAACCGGCCAGTTGGTCCTGTGGACCGGTTGGACCAACCGGCCAGTTGGTCCTGTGGACCGGTTGGACCAACCGGCCAGTTGGTCCTGTGGACCGGTTGGACCAACCGGCCAGTTGGTCCTGTGTCCTGTGGACCGGTTGGACCAACCGGCCAGTTGGTCCTGTGGACCGGTTGGACCAACCGGCCAGTTGGTCCTGTGGACCGGTTGGACCAACCGGCCAGTTGGTCCTGTGGACCGGTTGGACCAACCGGCCAGTTGGTCCTGTGGACCGGTTGGACCAACCGGCCAGTTGGTCCTGTGGACCGGTTGGACCAACCGGCCTGTTGGTCCTGTGGACCGGTTGGACCAACCGGCCAGTTGGTCCTGTGGACCGGTTGGACCAACCGGCCAGTTGGTCCTGTGGACCGGTTGGACCAACCGGCCAGTTGGTCCTGTGGACCGGTTGGACCAACCGGCCTGTTGGTCCTGTGGACCGGTTGGACCAACCGGCCTGTTGGTCCTGTGGACCGGTTGGACCAACCGGCCAGTTGGTCCTGTGGACCGGTTGGACCAACCGGCCAGTTGGTCCTGTGGACCGGTTGGACCAACCGGCCAGTTGGTCCTGTGGACCGGTTGGACCAACCGGCCAGTTGGTCCTGTGGACCGGTTGGACCAACCGGCCAGTTGGTCCTGTGGACCGGTTGGACCAACCGGCCAGTTGGTCCTGTGGACCGGTTGGACCAACCGGCCAGTTGGTCCTGTGGACCGGTTGGACCAACCGGCCTGTTGGTCCTGTGGACCGGTTGGACCAACCGGCCAGTTGGTCCTGTGGACCGGTTGGACCAACCGGCCTGTTGGTCCTGTGGACCGGTTGGACCAACCGGCCAGTTGGTCCTGTGGACCGGTTGGACCAACCGGCCTGTTGGTCCTGTGGACCGGTTGGACCAACCGGCCTGTTGGTCCTGTGGACCGGTTGGACCAACCGGCCAGTTGGTCCTGTGGACCGGTTGGACCAACCGGCCTGTTGGTCCTGTGGACCGGTTGGACCAACCGGCCAGTTGGTCCTGTGGACCGGTTGGACCAACCGGCCTGTTGGTCCTGTGGACCGGTTGGACCAACCGGCCAGTTGGTCCTGTGGACCGGTTGGACCAACCGGCCTGTTGGTCCTGTGGACCGGTTGGACCAACCGGCCTGTTGGTCCTGTGGACCGGTTGGACCAACCGGCCAGTTGGTCCTGTGGACCGGTTGGACCAACCGGCCTGTTGGTCCTGTGGACCGGTTGGACCAACCGGCCTGTTGGTCCTGTGGACCGGTTGGACCAACCGGCCAGTTGGTCCTGTGGACCGGTTGGACCAACCGGCCTGTTGGTCCTGTGGACCGGTTGGACCAACCGGCCTGTTGGTCCTGTGGACCGGTTGGACCAACCGGCCAGTTGGTCCTGTGGACCGGTTGGACCAACCGGCCTGTTGGTCCTGTGGACCGGTTGGACCAACCGGCCTGTTGGTCCTGTGGACCGGTTGGACCAACCGGCCTGTTGGTCCTGTGGACCGGTTGGACCAACCGGCCAGTTGGTCCTGTGGACCGGTTGGACCAACCGGCCAGTTGGTCCTGTGGACCGGTTGGACCAACCGGCCAGTTGGTCCTGTGGACCGGTTGGACCAACCGGCCTGTTGGTCCTGTGGACCGGTTGGACCAACCGGCCAGTTGGTCCTGTGGACCGGTTGGACCAACCGGCCAGTTGGTCCTGTGGACCGGTTGGACCAACCGGCCTGTTGGTCCTGTGGACCGGTTGGACCAACCGGCCAGTTGGTCCTGTGGACCGGTTGGACCAACCGGCCAGTTGGTCCTGTGGACCGGTTGGACCAACCGGCCTGTTGGTCCTGTGGACCGGTTGGACCAACCGGCCAGTTGGTCCTGTGGACCGGTTGGACCAACCGGCCAGTTGGTCCTGTGGACCGGTTGGACCAACCGGCCAGTTGGTCCTGTGGACCGGTTGGACCAACCGGCCTGTTGGTCCTGTGGACCGGTTGGACCAACCGGCCAGTTGGTCCTGTGGACCGGTTGGACCAACCGGCCAGTTGGTCCTGTGGACCGGTTGGACCAACCGGCCTGTTGGTCCTGTGGACCGGTTGGACCAACCGGCCAGTTGGTCCTGTGGACCGGTTGGACCAACCGGCCAGTTGGTCCTGTGGACCGGTTGGACCAACCGGCCAGTTGGTCCTGTGGACCGGTTGGACCAACCGGCCTGTTGGTCCTGTGGACCGGTTGGACCAACCGGCCTGTTGGTCCTGTGGACCGGTTGGACCAACCGGCCAGTTGGTCCTGTGGACCGGTTGGACCAACCGGCCAGTTGGTCCTGTGGACCGGTTGGACCAACCGGCCTGTTGGTCCTGTGGACCGGTTGGACCAACCGGCCAGTTGGTCCTGTGGACCGGTTGGACCAACCGGCCAGTTGGTCCTGTGGACCGGTTGGACCAACCGGCCAGTTGGTCCTGTGGACCGGTTGGACCAACCGGCCAGTTGGTCCTGTGGACCGGTTGGACCAACCGGCCAGTTGGTCCTGTGGACCGGTTGGACCAACCGGCCAGTTGGTCCTGTGGACCGGTTGGACCAACCGGCCTGTTGGTCCTGTGGACCGGTTGGACCAACCGGCCAGTTGGTCCTGTGGACCGGTTGGACCAACCGGCCAGTTGGTCCTGTGGACCGGTTGGACCAACCGGCCAGTTGGTCCTGTGGACCGGTTGGACCAACCGGCCTGTTGGTCCTGTGGACCGGTTGGACCAACCGGCCAGTTGGTCCTGTGGACCGGTTGGACCAACCGGCCAGTTGGTCCTGTGGACCGGTTGGACCAACCGGCCAGTTGGTCCTGTGGACCGGTTGGACCAACCGGCCAGTTGGTCCTGTGGACCGGTTGGACCAACCGGCCAGTTGGTCCTGTGGACCGGTTGGACCAACCGGCCTGTTGGTCCTGTGGACCGGTTGGACCAACCGGCCAGTTGGTCCTGTGGACCGGTTGGACCAACCGGCCAGTTGGTCCTGTGGACCGGTTGGACCAACCGGCCTGTTGGTCCTGTGGACCGGTTGGACCAACCGGCCTGTTGGTCCTGTGGACCGGTTGGACCAACCGGCCAGTTGGTCCTGTGGACCGGTTGGACCAACCGGCCAGTTGGTCCTGTGGACCGGTTGGACCAACCGGCCAGTTGGTCCTGTGGACCGGTTGGACCAACCGGCCAGTTGGTCCTGTGGACCGGTTGGACCAACCGGCCAGTTGGTCCTGTGGACCGGTTGGACCAACCGGCCAGTTGGTCCTGTGGACCGGTTGGACCAACCGGCCAGTTGGTCCTGTGGACCGGTTGGACCAACCGGCCTGTTGGTCCTGTGGACCGGTTGGACCAACCGGCCAGTTGGTCCTGTGGACCGGTTGGACCAACCGGCCAGTTGGTCCTGTGGACCGGTTGGACCAACCGGCCAGTTGGTCCTGTGGACCGGTTGGACCAACCGGCCTGTTGGTCCTGTGGACCGGTTGGACCAACCGGCCTGTTGGTCCTGTGGACCGGTTGGACCAACCGGCCTGTTGGTCCTGTGGACCGGTTGGACCAACCGGCCAGTTGGTCCTGTGGACCGGTTGGACCAACCGGCCTGTTGGTCCTGTGGACCGGTTGGACCAACCGGCCAGTTGGTCCTGTGGACCGGTTGGACCAACCGGCCTGTTGGTCCTGTGGACCGGTTGGACCAACCGGCCAGTTGGTCCTGTGGACCGGTTGGACCAACCGGCCAGTTGGTCCTGTGGACCGGTTGGACCAACCGGCCTGTTGGTCCTGTGGACCGGTTGGACCAACCGGCCAGTTGGTCCTGTGGACCGGTTGGACCAACCGGCCAGTTGGTCCTGTGGACCGGTTGGACCAACCGGCCTGTTGGTCCTGTGGACCGGTTGGACCAACCGGCCAGTTGGTCCTGTGGACCGGTTGGACCAACCGGCCAGTTGGTCCTGTGGACCGGTTGGACCAACCGGCCTGTTGGTCCTGTGGACCGGTTGGACCAACCGGCCAGTTGGTCCTGTGGACCGGTTGGACCAACCGGCCAGTTGGTCCTGTGGACCGGTTGGACCAACCGGCCAGTTGGTCCTGTGGACCGGTTGGACCAACCGGCCAGTTGGTCCTGTGGACCGGTTGGACCAACCGGCCAGTTGGTCCTGTGGACCGGTTGGACCAACCGGCCAGTTGGTCCTGTGGACCGGTTGGACCAACCGGCCTGTTGGTCCTGTGGACCGGTTGGACCAACCGGCCAGTTGGTCCTGTGGACCGGTTGGACCAACCGGCCAGTTGGTCCTGTGGACCGGTTGGACCAACCGGCCAGTTGGTCCTGTGGACCGGTTGGACCAACCGGCCAGTTGGTCCTGTGGACCGGTTGGACCAACCGGCCAGTTGGTCCTGTGGACCGGTTGGACCAACCGGCCAGTTGGTCCTGTGGACCGGTTGGACCAACCGGCCAGTTGGTCCTGTGGACCGGTTGGACCAACCGGCCAGTTGGTCCTGTGGACCGGTTGGACCAACCGGCCAGTTGGTCCTGTGGACCGGTTGGACCAACCGGCCAGTTGGTCCTGTGGACCGGTTGGACCAACCGGCCAGTTGGTCCTGTGGACCGGTTGGACCAACCGGCCTGTTGGTCCTGTGGACCGGTTGGACCAACCGGCCAGTTGGTCCTGTGGACCGGTTGGACCAACCGGCCAGTTGGTCCTGTGGACCGGTTGGACCAACCGGCCAGTTGGTCCTGTGGACCGGTTGGACCAACCGGCCAGTTGGTCCTGTGGACCGGTTGGACCAACCGGCCTGTTGGTCCTGTGGACCGGTTGGACCAACCGGCCAGTTGGTCCTGTGGACCGGTTGGACCAACCGGCCAGTTGGTCCTGTGGACCGGTTGGACCAACCGGCCAGTTGGTCCTGTGGACCGGTTGGACCAACCGGCCTGTTGGTCCTGTGGACCGGTTGGACCAACCGGCCTGTTGGTCCTGTGGACCGGTTGGACCAACCGGCCAGTTGGTCCTGTGGACCGGTTGGACCAACCGGCCTGTTGGTCCTGTGGACCGGTTGGACCAACCGGCCTGTTGGTCCTGTGGACCGGTTGGACCAACCGGCCAGTTGGTCCTGTGGACCGGTTGGACCAACCGGCCAGTTGGTCCTGTGGACCGGTTGGACCAACCGGCCAGTTGGTCCTGTGGACCGGTTGGACCAACCGGCCAGTTGGTCCTGTGGACCGGTTGGACCAACCGGCCAGTTGGTCCTGTGGACCGGTTGGACCAACCGGCCTGTTGGTCCTGTGGACCGGTTGGACCAACCGGCCTGTTGGTCCTGTGGACCGGTTGGACCAACCGGCCAGTTGGTCCTGTGGACCGGTTGGACCAACCGGCCAGTTGGTCCTGTGGACCGGTTGGACCAACCGGCCAGTTGGTCCTGTGGACCGGTTGGACCAACCGGCCAGTTGGTCCTGTGGACCGGTTGGACCAACCGGCCTGTTGGTCCTGTGGACCGGTTGGACCAACCGGCCAGTTGGTCCTGTGGACCGGTTGGACCAACCGGCCAGTTGGTCCTGTGGACCGGTTGGACCAACCGGCCAGTTGGTCCTGTGGACCGGTTGGACCAACCGGCCTGTTGGTCCTGTGGACCGGTTGGACCAACCGGCCAGTTGGTCCTGTGGACCGGTTGGACCAACCGGCCAGTTGGTCCTGTGGACCGGTTGGACCAACCGGCCAGTTGGTCCTGTGGACCGGTTGGACCAACCGGCCAGTTGGTCCTGTGGACCGGTTGGACCAACCGGCCTGTTGGTCCTGTGGACCGGTTGGACCAACCGGCCAGTTGGTCCTGTGGACCGGTTGGACCAACCGGCCAGTTGGTCCTGTGGACCGGTTGGACCAACCGGCCAGTTGGTCCTGTGGACCGGTTGGACCAACCGGCCTGTTGGTCCTGTGGACCGGTTGGACCAACCGGCCAGTTGGTCCTGTGGACCGGTTGGACCAACCGGCCTGTTGGTCCTGTGGACCGGTTGGACCAACCGGCCAGTTGGTCCTGTGGACCGGTTGGACCAACCGGCCAGTTGGTCCTGTGGACCGGTTGGACCAACCGGCCAGTTGGTCCTGTGGACCGGTTGGACCAACCGGCCAGTTGGTCCTGTGGACCGGTTGGACCAACCGGCCTGTTGGTCCTGTGGACCGGTTGGACCAACCGGCCTGTTGGTCCTGTGGACCGGTTGGACCAACCGGCCAGTTGGTCCTGTGGACCGGTTGGACCAACCGGCCTGTTGGTCCTGTGGACCGGTTGGACCAACCGGCCAGTTGGTCCTGTGGACCGGTTGGACCAACCGGCCTGTTGGTCCTGTGGACCGGTTGGACCAACCGGCCAGTTGGTCCTGTGGACCGGTTGGACCAACCGGCCTGTTGGTCCTGTGGACCGGTTGGACCAACCGGCCAGTTGGTCCTGTGGACCGGTTGGACCAACCGGCCAGTTGGTCCTGTGGACCGGTTGGACCAACCGGCCAGTTGGTCCTGTGGACCGGTTGGACCAACCGGCCAGTTGGTCCTGTGGACCGGTTGGACCAACCGGCCTGTTGGTCCTGTGGACCGGTTGGACCAACCGGCCAGTTGGTCCTGTGGACCGGTTGGACCAACCGGCCAGTTGGTCCTGTGGACCGGTTGGACCAACCGGCCAGTTGGTCCTGTGGACCGGTTGGACCAACCGGCCTGTTGGTCCTGTGGACCGGTTGGACCAACCGGCCAGTTGGTCCTGTGGACCGGTTGGACCAACCGGCCAGTTGGTCCTGTGGACCGGTTGGACCAACCGGCCAGTTGGTCCTGTGGACCGGTTGGACCAACCGGCCTGTTGGTCCTGTGGACCGGTTGGACCAACCGGCCAGTTGGTCCTGTGGACCGGTTGGACCAACCGGCCAGTTGGTCCTGTGGACCGGTTGGACCAACCGGCCAGTTGGTCCTGTGGACCGGTTGGACCAACCGGCCTGTTGGTCCTGTGGACCGGTTGGACCAACCGGCCAGTTGGTCCTGTGGACCGGTTGGACCAACCGGCCAGTTGGTCCTGTGGACCGGTTGGACCAACCGGCCAGTTGGTCCTGTGGACCGGTTGGACCAACCGGCCAGTTGGTCCTGTGGACCGGTTGGACCAACCGGCCTGTTGGTCCTGTGGACCGGTTGGACCAACCGGCCTGTTGGTCCTGTGGACCGGTTGGACCAACCGGCCAGTTGGTCCTGTGGACCGGTTGGACCAACCGGCCAGTTGGTCCTGTGGACCGGTTGGACCAACCGGCCAGTTGGTCCTGTGGACCGGTTGGACCAACCGGCCAGTTGGTCCTGTGGACCGGTTGGACCAACCGGCCTGTTGGTCCTGTGGACCGGTTGGACCAACCGGCCTGTTGGTCCTGTGGACCGGTTGGACCAACCGGCCAGTTGGTCCTGTGGACCGGTTGGACCAACCGGCCTGTTGGTCCTGTGGACCGGTTGGACCAACCGGCCTGTTGGTCCTGTGGACCGGTTGGACCAACCGGCCTGTTGGTCCTGTGGACCGGTTGGACCAACCGGCCAGTTGGTCCTGTGGACCGGTTGGACCAACCGGCCAGTTGGTCCTGTGGACCGGTTGGACCAACCGGCCAGTTGGTCCTGTGGACCGGTTGGACCAACCGGCCTGTTGGTCCTGTGGACCGGTTGGACCAACCGGCCAGTTGGTCCTGTGGACCGGTTGGACCAACCGGCCAGTTGGTCCTGTGGACCGGTTGGACCAACCGGCCAGTTGGTCCTGTGGACCGGTTGGACCAACCGGCCTGTTGGTCCTGTGGACCGGTTGGACCAACCGGCCAGTTGGTCCTGTGGACCGGTTGGACCAACCGGCCAGTTGGTCCTGTGGACCGGTTGGACCAACCGGCCAGTTGGTCCTGTGGACCGGTTGGACCAACCGGCCTGTTGGTCCTGTGGACCGGTTGGACCAACCGGCCAGTTGGTCCTGTGGACCGGTTGGACCAACCGGCCAGTTGGTCCTGTGGACCGGTTGGACCAACCGGCCAGTTGGTCCTGTGGACCGGTTGGACCAACCGGCCAGTTGGTCCTGTGGACCGGTTGGACCAACCGGCCTGTTGGTCCTGTGGACCGGTTGGACCAACCGGCCAGTTGGTCCTGTGGACCGGTTGGACCAACCGGCCAGTTGGTCCTGTGGACCGGTTGGACCAACCGGCCAGTTGGTCCTGTGGACCGGTTGGACCAACCGGCCAGTTGGTCCTGTGGACCGGTTGGACCAACCGGCCTGTTGGTCCTGTGGACCGGTTGGACCAACCGGCCTGTTGGTCCTGTGGACCGGTTGGACCAACCGGCCTGTTGGTCCTGTGGACCGGTTGGACCAACCGGCCAGTTGGTCCTGTGGACCGGTTGGACCAACCGGCCTGTTGGTCCTGTGGACCGGTTGGACCAACCGGCCAGTTGGTCCTGTGGACCGGTTGGACCAACCGGCCAGTTGGTCCTGTGGACCGGTTGGACCAACCGGCCAGTTGGTCCTGTGGACCGGTTGGACCAACCGGCCAGTTGGTCCTGTGGACCGGTTGGACCAACCGGCCAGTTGGTCCTGTGGACCGGTTGGACCAACCGGCCAGTTGGTCCTGTGGACCGGTTGGACCAACCGGCCAGTTGGTCCTGTGGACCGGTTGGACCAACCGGCCTGTTGGTCCTGTGGACCGGTTGGACCAACCGGCCTGTTGGTCCTGTGGACCGGTTGGACCAACCGGCCAGTTGGTCCTGTGGACCGGTTGGACCAACCGGCCTTGGTCCTGTGGACCGGTTGGACCAACCGGCCAGTTGGTCCTGTGGACCGGTTGGACCAACCGGCCAGTTGGTCCTGTGGACCGGTTGGACCAACCGGCCAGTTGGTCCTGTGGACCGGTTGGACCAACCGGCCAGTTGGTCCTGTGGACCGGTTGGACCAACCGGCCAGTTGGTCCTGTGGACCGGTTGGACCAACCGGCCAGTTGGTCCTGTGGACCGGTTGGACCAACCGGCCTGTTGGTCCTGTGGACCGGTTGGACCAACCGGCCAGTTGGTCCTGTGGACCGGTTGGACCAACCGGCCAGTTGGTCCTGTGGACCGGTTGGACCAACCGGCCAGTTGGTCCTGTGGACCGGTTGGACCAACCGGCCAGTTGGTCCTGTGGACCGGTTGGACCAACCGGCCAGTTGGTCCTGTGGACCGGTTGGACCAACCGGCCAGTTGGTCCTGTGGACCGGTTGGACCAACCGGCCAGTTGGTCCTGTGGACCGGTTGGACCAACCGGCCAGTTGGTCCTGTGGACCGGTTGGACCAACCGGCCTGTTGGTCCTGTGGACCGGTTGGACCAACCGGCCAGTTGGTCCTGTGGACCGGTTGGACCAACCGGCCAGTTGGTCCTGTGGACCGGTTGGACCAACCGGCCAGTTGGTCCTGTGGACCGGTTGGACCAACCGGCCAGTTGGTCCTGTGGACCGGTTGGACCAACCGGCCAGTTGGTCCTGTGGACCGGTTGGACCAACCGGCCAGTTGGTCCTGTGGACCGGTTGGACCAACCGGCCAGTTGGTCCTGTGGACCGGTTGGACCAACCGGCCAGTTGGTCCTGTGGACCGGTTGGACCAACCGGCCTGTTGGTCCTGTGGACCGGTTGGACCAACCGGCCAGTTGGTCCTGTGGACCGGTTGGACCAACCGGCCAGTTGGTCCTGTGGACCGGTTGGACCAACCGGCCAGTTGGTCCTGTGGACCGGTTGGACCAACCGGCCTGTTGGTCCTGTGGACCGGTTGGACCAACCGGCCAGTTGGTCCTGTGGACCGGTTGGACCAACCGGCCTGTTGGTCCTGTGGACCGGTTGGACCAACCGGCCAGTTGGTCCTGTGGACCGGTTGGACCAACCGGCCAGTTGGTCCTGTGGACCGGTTGGACCAACCGGCCTGTTGGTCCTGTGGACCGGTTGGACCAACCGGCCAGTTGGTCCTGTGGACCGGTTGGACCAACCGGCCAGTTGGTCCTGTGGACCGGTTGGACCAACCGGCCAGTTGGTCCTGTGGACCGGTTGGACCAACCGGCCAGTTGGTCCTGTGGACCGGTTGGACCAACCGGCCAGTTGGTCCTGTGGACCGGTTGGACCAACCGGCCAGTTGGTCCTGTGGACCGGTTGGACCAACCGGCCAGTTGGTCCTGTGGACCGGTTGGACCAACCGGCCAGTTGGTCCTGTGGACCGGTTGGACCAACCGGCCAGTTGGTCCTGTGGACCGGTTGGACCAACCGGCCAGTTGGTCCTGTGGACCGGTTGGACCAACCGGCCAGTTGGTCCTGTGGACCGGTTGGACCAACCGGCCTGTTGGTCCTGTGGACCGGTTGGACCAACCGGCCTGTTGGTCCTGTGGACCGGTTGGACCAACCGGCCAGTTGGTCCTGTGGACCGGTTGGACCAACCGGCCAGTTGGTCCTGTGGACCGGTTGGACCAACCGGCCAGTTGGTCCTGTGGACCGGTTGGACCAACCGGCCAGTTGGTCCTGTGGACCGGTTGGACCAACCGGCCAGTTGGTCCTGTGGACCGGTTGGACCAACCGGCCAGTTGGTCCTGTGGACCGGTTGGACCAACCGGCCAGTTGGTCCTGTGGACCGGTTGGACCAACCGGCCAGTTGGTCCTGTGGACCGGTTGGACCAACCGGCCAGTTGGTCCTGTGGACCGGTTGGACCAACCGGCCAGTTGGTCCTGTGGACCGGTTGGACCAACCGGCCTGTTGGTCCTGTGGACCGGTTGGACCAACCGGCCAGTTGGTCCTGTGGACCGGTTGGACCAACCGGCCTGTTGGTCCTGTGGACCGGTTGGACCAACCGGCCAGTTGGTCCTGTGGACCGGTTGGACCAACCGGCCTGTTGGTCCTGTGGACCGGTTGGACCAACCGGCCAGTTGGTCCTGTGGACCGGTTGGACCAACCGGCCAGTTGGTCCTGTGGACCGGTTGGACCAACCGGCCAGTTGGTCCTGTGGACCGGTTGGACCAACCGGCCTGTTGGTCCTGTGGACCGGTTGGACCAACCGGCCAGTTGGTCCTGTGGACCGGTTGGACCAACCGGCCAGTTGGTCCTGTGGACCGGTTGGACCAACCGGCCAGTTGGTCCTGTGGACCGGTTGGACCAACCGGCCAGTTGGTCCTGTGGACCGGTTGGACCAACCGGCCAGTTGGTCCTGTGGACCGGTTGGACCAACCGGCCTGTTGGTCCTGTGGACCGGTTGGACCAACCGGCCTGTTGGTCCTGTGGACCGGTTGGACCAACCGGCCAGTTGGTCCTGTGGACCGGTTGGACCAACCGGCCAGTTGGTCCTGTGGACCGGTTGGACCAACCGGCCAGTTGGTCCTGTGGACCGGTTGGACCAACCGGCCTGTTGGTCCTGTGGACCGGTTGGACCAACCGGCCTGTTGGTCCTGTGGACCGGTTGGACCAACCGGCCAGTTGGTCCTGTGGACCGGTTGGACCAACCGGCCAGTTGGTCCTGTGGACCGGTTGGACCAACCGGCCTGTTGGTCCTGTGGACCGGTTGGACCAACCGGCCAGTTGGTCCTGTGGACCGGTTGGACCAACCGGCCAGTTGGTCCTGTGGACCGGTTGGACCAACCGGCCAGTTGGTCCTGTGGACCGGTTGGACCAACCGGCCAGTTGGTCCTGTGGACCGGTTGGACCAACCGGCCAGTTGGTCCTGTGGACCGGTTGGACCAACCGGCCAGTTGGTCCTGTGGACCGGTTGGACCAACCGGCCTGTTGGTCCTGTGGACCGGTTGGACCAACCGGCCTGTTGGTCCTGTGGACCGGTTGGACCAACCGGCCAGTTGGTCCTGTGGACCGGTTGGACCAACCGGCCTGTTGGTCCTGTGGACCGGTTGGACCAACCGGCCTGTTGGTCCTGTGGACCGGTTGGACCAACCGGCCAGTTGGTCCTGTGGACCGGTTGGACCAACCGGCCTGTTGGTCCTGTGGACCGGTTGGACCAACCGGCCAGTTGGTCCTGTGGACCGGTTGGACCAACCGGCCAGTTGGTCCTGTGGACCGGTTGGACCAACCGGCCAGTTGGTCCTGTGGACCGGTTGGACCAACCGGCCTGTTGGTCCTGTGGACCGGTTGGACCAACCGGCCAGTTGGTCCTGTGGACCGGTTGGACCAACCGGCCAGTTGGTCCTGTGGACCGGTTGGACCAACCGGCCAGTTGGTCCTGTGGACCGGTTGGACCAACCGGCCTGTTGGTCCTGTGGACCGGTTGGACCAACCGGCCAGTTGGTCCTGTGGACCGGTTGGACCAACCGGCCAGTTGGTCCTGTGGACCGGTTGGACCAACCGGCCAGTTGGTCCTGTGGACCGGTTGGACCAACCGGCCTGTTGGTCCTGTGGACCGGTTGGACCAACCGGCCAGTTGGTCCTGTGGACCGGTTGGACCAACCGGCCTGTTGGTCCTGTGGACCGGTTGGACCAACCGGCCTGTTGGTCCTGTGGACCGGTTGGACCAACCGGCCAGTTGGTCCTGTGGACCGGTTGGACCAACCGGCCAGTTGGTCCTGTGGACCGGTTGGACCAACCGGCCAGTTGGTCCTGTGGACCGGTTGGACCAACCGGCCAGTTGGTCCTGTGGACCGGTTGGACCAACCGGCCAGTTGGTCCTGTGGACCGGTTGGACCAACCGGCCAGTTGGTCCTGTGGACCGGTTGGACCAACCGGCCTGTTGGTCCTGTGGACCGGTTGGACCAACCGGCCAGTTGGTCCTGTGGACCGGTTGGACCAACCGGCCAGTTGGTCCTGTGGACCGGTTGGACCAACCGGCCAGTTGGTCCTGTGGACCGGTTGGACCAACCGGCCAGTTGGTCCTGTGGACCGGTTGGACCAACCGGCCTGTTGGTCCTGTGGACCGGTTGGACCAACCGGCCAGTTGGTCCTGTGGACCGGTTGGACCAACCGGCCAGTTGGTCCTGTGGACCGGTTGGACCAACCGGCCAGTTGGTCCTGTGGACCGGTTGGACCAACCGGCCAGTTGGTCCTGTGGACCGGTTGGACCAACCGGCCTGTTGGTCCTGTGGACCGGTTGGACCAACCGGCCTGTTGGTCCTGTGGACCGGTTGGACCAACCGGCCAGTTGGTCCTGTGGACCGGTTGGACCAACCGGCCAGTTGGTCCTGTGGACCGGTTGGACCAACCGGCCAGTTGGTCCTGTGGACCGGTTGGACCAACCGGCCTGTTGGTCCTGTGGACCGGTTGGACCAACCGGCCAGTTGGTCCTGTGGACCGGTTGGACCAACCGGCCAGTTGGTCCTGTGGACCGGTTGGACCAACCGGCCAGTTGGTCCTGTGGACCGGTTGGACCAACCGGCCAGTTGGTCCTGTGGACCGGTTGGACCAACCGGCCAGTTGGTCCTGTGGACCGGTTGGACCAACCGGCCAGTTGGTCCTGTGGACCGGTTGGACCAACCGGCCAGTTGGTCCTGTGGACCGGTTGGACCAACCGGCCAGTTGGTCCTGTGGACCGGTTGGACCAACCGGCCTGTTGGTCCTGTGGACCGGTTGGACCAACCGGCCAGTTGGTCCTGTGGACCGGTTGGACCAACCGGCCAGTTGGTCCTGTGGACCGGTTGGACCAACCGGCCTGTTGGTCCTGTGGACCGGTTGGACCAACCGGCCAGTTGGTCCTGTGGACCGGTTGGACCAACCGGCCAGTTGGTCCTGTGGACCGGTTGGACCAACCGGCCAGTTGGTCCTGTGGACCGGTTGGACCAACCGGCCTGTTGGTCCTGTGGACCGGTTGGACCAACCGGCCTGTTGGTCCTGTGGACCGGTTGGACCAACCGGCCAGTTGGTCCTGTGGACCGGTTGGACCAACCGGCCTGTTGGTCCTGTGGACCGGTTGGACCAACCGGCCTGTTGGTCCTGTGGACCGGTTGGACCAACCGGCCAGTTGGTCCTGTGGACCGGTTGGACCAACCGGCCTGTTGGTCCTGTGGACCGGTTGGACCAACCGGCCAGTTGGTCCTGTGGACCGGTTGGACCAACCGGCCTGTTGGTCCTGTGGACCGGTTGGACCAACCGGCCAGTTGGTCCTGTGGACCGGTTGGACCAACCGGCCAGTTGGTCCTGTGGACCGGTTGGACCAACCGGCCAGTTGGTCCTGTGGACCGGTTGGACCAACCGGCCAGTTGGTCCTGTGGACCGGTTGGACCAACCGGCCAGTTGGTCCTGTGGACCGGTTGGACCAACCGGCCAGTTGGTCCTGTGGACCGGTTGGACCAACCGGCCAGTTGGTCCTGTGGACCGGTTGGACCAACCGGCCTGTTGGTCCTGTGGACCGGTTGGACCAACCGGCCTGTTGGTCCTGTGGACCGGTTGGACCAACCGGCCTGTTGGTCCTGTGGACCGGTTGGACCAACCGGCCAGTTGGTCCTGTGGACCGGTTGGACCAACCGGCCAGTTGGTCCTGTGGACCGGTTGGACCAACCGGCCAGTTGGTCCTGTGGACCGGTTGGACCAACCGGCCAGTTGGTCCTGTGGACCGGTTGGACCAACCGGCCAGTTGGTCCTGTGGACCGGTTGGACCAACCGGCCTGTTGGTCCTGTGGACCGGTTGGACCAACCGGCCAGTTGGTCCTGTGGACCGGTTGGACCAACCGGCCAGTTGGTCCTGTGGACCGGTTGGACCAACCGGCCTGTTGGTCCTGTGGACCGGTTGGACCAACCGGCCAGTTGGTCCTGTGGACCGGTTGGACCAACCGGCCAGTTGGTCCTGTGGACCGGTTGGACCAACCGGCCAGTTGGTCCTGTGGACCGGTTGGACCAACCGGCCTGTTGGTCCTGTGGACCGGTTGGACCAACCGGCCAGTTGGTCCTGTGGACCGGTTGGACCAACCGGCCAGTTGGTCCTGTGGACCGGTTGGACCAACCGGCCAGTTGGTCCTGTGGACCGGTTGGACCAACCGGCCAGTTGGTCCTGTGGACCGGTTGGACCAACCGGCCAGTTGGTCCTGTGGACCGGTTGGACCAACCGGCCAGTTGGTCCTGTGGACCGGTTGGACCAACCGGCCAGTTGGTCCTGTGGACCGGTTGGACCAACCGGCCAGTTGGTCCTGTGGACCGGTTGGACCAACCGGCCTGTTGGTCCTGTGGACCGGTTGGACCAACCGGCCAGTTGGTCCTGTGGACCGGTTGGACCAACCGGCCAGTTGGTCCTGTGGACCGGTTGGACCAACCGGCCAGTTGGTCCTGTGGACCGGTTGGACCAACCGGCCAGTTGGTCCTGTGGACCGGTTGGACCAACCGGCCAGTTGGTCCTGTGGACCGGTTGGACCAACCGGCCTGTTGGTCCTGTGGACCGGTTGGACCAACCGGCCAGTTGGTCCTGTGGACCGGTTGGACCAACCGGCCTGTTGGTCCTGTGGACCGGTTGGACCAACCGGCCAGTTGGTCCTGTGGACCGGTTGGACCAACCGGCCTGTTGGTCCTGTGGACCGGTTGGACCAACCGGCCTGTTGGTCCTGTGGACCGGTTGGACCAACCGGCCAGTTGGTCCTGTGGACCGGTTGGACCAACCGGCCAGTTGGTCCTGTGGACCGGTTGGACCAACCGGCCAGTTGGTCCTGTGGACCGGTTGGACCAACCGGCCAGTTGGTCCTGTGGACCGGTTGGACCAACCGGCCAGTTGGTCCTGTGGACCGGTTGGACCAACCGGCCAGTTGGTCCTGTGGACCGGTTGGACCAACCGGCCAGTTGGTCCTGTGGACCGGTTGGACCAACCGGCCTGTTGGTCCTGTGGACCGGTTGGACCAACCGGCCAGTTGGTCCTGTGGACCGGTTGGACCAACCGGCCAGTTGGTCCTGTGGACCGGTTGGACCAACCGGCCAGTTGGTCCTGTGGACCGGTTGGACCAACCGGCCTGTTGGTCCTGTGGACCGGTTGGACCAACCGGCCAGTTGGTCCTGTGGACCGGTTGGACCAACCGGCCAGTTGGTCCTGTGGACCGGTTGGACCAACCGGCCTGTTGGTCCTGTGGACCGGTTGGACCAACCGGCCAGTTGGTCCTGTGGACCGGTTGGACCAACCGGCCAGTTGGTCCTGTGGACCGGTTGGACCAACCGGCCAGTTGGTCCTGTGGACCGGTTGGACCAACCGGCCTGTTGGTCCTGTGGACCGGTTGGACCAACCGGCCAGTTGGTCCTGTGGACCGGTTGGACCAACCGGCCAGTTGGTCCTGTGGACCGGTTGGACCAACCGGCCAGTTGGTCCTGTGGACCGGTTGGACCAACCGGCCAGTTGGTCCTGTGGACCGGTTGGACCAACCGGCCAGTTGGTCCTGTGGACCGGTTGGACCAACCGGCCAGTTGGTCCTGTGGACCGGTTGGACCAACCGGCCAGTTGGTCCTGTGGACCGGTTGGACCAACCGGCCAGTTGGTCCTGTGGACCGGTTGGACCAACCGGCCTGTTGGTCCTGTGGACCGGTTGGACCAACCGGCCTGTTGGTCCTGTGGACCGGTTGGACCAACCGGCCTGTTGGTCCTGTGGACCGGTTGGACCAACCGGCCTGTTGGTCCTGTGGACCGGTTGGACCAACCGGCCAGTTGGTCCTGTGGACCGGTTGGACCAACCGGCCTGTTGGTCCTGTGGACCGGTTGGACCAACCGGCCTGTTGGTCCTGTGGACCGGTTGGACCAACCGGCCAGTTGGTCCTGTGGACCGGTTGGACCAACCGGCCTGTTGGTCCTGTGGACCGGTTGGACCAACCGGCCAGTTGGTCCTGTGGACCGGTTGGACCAACCGGCCAGTTGGTCCTGTGGACCGGTTGGACCAACCGGCCAGTTGGTCCTGTGGACCGGTTGGACCAACCGGCCAGTTGGTCCTGTGGACCGGTTGGACCAACCGGCCAGTTGGTCCTGTGGACCGGTTGGACCAACCGGCCAGTTGGTCCTGTGGACCGGTTGGACCAACCGGCCAGTTGGTCCTGTGGACCGGTTGGACCAACCGGCCAGTTGGTCCTGTGGACCGGTTGGACCAACCGGCCAGTTGGTCCTGTGGACCGGTTGGACCAACCGGCCTGTTGGTCCTGTGGACCGGTTGGACCAACCGGCCAGTTGGTCCTGTGGACCGGTTGGACCAACCGGCCAGTTGGTCCTGTGGACCGGTTGGACCAACCGGCCTGTTGGTCCTGTGGACCGGTTGGACCAACCGGCCAGTTGGTCCTGTGGACCGGTTGGACCAACCGGCCTGTTGGTCCTGTGGACCGGTTGGACCAACCGGCCTGTTGGTCCTGTGGACCGGTTGGACCAACCGGCCAGTTGGTCCTGTGGACCGGTTGGACCAACCGGCCAGTTGGTCCTGTGGACCGGTTGGACCAACCGGCCAGTTGGTCCTGTGGACCGGTTGGACCAACCGGCCAGTTGGTCCTGTGGACCGGTTGGACCAACCGGCCAGTTGGTCCTGTGGACCGGTTGGACCAACCGGCCTGTTGGTCCTGTGGACCGGTTGGACCAACCGGCCAGTTGGTCCTGTGGACCGGTTGGACCAACCGGCCAGTTGGTCCTGTGGACCGGTTGGACCAACCGGCCAGTTGGTCCTGTGGACCGGTTGGACCAACCGGCCTGTTGGTCCTGTGGACCGGTTGGACCAACCGGCCAGTTGGTCCTGTGGACCGGTTGGACCAACCGGCCAGTTGGTCCTGTGGACCGGTTGGACCAACCGGCCAGTTGGTCCTGTGGACCGGTTGGACCAACCGGCCAGTTGGTCCTGTGGACCGGTTGGACCAACCGGCCAGTTGGTCCTGTGGACCGGTTGGACCAACCGGCCAGTTGGTCCTGTGGACCGGTTGGACCAACCGGCCTGTTGGTCCTGTGGACCGGTTGGACCAACCGGCCAGTTGGTCCTGTGGACCGGTTGGACCAACCGGCCTGTTGGTCCTGTGGACCGGTTGGACCAACCGGCCAGTTGGTCCTGTGGACCGGTTGGACCAACCGGCCAGTTGGTCCTGTGGACCGGTTGGACCAACCGGCCAGTTGGTCCTGTGGACCGGTTGGACCAACCGGCCAGTTGGTCCTGTGGACCGGTTGGACCAACCGGCCAGTTGGTCCTGTGGACCGGTTGGACCAACCGGCCAGTTGGTCCTGTGGACCGGTTGGACCAACCGGCCAGTTGGTCCTGTGGACCGGTTGGACCAACCGGCCTGTTGGTCCTGTGGACCGGTTGGACCAACCGGCCTGTTGGTCCTGTGGACCGGTTGGACCAACCGGCCAGTTGGTCCTGTGGACCGGTTGGACCAACCGGCCAGTTGGTCCTGTGGACCGGTTGGACCAACCGGCCAGTTGGTCCTGTGGACCGGTTGGACCAACCGGCCAGTTGGTCCTGTGGACCGGTTGGACCAACCGGCCAGTTGGTCCTGTGGACCGGTTGGACCAACCGGCCAGTTGGTCCTGTGGACCGGTTGGACCAACCGGCCAGTTGGTCCTGTGGACCGGTTGGACCAACCGGCCAGTTGGTCCTGTGGACCGGTTGGACCAACCGGCCAGTTGGTCCTGTGGACCGGTTGGACCAACCGGCCAGTTGGTCCTGTGGACCGGTTGGACCAACCGGCCAGTTGGTCCTGTGGACCGGTTGGACCAACCGGCCTGTTGGTCCTGTGGACCGGTTGGACCAACCGGCCTGTTGGTCCTGTGGACCGGTTGGACCAACCGGCCTGTTGGTCCTGTGGACCGGTTGGACCAACCGGCCAGTTGGTCCTGTGGACCGGTTGGACCAACCGGCCAGTTGGTCCTGTGGACCGGTTGGACCAACCGGCCAGTTGGTCCTGTGGACCGGTTGGACCAACCGGCCAGTTGGTCCTGTGGACCGGTTGGACCAACCGGCCTGTTGGTCCTGTGGACCGGTTGGACCAACCGGCCAGTTGGTCCTGTGGACCGGTTGGACCAACCGGCCAGTTGGTCCTGTGGACCGGTTGGACCAACCGGCCAGTTGGTCCTGTGGACCGGTTGGACCAACCGGCCAGTTGGTCCTGTGGACCGGTTGGACCAACCGGCCAGTTGGTCCTGTGGACCGGTTGGACCAACCGGCCAGTTGGTCCTGTGGACCGGTTGGACCAACCGGCCAGTTGGTCCTGTGGACCGGTTGGACCAACCGGCCAGTTGGTCCTGTGGACCGGTTGGACCAACCGGCCAGTTGGTCCTGTGGACCGGTTGGACCAACCGGCCTGTTGGTCCTGTGGACCGGTTGGACCAACCGGCCAGTTGGTCCTGTGGACCGGTTGGACCAACCGGCCAGTTGGTCCTGTGGACCGGTTGGACCAACCGGCCAGTTGGTCCTGTGGACCGGTTGGACCAACCGGCCAGTTGGTCCTGTGGACCGGTTGGACCAACCGGCCAGTTGGTCCTGTGGACCGGTTGGACCAACCGGCCAGTTGGTCCTGTGGACCGGTTGGACCAACCGGCCAGTTGGTCCTGTGGACCGGTTGGACCAACCGGCCAGTTGGTCCTGTGGACCGGTTGGACCAACCGGCCAGTTGGTCCTGTGGACCGGTTGGACCAACCGGCCAGTTGGTCCTGTGGACCGGTTGGACCAACCGGCCTGTTGGTCCTGTGGACCGGTTGGACCAACCGGCCAGTTGGTCCTGTGGACCGGTTGGACCAACCGGCCAGTTGGTCCTGTGGACCGGTTGGACCAACCGGCCAGTTGGTCCTGTGGACCGGTTGGACCAACCGGCCAGTTGGTCCTGTGGACCGGTTGGACCAACCGGCCTGTTGGTCCTGTGGACCGGTTGGACCAACCGGCCAGTTGGTCCTGTGGACCGGTTGGACCAACCGGCCAGTTGGTCCTGTGGACCGGTTGGACCAACCGGCCAGTTGGTCCTGTGGACCGGTTGGACCAACCGGCCTGTTGGTCCTGTGGACCGGTTGGACCAACCGGCCAGTTGGTCCTGTGGACCGGTTGGACCAACCGGCCAGTTGGTCCTGTGGACCGGTTGGACCAACCGGCCAGTTGGTCCTGTGGACCGGTTGGACCAACCGGCCAGTTGGTCCTGTGGACCGGTTGGACCAACCGGCCAGTTGGTCCTGTGGACCGGTTGGACCAACCGGCCAGTTGGTCCTGTGGACCGGTTGGACCAACCGGCCAGTTGGTCCTGTGGACCGGTTGGACCAACCGGCCAGTTGGTCCTGTGGACCGGTTGGACCAACCGGCCAGTTGGTCCTGTGGACCGGTTGGACCAACCGGCCAGTTGGTCCTGTGGACCGGTTGGACCAACCGGCCAGTTGGTCCTGTGGACCGGTTGGACCAACCGGCCAGTTGGTCCTGTGGACCGGTTGGACCAACCGGCCTGTTGGTCCTGTGGACCGGTTGGACCAACCGGCCAGTTGGTCCTGTGGACCGGTTGGACCAACCGGCCAGTTGGTCCTGTGGACCGGTTGGACCAACCGGCCTGTTGGTCCTGTGGACCGGTTGGACCAACCGGCCAGTTGGTCCTGTGGACCGGTTGGACCAACCGGCCAGTTGGTCCTGTGGACCGGTTGGACCAACCGGCCAGTTGGTCCTGTGGACCGGTTGGACCAACCGGCCTGTTGGTCCTGTGGACCGGTTGGACCAACCGGCCAGTTGGTCCTGTGGACCGGTTGGACCAACCGGCCAGTTGGTCCTGTGGACCGGTTGGACCAACCGGCCAGTTGGTCCTGTGGACCGGTTGGACCAACCGGCCAGTTGGTCCTGTGGACCGGTTGGACCAACCGGCCAGTTGGTCCTGTGGACCGGTTGGACCAACCGGCCTGTTGGTCCTGTGGACCGGTTGGACCAACCGGCCAGTTGGTCCTGTGGACCGGTTGGACCAACCGGCCAGTTGGTCCTGTGGACCGGTTGGACCAACCGGCCAGTTGGTCCTGTGGACCGGTTGGACCAACCGGCCAGTTGGTCCTGTGGACCGGTTGGACCAACCGGCCAGTTGGTCCTGTGGACCGGTTGGACCAACCGGCCAGTTGGTCCTGTGGACCGGTTGGACCAACCGGCCAGTTGGTCCTGTGGACCGGTTGGACCAACCGGCCTGTTGGTCCTGTGGACCGGTTGGACCAACCGGCCTGTTGGTCCTGTGGACCGGTTGGACCAACCGGCCAGTTGGTCCTGTGGACCGGTTGGACCAACCGGCCTGTTGGTCCTGTGGACCGGTTGGACCAACCGGCCAGTTGGTCCTGTGGACCGGTTGGACCAACCGGCCAGTTGGTCCTGTGGACCGGTTGGACCAACCGGCCAGTTGGTCCTGTGGACCGGTTGGACCAACCGGCCAGTTGGTCCTGTGGACCGGTTGGACCAACCGGCCAGTTGGTCCTGTGGACCGGTTGGACCAACCGGCCAGTTGGTCCTGTGGACCGGTTGGACCAACCGGCCAGTTGGTCCTGTGGACCGGTTGGACCAACCGGCCAGTTGGTCCTGTGGACCGGTTGGACCAACCGGCCAGTTGGTCCTGTGGACCGGTTGGACCAACCGGCCAGTTGGTCCTGTGGACCGGTTGGACCAACCGGCCAGTTGGTCCTGTGGACCGGTTGGACCAACCGGCCAGTTGGTCCTGTGGACCGGTTGGACCAACCGGCCAGTTGGTCCTGTGGACCGGTTGGACCAACGGCCCAGTTGGTCCTGTGGACCGGTTGGACCAACCGGCCAGTTGGTCCTGTGGACCGGTTGGTCCAACCGGCCAGTTGGTCCTGTGGACCGGTTGGACCAACCGGCCAGTTGGTCCTGTGGACCGGTTTGACCAACCGGCCGTTGGTCATGTGGACCGGTTGGTCCAACCGGCCAGTGTGGTACCTGGTGAGACCGGTTGGTACCAACCGGCCAGTTGGTCATGTGGACCGGTTGGACCAAACCGGCAGTTGGTCCTGTGGACCGTGTTGGACCAACCGGCCAGTTGGTCCTGTGGACCGGTTGGACCAACCGGCCAGTTGGTCCTGTGGACCGGTTGGTCCAACCGGCCAGTTGGTCCTGTGGACCGGTTGGGACCAAACCGGCCAGTTGGTCCTGTGGACCGGTTGGACCCAACCGGCATGTTGGTCCTGGGACCGGTTGGACCAACCGGCCAGTTGGTCCTGTGGACCGGTTGGACCACCGGCCAGTTGGTTCATGTGGACCGGTTGGTCCAACCGGCCAGTTGGTCATTTTTCCTGTGACCGGTTGGACCAACCGGCCAGTTGGTCCTGTGGACCGGTTGGTCCAACCGGCCAGTTGGTCCTGTGGACCGGTTGGACCAACCCGGCCAGTTGGTCCTGTGGATCCGGTTGGACCAACCGGCCAGTTGGTCCTGTGGACCGGTTGGACCAACCGGCCAGTTGGTGCATGTGGACCGGTTGGACCAACCGGCCAGTTGGTCCTGTGGACCGGTGGACCAACCGGCCAGTTGGTCCTGTGGACCGGTTGGACCAACCGGCCAGTTGGTCCTGTGGACCGGTTGGTCCAACCCGGCCAGTTGGTCCTGTGGACGTTGGACAACCGGCCGTGTTGGTCCTGTGGACCGGTTGGACCAACGGCCAGTTGGTCCTGTGGACCGGTTGGACCAACCGGCCAGTTGGTCCTGTGGACCGGTTGGTCCAACCGGCCAGTTGGTCATGTGGACCGGTTGGACCAACCGGCCAGTTGGTCCTGTGGACCGGTTGGACCAACCGGCAGTTGGTCCTGTGGGACCGGTTGGACCAACCGGCCAGTTGGTCCTGTGGACCGGTTGGTACCAACCGGCCAGTTGGTCCTGTGGACGGTTGGACCAACCGGCCAGTTGGTCCTGTGGACCGGTTGGATCCAACCGGCCAGTTGGTCCTGGACCGGTTGGACCAACCGGCCGTTGGTCCTGTGGACCGGGTTGTGGACAAACCGTGCCAGTTGGTCCTGTGGACCGGTTTGGACCAACCGGCAAGTTGGTCCTGTGGACCGGTTGGACCAACCGGCCTGTTGGTCCTGTGGACCGGTTTGGACCAACCGGCCAGTTGGTCTGTGGACCGGTTGGACCAACCGGCCAGTTGGTCCTGTGGACCGGTTTGGACCAACCGGCCAGTTGGTCCTGTGGACGGTTGGACCAACCGGCCAGTTGGTCCTGTGGACCGGTTGGTCCAACCGGCCAGTTGGTACCTGTGGACCGGTTGGACCAACCGGCCAGTTGGTCCTGTGGACCGGTTGGACCAACCGGCCTGTTGGTCTGTGGACCGGTTGGACCAACCGGCCAGTTGTCCTGTGGACCGGTTGGACCAACCGGCCAGTTGGTCCTGTGGACCGGTTGGTACCAACCAGCCAGTGGTCATGTGGACCAACCGGCCAGTTGGTCCTGTGGACCGGTTGGACCAACCGGCCAGTTGGTCCTGTGGACCGGTTGGACCAACCGGCCAGTTGGTCCTGTGGACCGGTTGGACCAACCGGCCAGTTGGTCCTGTGGACCGGTTGGACCAACCGGCCAGTTGGTCCTGTGGACCGGTTGGACCAACCGGCCAGTTGGTCCTGTGGACCGGTTGGACCAACCGGCCAGTTGGTCCTGTGGACCGGTTGGACCAACCGGCCAGTTGGTCCTGTGGACCGGTTGGACCAACCGGCCAGTTGGTCCTGTGGACCGGTTGGACCAACCGGCCAGTTGGTCCTGTGGACCGGTTGGACCAACCGGCCAGTTGGTCCTGTGGACCGGTTGGACCAACCGGCCAGTTGGTCCTGTGGACCGGTTGGACCAACCGGCCAGTTGGTCCTGTGGACCGGTTGGACCAACCGGCCAGTTGGTCCTGTGGACCGGTTGGACCAACCGGCCAGTTGGTCCTGTGGACCGGTTGGACCAACCGGCCAGTTGGTCCTGTGGACCGGTTGGACCAACCGGCCAGTTGGTCCTGTGGACCGGTTGGACCAACCGGCCAGTTGGTCCTGTGGACCGGTTGGACCAACCGGCCAGTTGGTCCTGTGGACCGGTTGGACCAACCGGCCAGTTGGTCCTGTGGACCGGTTGGACCAACCGGCCAGTTGGTCCTGTGGACCGGTTGGACCAACCGGCCAGTTGGTCCTGTGGACCGGTTGGACCAACCGGCCAGTTGGTCCTGTGGACCGGTTGGACCAACCGGCCAGTTGGTCCTGTGGACCGGTTGGACCAACCGGCCAGTTGGTCCTGTGGACCGGTTGGACCAACCGGCCAGTTGGTCCTGTGGACCGGTTGGACCAACCGGCCAGTTGGTCCTGTGGACCGGTTGGACCAACCGGCCAGTTGGTCCTGTGGACCGGTTGGACCAACCGGCCAGTTGGTCCTGTGGACCGGTTGGACCAACCGGCCAGTTGGTCCTGTGGACCGGTTGGACCAACCGGCCAGTTGGTCCTGTGGACCGGTTGGACCAACCGGCCAGTTGGTCCTGTGGACCGGTTGGACCAACCGGCCAGTTGGTCCTGTGGACCGGTTGGACCAACCGGCCAGTTGGTCCTGTGGACCGGTTGGACCAACCGGCCAGTTGGTCCTGTGGACCGGTTGGACCAACCGGCCAGTTGGTCCTGTGGACCGGTTGGACCAACCGGCCAGTTGGTCCTGTGGACCGGTTGGACCAACCGGCCAGTTGGTCCTGTGGACCGGTTGGACCAACCGGCCAGTTGGTCCTGTGGACCGGTTGGACCAACCGGCCAGTTGGTCCTGTGGACCGGTTGGACCAACCGGCCAGTTGGTCCTGTGGACCGGTTGGACCAACCGGCCAGTTGGTCCTGTGGACCGGTTGGACCAACCGGCCAGTTGGTCCTGTGGACCGGTTGGACCAACCGGCCAGTTGGTCCTGTGGACCGGTTGGACCAACCGGCCAGTTGGTCCTGTGGACCGGTTGGACCAACCGGCCAGTTGGTCCTGTGGACCGGTTGGACCAACCGGCCAGTTGGTCCTGTGGACCGGTTGGACCAACCGGCCAGTTGGTCCTGTGGACCGGTTGGACCAACCGGCCAGTTGGTCCTGTGGACCGGTTGGACCAACCGGCCAGTTGGTCCTGTGGACCGGTTGGACCAACCGGCCAGTTGGTCCTGTGGACCGGTTGGACCAACCGGCCAGTTGGTCCTGTGGACCGGTTGGACCAACCGGCCAGTTGGTCCTGTGGACCGGTTGGACCAACCGGCCAGTTGGTCCTGTGGACCGGTTGGACCAACCGGCCAGTTGGTCCTGTGGACCGGTTGGACCAACCGGCCAGTTGGTCCTGTGGACCGGTTGGACCAACCGGCCAGTTGGTCCTGTGGACCGGTTGGACCAACCGGCCAGTTGGTCCTGTGGACCGGTTGGACCAACCGGCCAGTTGGTCCTGTGGACCGGTTGGACCAACCGGCCAGTTGGTCCTGTGGACCGGTTGGACCAACCGGCCAGTTGGTCCTGTGGACCGGTTGGACCAACCGGCCAGTTGGTCCTGTGGACCGGTTGGACCAACCGGCCAGTTGGTCCTGTGGACCGGTTGGACCAACCGGCCAGTTGGTCCTGTGGACCGGTTGGACCAACCGGCCAGTTGGTCCTGTGGACCGGTTGGACCAACCGGCCAGTTGGTCCTGTGGACCGGTTGGACCAACCGGCCAGTTGGTCCTGTGGACCGGTTGGACCAACCGGCCAGTTGGTCCTGTGGACCGGTTGGACCAACCGGCCAGTTGGTCCTGTGGACCGGTTGGACCAACCGGCCAGTTGGTCCTGTGGACCGGTTGGACCAACCGGCCAGTTGGTCCTGTGGACCGGTTGGACCAACCGGCCAGTTGGTCCTGTGGACCGGTTGGACCAACCGGCCAGTTGGTCCTGTGGACCGGTTGGACCAACCGGCCAGTTGGTCCTGTGGACCGGTTGGACCAACCGGCCAGTTGGTCCTGTGGACCGGTTGGACCAACCGGCCAGTTGGTCCTGTGGACCGGTTGGACCAACCGGCCAGTTGGTCCTGTGGACCGGTTGGACCAACCGGCCAGTTGGTCCTGTGGACCGGTTGGACCAACCGGCCAGTTGGTCCTGTGGACCGGTTGGACCAACCGGCCAGTTGGTCCTGTGGACCGGTTGGACCAACCGGCCAGTTGGTCCTGTGGACCGGTTGGACCAACCGGCCAGTTGGTCCTGTGGACCGGTTGGACCAACCGGCCAGTTGGTCCTGTGGACCGGTTGGACCAACCGGCCAGTTGGTCCTGTGGACCGGTTGGACCAACCGGCCAGTTGGTCCTGTGGACCGGTTGGACCAACCGGCCAGTTGGTCCTGTGGACCGGTTGGACCAACCGGCCAGTTGGTCCTGTGGACCGGTTGGACCAACCGGCCAGTTGGTCCTGTGGACCGGTTGGACCAACCGGCCAGTTGGTCCTGTGGACCGGTTGGACCAACCGGCCAGTTGGTCCTGTGGACCGGTTGGACCAACCGGCCAGTTGGTCCTGTGGACCGGTTGGACCAACCGGCCAGTTGGTCCTGTGGACCGGTTGGACCAACCGGCCAGTTGGTCCTGTGGACCGGTTGGACCAACCGGCCAGTTGGTCCTGTGGACCGGTTGGACCAACCGGCCAGTTGGTCCTGTGGACCGGTTGGACCAACCGGCCAGTTGGTCCTGTGGACCGGTTGGACCAACCGGCCAGTTGGTCCTGTGGACCGGTTGGACCAACCGGCCAGTTGGTCCTGTGGACCGGTTGGACCAACCGGCCAGTTGGTCCTGTGGACCGGTTGGACCAACCGGCCAGTTGGTCCTGTGGACCGGTTGGACCAACCGGCCAGTTGGTCCTGTGGACCGGTTGGACCAACCGGCCAGTTGGTCCTGTGGACCGGTTGGACCAACCGGCCAGTTGGTCCTGTGGACCGGTTGGACCAACCGGCCAGTTGGTCCTGTGGACCGGTTGGACCAACCGGCCAGTTGGTCCTGTGGACCGGTTGGACCAACCGGCCAGTTGGTCCTGTGGACCGGTTGGACCAACCGGCCAGTTGGTCCTGTGGACCGGTTGGACCAACCGGCCAGTTGGTCCTGTGGACCGGTTGGACCAACCGGCCAGTTGGTCCTGTGGACCGGTTGGACCAACCGGCCAGTTGGTCCTGTGGACCGGTTGGACCAACCGGCCAGTTGGTCCTGTGGACCGGTTGGACCAACCGGCCAGTTGGTCCTGTGGACCGGTTGGACCAACCGGCCAGTTGGTCCTGTGGACCGGTTGGACCAACCGGCCAGTTGGTCCTGTGGACCGGTTGGACCAACCGGCCAGTTGGTCCTGTGGACCGGTTGGACCAACCGGCCAGTTGGTCCTGTGGACCGGTTGGACCAACCGGCCAGTTGGTCCTGTGGACCGGTTGGACCAACCGGCCAGTTGGTCCTGTGGACCGGTTGGACCAACCGGCCAGTTGGTCCTGTGGACCGGTTGGACCAACCGGCCAGTTGGTCCTGTGGACCGGTTGGACCAACCGGCCAGTTGGTCCTGTGGACCGGTTGGACCAACCGGCCAGTTGGTCCTGTGGACCGGTTGGACCAACCGGCCAGTTGGTCCTGTGGACCGGTTGGACCAACCGGCCAGTTGGTCCTGTGGACCGGTTGGACCAACCGGCCAGTTGGTCCTGTGGACCGGTTGGACCAACCGGCCAGTTGGTCCTGTGGACCGGTTGGACCAACCGGCCAGTTGGTCCTGTGGACCGGTTGGACCAACCGGCCAGTTGGTCCTGTGGACCGGTTGGACCAACCGGCCAGTTGGTCCTGTGGACCGGTTGGACCAACCGGCCAGTTGGTCCTGTGGACCGGTTGGACCAACCGGCCAGTTGGTCCTGTGGACCGGTTGGACCAACCGGCCAGTTGGTCCTGTGGACCGGTTGGACCAACCGGCCAGTTGGTCCTGTGGACCGGTTGGACCAACCGGCCAGTTGGTCCTGTGGACCGGTTGGACCAACCGGCCAGTTGGTCCTGTGGACCGGTTGGACCAACCGGCCAGTTGGTCCTGTGGACCGGTTGGACCAACCGGCCAGTTGGTCCTGTGGACCGGTTGGACCAACCGGCCAGTTGGTCCTGTGGACCGGTTGGACCAACCGGCCAGTTGGTCCTGTGGACCGGTTGGACCAACCGGCCAGTTGGTCCTGTGGACCGGTTGGACCAACCGGCCAGTTGGTCCTGTGGACCGGTTGGACCAACCGGCCAGTTGGTCCTGTGGACCGGTTGGACCAACCGGCCAGTTGGTCCTGTGGACCGGTTGGACCAACCGGCCAGTTGGTCCTGTGGACCGGTTGGACCAACCGGCCAGTTGGTCCTGTGGACCGGTTGGACCAACCGGCCAGTTGGTCCTGTGGACCGGTTGGACCAACCGGCCAGTTGGTCCTGTGGACCGGTTGGACCAACCGGCCAGTTGGTCCTGTGGACCGGTTGGACCAACCGGCCAGTTGGTCCTGTGGACCGGTTGGACCAACCGGCCAGTTGGTCCTGTGGACCGGTTGGACCAACCGGCCAGTTGGTCCTGTGGACCGGTTGGACCAACCGGCCAGTTGGTCCTGTGGACCGGTTGGACCAACCGGCCAGTTGGTCCTGTGGACCGGTTGGACCAACCGGCCAGTTGGTCCTGTGGACCGGTTGGACCAACCGGCCAGTTGGTCCTGTGGACCGGTTGGACCAACCGGCCAGTTGGTCCTGTGGACCGGTTGGACCAACCGGCCAGTTGGTCCTGTGGACCGGTTGGACCAACCGGCCAGTTGGTCCTGTGGACCGGTTGGACCAACCGGCCAGTTGGTCCTGTGGACCGGTTGGACCAACCGGCCAGTTGGTCCTGTGGACCGGTTGGACCAACCGGCCAGTTGGTCCTGTGGACCGGTTGGACCAACCGGCCAGTTGGTCCTGTGGACCGGTTGGACCAACCGGCCAGTTGGTCCTGTGGACCGGTTGGACCAACCGGCCAGTTGGTCCTGTGGACCGGTTGGACCAACCGGCCAGTTGGTCCTGTGGACCGGTTGGACCAACCGGCCAGTTGGTCCTGTGGACCGGTTGGACCAACCGGCCAGTTGGTCCTGTGGACCGGTTGGACCAACCGGCCAGTTGGTCCTGTGGACCGGTTGGACCAACCGGCCAGTTGGTCCTGTGGACCGGTTGGACCAACCGGCCAGTTGGTCCTGTGGACCGGTTGGACCAACCGGCCAGTTGGTCCTGTGGACCGGTTGGACCAACCGGCCAGTTGGTCCTGTGGACCGGTTGGACCAACCGGCCAGTTGGTCCTGTGGACCGGTTGGACCAACCGGCCAGTTGGTCCTGTGGACCGGTTGGACCAACCGGCCAGTTGGTCCTGTGGACCGGTTGGACCAACCGGCCAGTTGGTCCTGTGGACCGGTTGGACCAACCGGCCAGTTGGTCCTGTGGACCGGTTGGACCAACCGGCCAGTTGGTCCTGTGGACCGGTTGGACCAACCGGCCAGTTGGTCCTGTGGACCGGTTGGACCAACCGGCCAGTTGGTCCTGTGGACCGGTTGGACCAACCGGCCAGTTGGTCCTGTGGACCGGTTGGACCAACCGGCCAGTTGGTCCTGTGGACCGGTTGGACCAACCGGCCAGTTGGTCCTGTGGACCGGTTGGACCAACCGGCCAGTTGGTCCTGTGGACCGGTTGGACCAACCGGCCAGTTGGTCCTGTGGACCGGTTGGACCAACCGGCCAGTTGGTCCTGTGGACCGGTTGGACCAACCGGCCAGTTGGTCCTGTGGACCGGTTGGACCAACCGGCCAGTTGGTCCTGTGGACCGGTTGGACCAACCGGCCAGTTGGTCCTGTGGACCGGTTGGACCAACCGGCCAGTTGGTCCTGTGGACCGGTTGGACCAACCGGCCAGTTGGTCCTGTGGACCGGTTGGACCAACCGGCCAGTTGGTCCTGTGGACCGGTTGGACCAACCGGCCAGTTGGTCCTGTGGACCGGTTGGACCAACCGGCCAGTTGGTCCTGTGGACCGGTTGGACCAACCGGCCAGTTGGTCCTGTGGACCGGTTGGACCAACCGGCCAGTTGGTCCTGTGGACCGGTTGGACCAACCGGCCAGTTGGTCCTGTGGACCGGTTGGACCAACCGGCCAGTTGGTCCTGTGGACCGGTTGGACCAACCGGCCAGTTGGTCCTGTGGACCGGTTGGACCAACCGGCCAGTTGGTCCTGTGGACCGGTTGGACCAACCGGCCAGTTGGTCCTGTGGACCGGTTGGACCAACCGGCCAGTTGGTCCTGTGGACCGGTTGGACCAACCGGCCAGTTGGTCCTGTGGACCGGTTGGACCAACCGGCCAGTTGGTCCTGTGGACCGGTTGGACCAACCGGCCAGTTGGTCCTGTGGACCGGTTGGACCAACCGGCCAGTTGGTCCTGTGGACCGGTTGGACCAACCGGCCAGTTGGTCCTGTGGACCGGTTGGACCAACCGGCCAGTTGGTCCTGTGGACCGGTTGGACCAACCGGCCAGTTGGTCCTGTGGACCGGTTGGACCAACCGGCCAGTTGGTCCTGTGGACCGGTTGGACCAACCGGCCAGTTGGTCCTGTGGACCGGTTGGACCAACCGGCCAGTTGGTCCTGTGGACCGGTTGGACCAACCGGCCAGTTGGTCCTGTGGACCGGTTGGACCAACCGGCCAGTTGGTCCTGTGGACCGGTTGGACCAACCGGCCAGTTGGTCCTGTGGACCGGTTGGACCAACCGGCCAGTTGGTCCTGTGGACCGGTTGGACCAACCGGCCAGTTGGTCCTGTGGACCGGTTGGACCAACCGGCCAGTTGGTCCTGTGGACCGGTTGGACCAACCGGCCAGTTGGTCCTGTGGACCGGTTGGACCAACCGGCCAGTTGGTCCTGTGGACCGGTTGGACCAACCGGCCAGTTGGTCCTGTGGACCGGTTGGACCAACCGGCCAGTTGGTCCTGTGGACCGGTTGGACCAACCGGCCAGTTGGTCCTGTGGACCGGTTGGACCAACCGGCCAGTTGGTCCTGTGGACCGGTTGGACCAACCGGCCAGTTGGTCCTGTGGACCGGTTGGACCAACCGGCCAGTTGGTCCTGTGGACCGGTTGGACCAACCGGCCAGTTGGTCCTGTGGACCGGTTGGACCAACCGGCCAGTTGGTCCTGTGGACCGGTTGGACCAACCGGCCAGTTGGTCCTGTGGACCGGTTGGACCAACCGGCCTGTTGGTCCTGTGGACCGGTTGGACCAACCGGCCAGTTGGTCCTGTGGACCGGTTGGACCAACCGGCCAGTTGGTCCTGTGGACCGGTTGGACCAACCGGCCAGTTGGTCCTGTGGACCGGTTGGACCAACCGGCCAGTTGGTCCTGTGGACCGGTTGGACCAACCGGCCAGTTGGTCCTGTGGACCGGTTGGACCAACCGGCCAGTTGGTCCTGTGGACCGGTTGGACCAACCGGCCAGTTGGTCCTGTGGACCGGTTGGACCAACCGGCCAGTTGGTCCTGTGGACCGGTTGGACCAACCGGCCAGTTGGTCCTGTGGACCGGTTGGACCAACCGGCCAGTTGGTCCTGTGGACCGGTTGGACCAACCGGCCAGTTGGTCCTGTGGACCGGTTGGACCAACCGGCCAGTTGGTCCTGTGGACCGGTTGGACCAACCGGCCAGTTGGTCCTGTGGACCGGTTGGACCAACCGGCCAGTTGGTCCTGTGGACCGGTTGGACCAACCGGCCTGTTGGTCCTGTGGACCGGTTGGACCAACCGGCCAGTTGGTCCTGTGGACCGGTTGGACCAACCGGCCAGTTGGTCCTGTGGACCGGTTGGACCAACCGGCCAGTTGGTCCTGTGGACCGGTTGGACCAACCGGCCAGTTGGTCCTGTGGACCGGTTGGACCAACCGGCCAGTTGGTCCTGTGGACCGGTTGGACCAACCGGCCAGTTGGTCCTGTGGACCGGTTGGACCAACCGGCCAGTTGGTCCTGTGGACCGGTTGGACCAACCGGCCAGTTGGTCCTGTGGACCGGTTGGACCAACCGGCCAGTTGGTCCTGTGGACCGGTTGGACCAACCGGCCAGTTGGTCCTGTGGACCGGTTGGACCAACCGGCCAGTTGGTCCTGTGGACCGGTTGGACCAACCGGCCAGTTGGTCCTGTGGACCGGTTGGACCAACCGGCCAGTTGGTCCTGTGGACCGGTTGGACCAACCGGCCAGTTGGTCCTGTGGACCGGTTGGACCAACCGGCCAGTTGGTCCTGTGGACCGGTTGGACCAACCGGCCAGTTGGTCCTGTGGACCGGTTGGACCAACCGGCCAGTTGGTCCTGTGGACCGGTTGGACCAACCGGCCAGTTGGTCCTGTGGACCGGTTGGACCAACCGGCCAGTTGGTCCTGTGGACCGGTTGGACCAACCGGCCAGTTGGTCCTGTGGACCGGTTGGACCAACCGGCCAGTTGGTCCTGTGGACCGGTTGGACCAACCGGCCAGTTGGTCCTGTGGACCGGTTGGACCAACCGGCCAGTTGGTCCTGTGGACCGGTTGGACCAACCGGCCAGTTGGTCCTGTGGACCGGTTGGACCAACCGGCCAGTTGGTCCTGTGGACCGGTTGGACCAACCGGCCTGTTGGTCCTGTGGACCGGTTGGACCAACCGGCCAGTTGGTCCTGTGGACCGGTTGGACCAACCGGCCAGTTGGTCCTGTGGACCGGTTGGACCAACCGGCCAGTTGGTCCTGTGGACCGGTTGGACCAACCGGCCAGTTGGTCCTGTGGACCGGTTGGACCAACCGGCCAGTTGGTCCTGTGGACCGGTTGGACCAACCGGCCAGTTGGTCCTGTGGACCGGTTGGACCAACCGGCCAGTTGGTCCTGTGGACCGGTTGGACCAACCGGCCAGTTGGTCCTGTGGACCGGTTGGACCAACCGGCCAGTTGGTCCTGTGGACCGGTTGGACCAACCGGCCAGTTGGTCCTGTGGACCGGTTGGACCAACCGGCCAGTTGGTCCTGTGGACCGGTTGGACCAACCGGCCAGTTGGTCCTGTGGACCGGTTGGACCAACCGGCCAGTTGGTCCTGTGGACCGGTTGGACCAACCGGCCAGTTGGTCCTGTGGACCGGTTGGACCAACCGGCCAGTTGGTCCTGTGGACCGGTTGGACCAACCGGCCAGTTGGTCCTGTGGACCGGTTGGACCAACCGGCCAGTTGGTCCTGTGGACCGGTTGGACCAACCGGCCAGTTGGTCCTGTGGACCGGTTGGACCAACCGGCCAGTTGGTCCTGTGGACCGGTTGGACCAACCGGCCAGTTGGTCCTGTGGACCGGTTGGACCAACCGGCCTGTTGGTCCTGTGGACCGGTTGGACCAACCGGCCAGTTGGTCCTGTGGACCGGTTGGACCAACCGGCCAGTTGGTCCTGTGGACCGGTTGGACCAACCGGCCAGTTGGTCCTGTGGACCGGTTGGACCAACCGGCCAGTTGGTCCTGTGGACCGGTTGGACCAACCGGCCAGTTGGTCCTGTGGACCGGTTGGACCAACCGGCCAGTTGGTCCTGTGGACCGGTTGGACCAACCGGCCAGTTGGTCCTGTGGACCGGTTGGACCAACCGGCCAGTTGGTCCTGTGGACCGGTTGGACCAACCGGCCAGTTGGTCCTGTGGACCGGTTGGACCAACCGGCCAGTTGGTCCTGTGGACCGGTTGGACCAACCGGCCAGTTGGTCCTGTGGACCGGTTGGACCAACCGGCCAGTTGGTCCTGTGGACCGGTTGGACCAACCGGCCAGTTGGTCCTGTGGACCGGTTGGACCAACCGGCCAGTTGGTCCTGTGGACCGGTTGGACCAACCGGCCAGTTGGTCCTGTGGACCGGTTGGACCAACCGGCCAGTTGGTCCTGTGGACCGGTTGGACCAACCGGCCAGTTGGTCCTGTGGACCGGTTGGACCAACCGGCCAGTTGGTCCTGTGGACCGGTTGGACCAACCGGCCAGTTGGTCCTGTGGACCGGTTGGACCAACCGGCCAGTTGGTCCTGTGGACCGGTTGGACCAACCGGCCAGTTGGTCCTGTGGACCGGTTGGACCAACCGGCCAGTTGGTCCTGTGGACCGGTTGGACCAACCGGCCAGTTGGTCCTGTGGACCGGTTGGACCAACCGGCCAGTTGGTCCTGTGGACCGGTTGGACCAACCGGCCAGTTGGTCCTGTGGACCGGTTGGACCAACCGGCCAGTTGGTCCTGTGGACCGGTTGGACCAACCGGCCAGTTGGTCCTGTGGACCGGTTGGACCAACCGGCCAGTTGGTCCTGTGGACCGGTTGGACCAACCGGCCAGTTGGTCCTGTGGACCGGTTGGACCAACCGGCCAGTTGGTCCTGTGGACCGGTTGGACCAACCGGCCAGTTGGTCCTGTGGACCGGTTGGACCAACCGGCCAGTTGGTCCTGTGGACCGGTTGGACCAACCGGCCAGTTGTCATGTGGACCGGTTGGACCAACCGGCCAGTGGGTCATGTGGACCGGTTGGACCAACGGCCAGTTGGTCATGTGGACCGCTTGGACCAACCGGCCAGTTGGTCCTGTGGACCGGTTGGACCAACCGGCCAGTTGGTCCTGTGGACCGGTTTGGACCAACCGGCCAGTTGGTCATGTGGACCGTTGGACCAACCGGCCAGTTTGGTCATGTGGACCGGTTGGGCCAACCGGCCAGTTGGTCATGTGGACCGGTTGGACCAACCGGCCAGTTGGTCCTGTGGACCGGTTGACCCAAACGGCCTGTTGGTCCTGTGGACCGGTTGGACCAACCGGCCAGTTGGTCCTGTGGACCAGGTTTGGACCAACCGGCCAGTTGTCCTGTGACCGCGTTAGGACCAACCGGCCAGTTGGTCTGTGGACCGGTTGGACCAACCGGCCAGTTGGTTCCATTGTGGACCGGTTGGATCCAACCGGACATGTTGGTCCTGTGGACCGGTTGGACCAACCGGCCAGTTGGTCCTGTGGACCGGTTGGACCAACGGCCAGTTGGTCCTGTGGACCGGTTGGACCAACCGGCCGTTGGTCATGTGGACCGGTTGGACCAACCGGCCAGTTGGTCCTGTGGACCGGTTGGGACCAACCGGCCAGTTGGTCCTGTGGACCGGTTGGACCAACCGGCCAGTTGGTCATGTGGACCGGTTGGACCAACCGGCCAGTTGGTCATGTGGACCGGTTGGTACCAACCGGCCAGTTGGTCCTGTGGACCGGTTGGACCAACCGGCCAGTTGGTCCTGTGGACCGGGTTGGACCAACCGGCCAGTTGGTCCTGTGGACCGGTTGGACCAACCGGCCAGTTGGGTCATGTTGGACCGGTTGGACCAACCGGCCAGTTGGTCCTGTGGACCGGTTGGACCAACCGGCCAGTTGGTCCTGTGGACCGGTTGGACCAACCGGCCAGTTGGTCCTGTGGACCGGTTGGACCAACCGGCCAGTTGGTCCTGTGGACCGGTTGGACCAACCGGCCAGTTGGTCCTGTGGACCGGTTGGACCAACCGGCCAGTTGGTCCTGTGGACCGGTTGGACCAACCGGCCAGTTGGTCCTGTGGACCGGTTGGACCAACCGGCCAGTTGGTCCTGTGGACCGGTTGGACCAACCGGCCAGTTGGTCCTGTGGACCGGTTGGACCAACCGGCCAGTTGGTCCTGTGGACCGGTTGGACCAAACCGGCCAGTTGGTCCTGTGGACCGGTTGGACCAACCGGCCAGTTGGTCCTGTGGACCGGTTGGACCAACCGGCCAGTTGGTCCTGTGGACCGGTTGGACCAACCGGCCAGTTGGTCCTGTGGACCGGTTGGACCAACCGGCCAGTGGTCATGTGGACCCGGTTGGACCCAACCGGGCCAGTTGCGTCTGTGGACCGGTTGGTACCAACGGCCAGTTGGTCATGTGGACCGGTTGGACCAACGGCCAGTTGGTCCTGTGGACCGGTTGGACCAACCGGCCAGTTGGTCCTGTGGACCGGTTGGACCAACCGGCCAGTTGGTCCTGTGGACCGGTTGGTACCAACCGGACCAGTTGGTCCTGTGGACCGGTTGGACCAACCGGCCAGTTGGTCCTGTGGACCGGTTGGACCAACCGGCCAGTTGGTCCTGTGGACCGGTTGGACCAACCGGCCAGTTGGTCCTGTGGACCGGTTGGACCAACCGGCCAGTTGGTCCTGTGGACCGGTTGGACCAACCGGCCAGTTGGTCCTGTGGACCGGTTGGACCAACCGGCCAGTTGGTCATAGTGGACCGGTTGGTCCACCGGCCAGTTGTTCCCTGTGGACCGGTTTGGACCAACCGGCCAGTTGGTCATGTGGACCGGTTGGACCAACCGGCCAGTTGGTCCTGTGGACCGGTTGGCCAACCGGCCAGTTGGTCATGTGACCGGTTGGACCAACCGGCCAGTTGGTCCTTGTGGACCGTTGGACCAACCGGCCAGTTGGTCATGTGGACCGGTTGGTACCAACCGGCCAGTTGGTCATGTGGACCGGTTGGACCAACCGGCCAAGTTGGTCATGTGGACCGGTTGGACCAACCGGCCAGTTGGTCCTGTGGACCGGGTTGGACCAACCGGCCAGTTGGTCCTGTGGACCGGTTGGACCAACCGGCCAGTTGGTCCATGTGGACCGGTTTGGTCCAAACCGGCCAGTTGGTCATGTGGACCGGTTGGACCAACCGGCCAGTTGGTCCTGTGGACCGGTTGGACCAACCGGGCCAGTTGGTCCTGTGGACCGTTGGACCAACCGGCCAGTTGGTCCTGTGGACCCGGTTGGACCAACCGGCCAGTTGGTCCTGTGGACCGGTTGGACCAACCGGCCAGTTGGTCCTGTGGACCGGTTGGACCAACCGGCCAGTTGGTCCTGTGGACCGGTTGGACCAACCGGCCAGTTGGTCCTGTGGACCGGTTGGACCAACCGGCCAGTTGGTCCTGTGGACCGGTTGGACCAACCGGCCAGTTGGTCCGGTTGGACCAACCGGCCAGTTGGTCCTGTGGACCGGTTGGACCAACCGGCCAGTTGGTCCTGTGGACCGGTTGGACCAACCGGCCAGTTGGTCCTGTGGACCGGTTGGACCAACCGGCCAGTTGGTCCTGTGGACCGGTTGGACCAACCGGCCAGTTGGTCCTGTGGACCGGTTGGACCAACCGGCCAGTTGGTCCTGTGGACCGGTTGGACCAACCGGCCAGTTGGTCCTGTGGACCGGTTGGACCAACCGGCCAGTTGGTCCTGTGGACCGGTTGGACCAACCGGCCAGTTGGTCCTGTGGACCGGTTGGACCAACGGCCAGTTGGTCCTGTGGACCGGTTGGACCAACCGGCCAGTTGGTCCTGTGGACCGGTTGGACCAACCGGCCAGTTGGTCCTGTGGACCGGTTGGACCAACCGGCCAGTTGGTCCTGTGGACCGGTTGGACCAACCGGCCAGTTGGTCCTGTGGACGGTTGGACCAACCGGCCAGTTGGTCCTGTGGACCGGTTGGACCAACCGGCCAGTTGGTCCTGTGGACCGGTTGGACCAACCGGCCAGTTGGTCCTGTGGACCGGTTGGACCAACCGGCCAGTTGGTCCTGTGGACCGGTTGGACCAACCGGCCAGTTGGTCCTGTGGACCGGTTGGACCAACCGGCCAGTTGGTCCTGTGGACCGGTTGGACCAACCGGCAGTTGGTCCTGTGGACCGGTTGGACCAACCGGCCAGTTGGTCATGTGGACCGGTTGGACCAACCGGCCTAGTTGGTCCTGTGGACGGTTGGACCAACCGGCCAGTTGGTCATGTGGACCGGTTGGTCCAACCGGCCAGTTGGTCATGTGGACCGGGTGTGACCAACCGGCCAGTTGGTCATGTGGACCGGTTGGACCAACCGGCCATTTGGTCATGTGGACCGGTTGGACCAACCGGCCAGTTGGTCATGTGGACCGGTTGGACCAACCGGCCATGTTGGTCCCTGTGGACCGGTTGGACCAACCGGCCAGTTGGTCATGTGACCGGTTGGACCAACCGGCCAGTTGGTCATGTGGACCGGTTGGACCAACCGGCCAGTTGGTCCTGTGGACCGGTTGGACCAACCGGCCAGTTGTCCTGTGGACCGGTTGGATCCAACCGCCAGTTGGTCCTGTGGACCGGTTGGACCAACCGGCCCAGTTGGTCCATGTGGACCGGTTGGACCAACCGGCCAGTTGGTCCTGTGGACCGGTTGGACCAACCGGCCAGTTGGTCCTGTGGACCGGTTGGACCAACCGGCCAGTTGGTCCTGTGGACCGGTTGGTACCAACCGGCCAGTTGGTCATGTGTGGGAGGCCGGTTGGTACCAACCCGGCCAGTTGGTCCTGTGGACCGGTTGGTACCAACCGGCCAGTTGGTCATGTGGACCGGTTGGACCAACCGGCCAGTTGGTCCTGTGGACCGGTTTGGACCAACCGGCCAGTTGGTCCTGTGGACCGGTGGACCAACCGGCCAGTTGGTCCTGTGGACCGGTTGGACCAACCGGCCAGTTGGTCCTGTGGACCGGTTGGACCAACCGGCCAGTTGGTCATGTGGACCGGTTGGACCAACCGGCCAGTTGGTCATGTGGACCGGTTGGACCAACCGGCCAGTTGGTCCTGTGGACCGGTTGGTACCAATCGGCCAGTTGGTCCTGTGGACCGGTTGGACCAACCGGCCAGTTGGTCCTGTGGACCGGTTGGACCAACCGGCCAGTTGGTCCTGTGGACCGGTTGGACCAACCGGCCAGTTGGTCCTGTGGACCGGTTGGACCAACCGGCCAGTTGGTCCTGTGGACCGGTTGGACCAACCGGCCAGTTGGTCCTGTGGACCGGTTGGTCCAACCGGCCAGTTGGTCATGTGGACCGGTTGGACCAACCGGCCAGTTGGTCCTGTGGCAACCGGTTGGACCCAACCGGCCAGTTGGTCATGTGGACCGGTTGACCAACCGGCCAGTTGGTCCTGTGGACCGGTTGGACCAACCGCCAGTTGGTCCTGTGGACCGGTTGGACCAACCGGCCAGTTGGTCCTGTGGACCGGTTGACCAACCGGCCAGTTGGTCCTGTGGACCGGTTGGAACCAACCGGCCAGTTGGTCCTGTGGACCGGTTGGACCAACCGGCCAGTTGGTCCTGTGGACCGGTTGGACCAACGGCCATGTTGGTCCTGTGGACCGGTTGGACCAACCGGCCAGTTGGTCCTTGGACCGGTTGGACCAACCGGCCAGTTGGTCATGTGGACCGGTTGGACCAACCGGCCAGTTGGTCCTGTGGACCGGTTGACCAACCGGCCAGTTGGTCCTGTGGACCGGTTGGACCAACCGGCCAGTTGGTCCTGTGGACCGGTTGGACCAACCGGCCAGTTGTCCTGTGGACCGGTTGGACCAACCGGCCAGTTGGTCCCTGTGGACCGGTTGACCACCGGCCAGTTGGTCCTGTGGACCGGTTGGACCAAACGGCCCAGTTGGTCCCTAGTGGACCGGTTGGACCAAACCGGCCAGTTGGTCTTGTGGACCGTTGGACCAACCGGCCAGTTGGTCATGTGGAACCGGTTGGACCAACCGGCCAGTTGGTCCCTGTGGACCGGTTGGACCAACCGGCCAGTTGGTCATGTGGACCGGTTTGGACCAACCGGCCAGTTGGTCCTGTGGACCGGTTGGACCAACCGGCCAGTTGGTCTGTGGACCGGTTGGACCAACCGGCCAGTTGGTCATGTGGACCGGTTGGTACCAACCGGCCAGTTGGTCCTGTGGACCGGTTGGTCCAACCGGCCAGTTGGTCATGTGGACCGGTTGGACCACCCGGCCAGTTGGTCCTGTGGACCGGTTTGGACCAACCGGCCAGTTTGGTCATGTGGACCGGTTGGTACCCAACCGGCCAGTTGGTCCTGTGGACCGGTTGGACCAACCGGCCAGTTGGTCATGTGGACCGGTTGGGCCAACCGGCCAGTTGGTCCTGTGGACCGGTTGGACCAACCGGCCAGTTGGTCATGTGGACCGGTTGGACCAACCGGCCAGTTGGTCATGTGGACCGGTTGGACCAACCGGCCAGTTGGTCATGTGGACCGGTTGGACCAACCGGCCAGTTGGTCCTGTGGACCGGTTGGACCAACCGGCCAGTTGGTCCTGTGGACCGGTTGGACCAACCGGCCAGTTGGTCCTGTGGGACCGGTTGGACCAACCGGCCAGTTGGTCCTGTGGACCGGTTGGACCAACCGGCCAGTTGGTCCTGTGGACCGGTTGGACCAACCGGCCAGTTGGTCCTGTGGACCGGTTGGACCAACCGGCCAGTTGGTCCTGTGGACCGGTTGGACCAACCGGCCAGTTGGTCCTGTGGACCGGTTGGACCAACCGGCCAGTTGGTCCTGTGGACCGGTTGGACCAACCGGCCAGTGGTCCGGTTGGACCAACCGGCCAGTTGGTCATGTGGACCGGTTGGACCAACCGGCCAGTTGGTCCTGTGGACCGGTTGGACCAACCGGCCAGTTGGTCCTGTGGACCGGTTGGACCAACCGGCCAGTTGGTCCTGTGGACCGGTTGGACCAACCGGCCAGTTGGTCCTGTGGACCGGTTGGACCAACCGGCCAGTTGGTCTGTGGACCGGTTGGACCAACCGGCCAGTTGGTCCTGTGGACGGTTGGACCAACGGCCAGTTGGTCATGTGGACCGGTGGACCACCAACCGGCCAGTTGGTCCTGTGGACCGGTTGGACCAACCGGCCAGTTGGTCCTGTGGACCGGTTGGACCAACCGGCCAGTTGGTCATGTGGACCGGTTGGACCAACCGGCCAGTTGGTCCTGTGGACCGGTTGGACCAAACGGCCAGTTGGTCCTGTGGACCGTTGGACCAACCGGCCAGTTGGTCCTGTGGACCGGTTGGACCAACCGGCCAGTTGGTCCTGTGGACCGGTTGGACCAACCGGCCAGTTGGTCATGTGGACCGGTTGGACCAACCGGCCAGTTGGTCCTGTGGACCGGTTGGACCAACCGGCCAGTTGGTCCTGTGGACCGGTTGGACCAACCGGCCAGTTGGTCCTGTGGACCGGTTGGACCAACCGGCCAGTTGGTCCTGTGGACCGGTTGGACCAACCGGCCAGTTGGTCCTGTGGACCGGTTGGACCAACCGGCCAGTTGGTCCTGTGGACCCGGTTGGACCAACCGGCCAGTTGGTCCTGTGGACCGGTTGGACCAACCGGCCAGTTGGTCCTGTGGACCGGTTGGACCAACCGGCCAGTTGGTCCTGTGGACCGGTTGGACCAACCGGCCAGTTGGTCATGTGGACCGGTTGGACCAACCGGCCAGTTGGTCCTGTGGACCGGTTGGACCAACCGGCCAGTTGGTCCTGTGGACCGGTTGGACCAACCGGCCAGTTGGTCCTGTGGACCGGTTGGACCAACCGGCCAGTTGGTCCTGTGGACCGGTTGGACCAACCGGCCAGTTGGTCCTGTGGACCGGTTGACCAACCGGCCAGTTGGTCCTGTGGACCGGTTGGACCAACCGGCCAGTTGGTCCTGTGGACCGGTTGGACCAACCGGCCAGTTGGTCCTGTGGACCGGTTGGACCAACCGGCCAGTTGGTCTGTGGACCGGTTGGACCAACCGGCCAGTTGGTCCTGTGGACCGGTTGGACCAACCGGCCAGTTGGTCATCCTGTGGACCGGTTGGACCAACCGGCCAGTTGGTCCTGTGGACCGGTTGGACCAACCGGCCAGTTGGTCCTGTGGACCGGTTGGACCAACCGCCAGTTGGTCCTGTGGACCGGTTGGACCAACCGGCCAGTTGGTCCTGTGGACCGGTTGGACCAACCGGCCAGTTGGTCTGTGTGGACCGGTTGGACCAACCGGCCAGTTGGTCCTGTGGACCGGTTGGACCAACCGGCCAGTTGGTCTGTGGACCGGTTGGACCAACCGGCCAGTTGGTCTGTGGACCGGTTGGACCAAACAACCCGGCCAGTTGGTCCTGTGGACCGGTTGGACCAACCGGCCAGTTGGTCCTGTGGACCGGTTGGACCAACCGGCCAGTTGGTCCTGTGGACCGGTTGGACCAACCGGCCAGTTGGTCCTGTGGACCGGTTGGACCAACCGGCCAGTTGGTCCTGTGGACCGGTTGGACCAACCGGCCAGTTGGTCCTGTGGACCGGTTGGACCAACCGGCCAGTTGGTCTGTGGACCGGTTGGACCAACCGGCCAGTTGGTCCTGTGGACCGGTTGGACCAACCGGCCAGTTGGTCCTGTGGACCGGTTGGACCAACCGGCCAGTTGGTCCTGTGGACCGGTTGGACCAACCGGCCAGTTGGTCCTGTGGACCGGTTGGACCAAACGGCCAGTTGGTCCTGTGGACCGGTTGGACCAACCGGCCAGTTGGTCCTGTGGACCGGTTGGACAAACCGGCCAGTTGGTCTGTGGACCGGTTGGACCAACGGCCAGTTGGTCCTGTGGACCGGTTGGACCAACCGGCCAGTTGGTCCTGTGGACCGGTTGGACCAACCGGCCAGTTGGTCATGTGGACCGGTTGGACCAACCGGCCAGTTGGTCTGTGGACCGGTTGGACCAACCGGCCAGTTGGTCCTGTGGACCGGTTGGACCAACGGCCAGTTGGTCCTGTGGACCGGTTGGACCAACCGGCCAGTTGGTCCTGTGGACCGGGGACCAACCGGCCAGTTGGTCCTGTGGACCGGTTGGACCAACCGGCCAGTTGGTCATGTGGACCGGTTGGACCAACCGGCCAGTTGGTCCTGTGGACCGGTTGGACCAACCGGCCAGTTGGTCCTGTGGACCGGTTGGACCAACCGGCCAGTTGGTCCTGTGGACCGGTGGACCAACCGGCCAGTTGGTCCTGTGGACCGGTTGGACCAACCGGCCAGTTGGTCCTGTGGACCGGTTGGACCAACCGGCCAGTTGGTCCTGTGGACCGGTTGGACCAACCGGCCAGTTGGTCCTGTGGACCGGTTGGACCAACCGGCCAGTTGGTCCTGTGGACCGGTTGGACCAACCGGCCAGTTGGTCCTGTGGACGGTTGGACCAACCGGCCAGTTGGTCTGTGGACCGGTTGGACCAACCGGCCAGTTGGTCCTGTGGACCGGTTGGACCAACGGCCAGTTGGTCCTGTGGACCGGTTGGACCAACCGGCCAGTGGTCCTGTGGACCGGTTGGTCCAACCGGCCAGTTGGTCCTGTGGACCGGTTGGACCAACCGGCCAGTTGGTCTGTGGACCGGTTGGACCAACCGGCCAGTTGGTCCTGTGGACCGGTTGGACCAAACGGCCAGTTGGTCATGTGGAACGGTTGGACCAACGGCCAGTTGGTCCTGTGGACCGGTTGGACCAAACCGGCCAGTTTGGTCTGTGGAACGGTTGGACCAACCGGCCAGTTGGTCCTGTGGACCGGTTGGACCAACCGGCCAGTTGGTCCTGTGGACCGGTTGGACCAACCGGCCAGTTGGTCCTGTGGACCGGTTGGACCAACCGGCCAGTTGGTCCTGTGGACCGGTTGGACCAACCGGCCAGTTGGTCCTGTGGACCGGTTGGACCAACCGGCCAGTTGGTCATGTGGACGGTTGGACCAACCGGCCTGTTGGTCCTGTGGACCGGTTGGACCAACCGGCCAGTTGGTCATGTGGACCGGTTGGACCAACGGCCAGTTGGTCCTGTGGACGGTTGGACAAACGGCCAGTTGGTCCTGTGGACCGGTTGACCAACCGGCCAGTTGGTCCTGTGGACCGGTTGGACCAAACGGCCAGTTGGTCTGTGGACCGGTTGGACCAACCGGCCAGTGGTCCTGTGGACCGGTTGGACCAACCGGCCAGTTGGTCCTGTGGACCGGTGGGACCAACCGGCCAGTTGGTCCTGTGGACCGGGTTGGCAAACCGGCCAGTTGGTCCTGTGGACCGGTTGGACCAAC